CATTTTAATGCGCTAATAAAATTGCGTTCAACTTACTAGCGTAGTTATAAAGTACAATTGAGAAATTATTGGTTCGTGGACCAATGTTTATTAAGAATTAGCCACTTGAGTCTTTATCTATATTTCTGTGTATCAAACTAAGCTCTGTCGTAAAATATTCAATGTGAAAAGGAGTTTATTACGGAAGAAGAACACAGGTCGTTATTCATGGCTTAATAAAAAAAAAAAGCATCAATTGCACGTAGTAAAGAAGATAACTGAGACAATGAGCCGCAAGAGATAAGTTGTCGGAAACGTTATCTGAGCGGGGAGAAAGGAAAGAGAGAAAGAGAATCTGTGTAGCAACCTGTTTACGCGTCCACGAATTACATATACGCGTTGGCCTGAAAAAGAGACCCGGGAACACGTCCACGACACCACCGAAACATCGTCGATCGCCGGCCCACGTAGTTAACGGTATATACGTACACATTCCATGTGCAGGCCTAACGTCGCCCTGCGCGATAAAATTCACAGAAAACAACGCGAGATGATAACGTTCGCGTATGTTAACCGGCGTTATTTTAGCCGCTGATAAGGGAGAAAGCCGAGGCGCTTAGCGGCCTCCCCGTAACGGGAGTGATAAAGTTTTTGTCCTCGTAACGTAACGCTCAATATTATATGCGGGAAATATCGCACGACAATATCCGTAAAAAAAAAAGAAAGAACGAACGTTCTTCTAACGCAAATGCGAACGAGAAAATTTAACGAGTTCTGCGCGAAGTAAATTAATTTCCGCGACGTCTTGCGCAACACACGCAGAACGTTCTGCTTCGTTCGCTGTCAAAATACAGCAAACTGCGAACTCCCCGGGAAAGTTTCGAAATAAACTGTTTCGACAATATAACGCCGATATAACAGGTTCTCACACGGAATTCGAGAGGTGGGTTATTTAAATTGGATTCTACGATTTGCGTGCGTGACTTCGCGCGATATATCGCGAATCCATGTCAACGTCCATCGTGTGAAGATACGTGATATGTTGACTTTCCACTCGTATCATGAGTTCTATAATATCATGAAACGCATTACTACATGTCCGTTTTAATATTCCCGCTGGGAATGAATCTTTGAAGGTGCGATTTATTTCACGAGAAATTACGCCGAGCACGCAACATATACGACAAACTTAAACCAGTCAGTCAATATATTGGCAAATATTTATTTATGCATTATTTTTTTATTTCAGTCTCATAAAAGCAATACCATAACGGTGTCCCTAATAATCTCTTCTTCTTATATTTTAATTTAATTATTGTACAGTCGTAATTTTTTCATTAAATTATCAGCTGTTCAGATAAACTTTTAATTCTTTCTATATTATCTTCTATTCATTTCACTATACCACAATTGTATACAAACATTTCAAACGTTTCAAACTTTCCAGAGGAACTTGAATTATTTAGTAAATAAATTAGAATCCGAATTAAAATTATTATCAGTTATTGTATTACGTTGTTGCGTACTTTGTATCACAGATGCTAACGTAATTTCTCTTCTTTATCATGACACGAATTGCCCCCTAGATGAATAATCAATTAACAAATAACGCTACTCACGCGATAACGAAACCATATGATTGCGTTAATGACGATGATGAAGAAATTCTACTCTACGCGCCGCTATATGACATCTCAATCGATATCAACGAGTCACGAATGACTTTGTTCGCTATCTCATTTTTCTAAGTCAAGAAAAACGGACGAATCGATCTCCTCCTTCATGAGATCATAAGACGCGCGACGATAACCAAGATAACGACGAAAACAAAATGTCGATGTCGACGATGACGGATGAGACTACACTGAGGAGAAAAAAGATTGGATCAACAAAATCGGCGATCACTCTCGCTCGCAAGAGAATATTGCATCCATACACAGAAAAGTACTGCGTTCAAGTAAATATTACTTGTTTCAAGTATTTCATAAGTTTATATATCCGCAAATATATCATAAGTTAATCACAAGCATCAAATTTATTCAAAATATATTCTGAATCCTAGTAAGTTTAGTACTTCAATCAAGAATATAAAATTAAAACACTGAAAATAATACTTCGATTTATTTATATTCCATTTAACCGAACATAACTTTTCTTCGATAAAGTTTATAATATTCTTGGAAAGAAAACAAATTCTTCTCTTGAATAAATGATAATGAGCTCTTCCTCTTCATATTTCTGCAATGAATATATTTTAATACTATTGTTAAGAATATATATAATTATATTCTTTGATATATAGTTTGAAAAATATTCTTTTCTCAAGATAACCATTACTTAAAAGAAGAAAAATAAACTGAACAATTCCTTTCCTCCGCAGCAAAATATCGTTCTCTGTGCATTATAAAAATGGATAAATGGATATTTCTCTACGAGACGAAAAGGAGAGCTCTCGAGAGGAGTTCGTCGAACGGAGCGTGCATTCCGTCGAACGTATCAAAAGTCACACAAGAACTCGCATTCCCGCGCGCAATTATCGCACTTACCGGAGAATTTTGCGATCCCGCCGTATGTAACGTTATACAGCGGGCTATCGACGAAATCCGATCGCAGCGTATTAATTACTCGCCAGCGTTTCGTTCTACCCCCTCCCCGTTTTTAAACATGATTCGACTCAGCGAAAATAGACGAGCGCGATAAAAAGCAAATGCAACGCGTGCGTGCATGCGTCACGCGCCGCGTCGATAACGCTCGTTGACGAGCAGAAGGCAAATTATTTTTTCCAAGTACCTACCAAGACCCATCCTTCGTGAGGGGGAGTTCTTTGAACAGCCAGACGCCAGCTTGAAGTAATTAGTTGCTTTATTAAAAAAAAATCCCGAGGCAAAAATATGATATAAAAGAGAGAGCCGCGCGAAACGCGTCTCGACGAATGATGGGAAATTTCTCATCTAATCCGCGAAAGGGTTGAGATGTTATCTCTTATTGTGCGGAAACTCACGAGTGCATTCGAAATAGGAACATAACGAGGCGACCGGGATCGGTCGCGTTGGCGAATGAATTAGATCGCGCCGGTATACAAAAGTCCGCGTCAGTAATATCAGATGTAAAACGCTGACGCGATATTAGAGAACAATCGGAGACAGCCTTGTCATTATGCGTGCGTTTTCCGGTCGCCAGGTCACCGACGCGAAACGTAAATAAACACTCGCAATGGGTGAGCGAGGCGTTCGTTGGTGAATTACCGGTGAGAATTGTCGAAATAAAAATTCAGCGACAACGCCGACGAGGGTTTCCAAGCGTGTTGCCGTCGTTGCGATTGATAACAAGAGCAAAATGGATCGAGAATTCCTCGGGCTACATAATATATCACGACCGACGACGATAAGGACCGGCCAATCGCCGATGAAACTATTATGCCAAAAGCGATGGAATTATTACCGTGGCTGATAATAAAACCTTGTTGTGTATTTCAATGAAATTTATCACGCCGCCTCAAGGACGCGAGACAATTAGGCGCGCGTTATCACGACGGACGGAACGTAAAGAATTCACTTCGCTTTTGTTCTTATGTACAGCACACTTTAACGAAGCGTTTACTTTATTTGATGTTCTGCAGATTGCAGGGACACCGATGGATAATCACACGTGCGGCGAATGATGCGTCGATTAAGACCTCGTGACGACGATTTAAATTCATAATTGTAACGGAATATAAGACACCGAGTTCATTTTAATTGTTCGAATTCCGTGCCTTCGCGCTCTCTCGATGTAAATAAAAATTTATTATTATTATTGTTAAAAAATTAATAGAAGAATACTGCGATAATTCTGACGCAAAGATGTGAGGATAATTTTCGGAATTATTTCAAATATTGAAAATTATGATAAAAAATAGAAATTTGCTATATGTTCGAATTATTGGCGAAAATAGAGCGATACAGTGGAAAAAATTTATTGGTATGTATATGCAATGTCAACATTATTTTAATTACAAAATTATTTCTTCAATGTATCACGTATGATTAAAATAACTTAATATATTTGTAAGGATCATAAATAAAATTTAACCTCACAAACATATATTGTGTGTAATAGTGTGTGAAGAAAGCGGCTTGATCGTATTATTTGATCCAATTAGTAAATCTTTCATCATAATTAAATATCATCGAAGATCATCAAAGTTTTGACAAATATTTATATTCCTCGATATATATTTCCTTTATCACTTTATAATTTAATATACGAGTATTCCCACATTTTTCCATATGTTGTCTGCATGTGATTAGCATAAATGTCGTGAAAATTGCGGCAATATTGCAACGATATTGTGGTGCCGTAAATATCGCTTATTTTGCCCGAAAGAGAATTAATTCAGGATTGTCATAGTAATAAGAAGTTAACACTTGAATTAAAATTATAATGTAATAAATGAATATTTCTTAAGACAGGCATATTTAAAAAATGCTGTGCTGTTGCAATGGCATCACGAAGCATGCATTAAATGTTTGAATACTATGTTCAGCAACATTTCTGTCTATCCGGGTCAATTTGAACTTTAATTCAACTTTAATTTAACTTGAACGAATATTTCAGTATTTAAACCCCATATTTCTTGTCATGTTGATATATACACTCGCGACTAAAGGTTACCGCGGCATCAACTTTGTACTAAAACAGTCGGGAACGATCGTTAAATCACATCGTCCAGATGATCGCAATCGCGCCTTTGAGGATTTTAAAGACTCCGCGGGTCTATTTAAATGTCCACGTAATGAAAGAAGCGAAAGCGTCCTCCCGAGCCTGTCACGAGAGAGACGATGCTCGGTCGGTGCAAAGGACCAAGCGGCGGAGGAGCGAGCGGCGGGAGTTGATAGCGTGCCAGCTGTGCGCAGGAACGAAGGTTAAGTTAGGTTAGGAATGGCGTTTGGGGGTCGCGGGGTCAATCCGCGGGATCGAACAACCCGATGCGTGATCACGATGCAACGGGCGATGACGGGCAGGTTAGTCGAGGTACTCACCTCGTTGAAGGCCATCTTCTTCGCTATGCTTCCGGACTCGCGGCTGCTTCCGGCGCCTCCTTGCCCCACCGCTCCAACAGAAGGATATCCACGCAGGGAGCTGCCGGGCTAGTAGTCCCAGCAGCAATAGAAGCAGCAGTAGCAGCTGATCTCGCTTGTCCAAAAGGGATGGTCCTCCAAAGGAGGGCGACAGCGCATCGAGACCACTGACGGCACTTGCGACACGGTATCGACCACGATAAAGGGAACGTGGTAGATAATTTAGACGACGATAACACTCGCGACGACCGACCCGTCTGGCGGACCTCCGCGACACACATACGTCACGGGGAGAGGAACGACCGCGATTACCTCCGCGAGGGAATCCCCACGAGTGTACTCCGGGTACCGACGTCGGCGCAAGGTCGTTCCTTTTTTCCTTTTTTTCTTCCCTCTTCTTCTCTCACGGTTCCTCCTCGTCGCTGGCCGCCGCACGCTGCGCTGCTGCCGATCCAACTTGCCGGGGGGTCCGCGGGGGACGATCTGGCATTCCTCAGGTGGGCACCCGTTCGCACCCGGGAGCGCTTTCGTGGCGCCGAGACACGATATGAAAAAGCCGCACCGTGAGCTTTCGCGCCGCTTCGCTTCCGCACAGATATCACGACGAGACGAGGGGACGACGGCAGCGTTTCCGTCACACTTGAACTCGCGACGCGTGCGACGTCGACCGGCGTCGACGGATGCGCGTACAATCACCGATCGTCACCGACCGCCCGATCGTCCGTAACCCGCTTCTCGGCACTGTGTTTTTCTCTCTTTTTCACGCGTATTTATATCTACCGCAGAGGTATCCGCAAACAGACGGCCGCCATCTTGCTTTCTGCCAGTCGGCGGCGGAACGGTGCGCGAGTGGCGTGCGCGCGACGCGGCACAGCTGTGTGTGCTGAAGCGCGAGACGGCGGTGCTGCCGCGGCCCGACCAAACTCGCTGCACGCGATTCTTGAATTAAGGCGCGGATAACGTCGCGCGGCGAGACGATTTTCCGTGGCCGAACTTTGACTCACGCATCGACGATCGGAGATGATCTGTCTGAAAAGGACATCAGAAATCTAACAAAAGATGCCGATCATGCTTCTCACCTTATTCGCCTCGTTAGAAAATATTTTCACTACGAAATTATTTTAACCTACAACACATTAGCCTGTATTCTAAATTCTTTTTTTTCGATTAAAGTGCTTTTAAAAGTGATTTAAGAACCACCTAAATGGCTGAGAAGCCACATTTAAGAAACTTTTATCGACAAAAGCAACTTTAGAATATGGACCATTGAATCTTTAAGAAAACTTTAGGAAAATGTAAAATGATATCTCGAAAAAAAAGTTGAAATCTTGAAAAAGAATTTGATTATATATTGTTTTCTAAATAAAAGTTAGACGAAGTCAATGATTCATCTTTAACCATAATTTCAAAATTAAGTTATAGTGGATACTTTCTACTTAACGGTACATCCTATCTTTGTTACTGATTGGATATGGAAGCAAAATGATGCTTGTCTCGACTTGTGTCACTTAATGGAAAGCCATCAATTTATACGAGTCAAATCTGAGGAACAAAATATCTTTTGCATTGTCATTTCTTCGAAGAATCGACGATGCGCGAGTGAATATATACGATACGTGTGATTGAAAATTCTTAAAGATCGGTCATAAATTTTGTTTTCTATCGTAAACTCGCGAGGAGAATTTTCGTCTTGAAAACCGTTAGGGAGAAGTTTATGTAAGTTAATACTAAACGGTAACACTCGTGACCCATTCCTGTAACCGAAAATCTAATAAATATCATTGGTCGATATTTATAGATCAATTTTTATCGATAAATATATCTTAACCTTTTGCACTCGAGGGCTCCGGAGCGGAGACATTTAAAATTTGTCTTCAAACTCGAGGGCTCCGCTATGGAGACAATGCAAATAACTTTCAGTTTATAACATAAGGACAAAGACAAGTCGTAAAAACTATTGTGTATAGGATATTCCGCTCTTGCTATTTGCATTGTCTCCATAGCGGAGCCCTCGAGTTTGAAGATAAATTTTAAATGGCTCCGCTCCGGAGCCCTCGAGTGCAAAGGGTTAAATGTAACTTCTCAGACAATCAGATGATTCTTACGCCACTTTTAAACACTTTTATCAGTAAAAGTGAGTTCAGAATATGGATCCTTGTCTTTAACTTTGTTTTAAGACGTAAATAGTAAGCAAATTGACCAATTACAATCATTTATAAAAAGAATAATCGACCGTTGTTGATCAATTTGCATACGACTTACATCTTAAAACAAGGTTGTGGAAGCTTATATTTAATTGCTAAGTTCATCTTCAGATGTTAGCCAATGAAATAAACTGTATAGCATCTGAAGATGATCTCAAGATGATCTAAAATATAAGATCCGTCTATGAACACCGACCATTGGTTGAACATGATCGAAAATGCATACATGTATCGATCACCCGATTGGTCAAATTCTAACCTACAACTTGCGATCTTCAATCTCCAATAAATACGTTCCACTTAACGCTCGCAATGATCGCGAGCATCATTCTATCCTTGTTTCTCTTGAATGTTAAACAAAGACGGAAGGATGCTCTCGAACATTGCGAGCGTTAAGTGGAAACTGTCCAATGTATACTCATTTACTTTAAGTACAGCTGGTGCAGCAACTTAGTGCAGTTTTCATGACAGACGCATCAACATGGAACGTAGAGTTTAAAGATGGCCGTCGGTTCAGTGGCATAGAAGAATCTTCGACGCGGTGTGGGCGTGAGAAACAGTAGCTACTTCGGTCATCGATTCGTCGCGACAGAGTGTCCGAACGGACTCCTGTTTAATACGATCGTGTATTTCTTCGCAAGTCGCAATTGAGCCCAGTGAGAAAACGGTTAAGCTCGGCAGAATGGGCCGTTCTCGATCCAGGACGAAATCACCGAGCAGGCGGCGTCACAAGAGCAAGCATTCTCGCAAACGGTCGAAGTCACGCGAGAAGCATTCCAACAACAAATATTCAGACAAACCGAAGGAGCGCAGTTCTAAATCCAGGTATATTTTTCAGTCGACTCTTTATATTGCGACTCCCCCGCTTCTCCGCAAAACCCTATTTACAATAGTACGTTCGGCCATTTTGTCATGTTCTGAATGTTGGTTCATTCGCGTTCGACAATAGAAATAAAATGTCAAACTTATGAATCTTATCGTGTATCTTGTTGCTACGCAGTAAATCCTCGATTTTATACGTTTAATTCCCCTTGTGTATCTACTTGTGTTAAAATGTGCTTTGTATGGTGTTCTATAAAACGGAAATTTAATTCATTTGTTATTAGAAGTAACATTGGTTGCATTTGGTTGTTGATTTAGAAAGCGATCCCATTCTGCGTCATCTAGTAGTGGCTCAGACGTGTCGGACGATGTACATATTGTCAGTCATAAGAAACGTTCGTACAGGGACAGAGATCGAAAGATGGACGAGGTAGAGAGACTAGCAGAGATGGAGCGGCAAAGGTAAGCAGTAATAATAATATTAAAAATGTTCCTCTTGATATTTTATATTAGAGTTGGAAAATATCATGTTTGTTGATACAGCTTCATGATTGTACCATTGATATTTCCCAATCTTATATTATATTTTGTTGCATATCAAGTGGAACATAAACAATTATTTTATATCCTAAATTCCTTGTTATACGCTATTTTTTATAATTGTGTTGTCAGGAAAAAGAAAGAATTAATGAACAAAATCTTCACCACGAGCACAATTGGGTAAGAATGTGTAGTTACTTCTGGTGGTGGTTTATCTTTCTAACGCTCATCAGTTTATCGTGATGTTTCTTTTACTGAAAAAGAAAACATGTTTTACTTTAGCATCAAGCGAAAGCACCAAATTTTTGCATAACATCTTGTTCAATTTTATTCTATTCAATGAATTAATAACAATTCTTATAATTATATCAATGGATCTTGGAAAACGGTTGTAATAGTTCAATTACAAATTTAGCATGCTGCTAAATGCGATTCTATAAAAAGGAAAAGAAATGGTTGTGGAGCGGTGCTGGAAGAAGATTGCTGCTTATCTGTCTGCAGACGTCAACGTGAGGTGGAACAGAAGATGGTAGAAGAGGAAGCAGCCAAGCGTATAGAAGAACTTGTACAAAAGAGGGTAGAAGAGGAGCTTGAGAAACGTAAAGAAGAGATTGAGGCTGAAGTACAGAGGCGGGTAGAGGAAGCGAAGAGGGCCATGGAGCGACAAATGATGGAGGAGATGGAGTGGAGACAAGCAAAACTACGTGAGGAGGAGAAACGAAGAGAGGTAAGATCTATCCAAAGAAACATTGGCCAGTGATAGCCCAAGCGCTGTTCTGATCAGCAGGAAAAACAAATCTAGTATTCTTTTAGTGGCTTGTACATCAAAAATCGAAAAAGAATATATTTTCGCGATAAGTGGGTTTAGTTAATTTTATTCAGATCGTAGACAATAAATTTTAAGTGAGCTGCAATACGACTTCGAAAACACCAAGTCGAGATTTGTGACAAACGAGCAGTAGAAAACGTCTAGAAAAAAGAAAGAAAGGTATATTGTGGCTTTATAGTAGTCGTTGAGCTGGATCGAGTACAATTCGTAAATCTTTCTCCTGCTTAAATTTGATGTCACAAAACCACAGCTACACAGGATGTACAAATTGTACAGACCTATCTTTGAGAAATTTTATGATCGAATTTCGAGCAACTTCATCCTATATCTCGCGATCACAGCGTTTGGGCTTGAAGCATTGTGGTTCATGATTACACCGCAACAAATTAATTGAGCGGGAATAACCACACTGCTTCGACTTCTCAGCATCCACCGTGGTCGCATTGCTGAGAAGCTGAACTTTTTACGTTATGAAAGGGATTCTGCTATCATAGGCGCATGTATCGGTTATTTATGATCAAAATATTTGTACCATGTATATATATTTATATATCTGTACAACATTATTACCTTTTACATCACACAATATCTGGATTGACATTTGTATCAACAATTTCGGAAATCACGCTTAAACTGCCCCTTTTTGCTTCGAATCGGGGCAGATTTTGCTCACTGTTTCTGCGATTGTTGTGCATGCTGGTCAGGCAAATCTACAAACTTATCAGTCTAGTTAAAAAAAAAATGTCCGCGCGTATGTGAGTGTCCACATTAATCGCACCATACAAGACATTTTAAGAGAGTAGAGATCACTGATTAAAGGAATAACGATCCCAAACTTTGTAATTTATCGCAAACGAATCCGAATTTATCATTCTTCTGAGTCTGAAATAAAGTTATTTTTGTATAAAACCATAGGAAAATAATATTTTCCCCCGAACAGTTACTTACTGTCAGTCGGTGTAGCGATATTGTTAATGAGAAATCATTTAAAAATTATATACGTCGAGTACTGCAGATAAGAAATTAGGATTCGCTACGGAAATATGTTATCAGACATTCTCAACTTATTGAATATTTTCGCATGATTACTTTATTACGGTATAACGCAGATATACAGAAGTGTATATATGACGATTTTGCCGTTGATATGATTTAATTTACTTGTATTGACATTTCTTTGCATACTTATAAAAAAGAATATTCTTAAGCATAATTTTTTATGCATATATTTCCTCTCCATATATATATATACATATATGTTAAACATAAGTATTGTCTTTTGAGTTTTTTACACTATTTAACATTGCAACATTCATGATTGATTTAACGGTATCGTTTTATTCCTCAACTTTAATTTTTGAGTTTACCTAGCAACTTTTATGCAAAAATATATTATCGCGCCGAAAGATCGTAAACTTTAATTTGCGCGTCGGAGATCCAATCAATTTGCTTCCAAATCGGAAATGTTTGTCCCCCCATTCTTTTTTTTTATTTGGTTGATACTACAGGTTTGTTCTTTATAGCTGAATTGGTTGCACTAGTTCAGAAAGCGCACTCTAAAGTTTTTTATAGCAGAACCGATGTAAGTGATGCTGTTGTTTATAGCAGTGCAACAATTAACTATACTTGCTGCACTAGGTCTGGAGTCAGTGCAAGCGGTGCAAGGATAATTGGAACAATACTTTCGAATGAGAATGCAAGAAACATCAAATAGCTTGTCGTTATATCGTTAATTTATTGTACTCTCACTCCAATTTTCGCGATACGTATGTGTAACATAGATATGCGAAGCAGTACACCTAAATAATCAAAGTTATCATTTCTATTTTGTAAATTTACGCTTTTAGGTGTTTACAATATAACTATCAAAATAAAAATTAAATAGTAAGTTTGAAAATAAGAGCTTTCCTAGCATTGAAAAGACTACAACACACGTGTTTTTTTTTTTTGGAAAATAACTGTCCAATTGTATAGGTATAACAATGGCGTGCCAAGTTATTTTGTACTGGAGCATTTTTTTATTCCTTGGCTGCACGCTTGCACACTCGTCAGTTCTGGCTTGCATTAATTCAGTTCGGTTCTAATGCGATCCCAGCTCAGCTATAAAGAACAAACCTTAGGATTTTACTTGCTGCAAGATGTTTTTTGTGTCTATACGCACAATTATTTACTTTCACCTTTAGAAGAGAGATCAACTCATTTTTATCGGATGTACAGCAACCTCGATTGCAAGTCGATCAGAAAGATGTTACTCTCATTGCTTTGCACATTGAGTTTGCACTGAATATGTCTACAAGTTTGGGAAAAAGAATTTATTAGAAAAGGGAGAATGTAGAAACCTTAAGGGGGAAGAATTAGAATCCCTTAGCGAGAAAGCACGACCTAGCGATATATAGGTCAACCTTCCTTACTGACTACCAACAGAAGATGCCGGTTTTTTACTCACTGCTGAGTGATTGTCGATGAAGAAGGCATCCCCTACGTGCTGGCGTGAGCTTCATCCAGGTATTATCCAATTTATATATTCATAATTCATTTTTTATACCAATATTATTATTATCATGTTCTTTGTTTCAACACTTTGTATACCGAAAAGATCATATTAGGGTTCATTATAGACTCGCTAAAGTATTACCATGGGACACAACGAATTTCGTCGACAGGTCGGGCGGATGGCAACACCCATTCATAAATGTACCTTAGGGTATCAATTTCCGAATTATGATCTACAGACTCCAACTGACACATGTAGAAAACTCATCTACAGACACCACAGACAACATTACAGATACTGTTATCGCTAAAATATACGACACACTTACCGCATCTAGTCTTTATCATGCACTTATCGCGTTTATTGAAAAGTAAATTGCGATTTTGTGTACATTCCTTGCATGCACACTGGATTCTTACGAAATTATAAGAGATTCATCTTTTTTTCTTATACTCAAGTGACATTCTCTCTCAATCATCGTGTTTCCATCTGGGGGAGTCTGAGAAAAAAACAGCGTTTGCTGGCATCTAAGAGGAACACATTTGACACAAATGAAGGAACTGTGTTTATACATATGTGTCCTCTGTTATTTTCCGTCTCTCTCTCTCTCTCTCTCTCTCTCTCTCTCTCTCTCTCTCTCTCTCTCTCTCTCTCATTCTCTTTCTCTCTCTCGCTCTCGTTCTCCCTCTTACTTTTTCTTTCTTTTTCGATAAGCCATCCCTTTTCTTTGAAATCCGACCTTAAATGATTTCATGTATCCCGAACTTTTCCGTATAAAGGTTCTTAGGATGTGTAACACTAGGCTGTTGACATAGCGGCACTATGATTTCGAATATGAGCGATGTAACAACAGCTGGTGATCAACAACATCATTACTTCGTGTAAACATTTTCCATTGTCATTGTAGGAGGAAGAGCGGAAGAAGCGTGAGGAACTAGAGAGGATTATGGAGGAGAACAACAAAAAGATCGAGGAAGCTCAGAAGAAACTGGTAAGTGGGTACAACCTGAAGAAATGTGGATTAAGAGATAAAGGAGAGGTTGACAGGTAATTGGTTCATGATTAACCTCAGGCTGAAGAAAGATTGGCCATGGTCGAAGAGCAACGATTAATGGAAGAAGAGAGGCAAAGAATGAGGAAGGAACATGAGAAACGCGCCAAGGAAGAGCAGAAGAAAATCTTGGGCAAGAACAACTCAAGGCCTAAATTATGCTTTACGCTAAAATCAGCTACGTGAGTCCGCATTATTTCGTGCAGTTTTATATGTGATATATATGTACACAATCTTGTTAGCTTTCATACGTGATCCGTAAGAACAGTCGTCGCAGACAGTACATATGTAGATGCATAAGCAAGTAACGATAACGTAAGACCCAAAGTTCACCCTAATGTATTCAGGACGGCTGTTGAATGAGGCGGGGTTGACTTTCGTTTGGTCGTAAACCGATAACGGACACGTTCGAATCGAGTGACGAATTCTCTCTTCGTGAGACTTCAGCATAAATGCAATTTCATGTTGCGCGAGATTATACTGACATCAGAACGAGCAAGTACAAGAATTTTGACGCATGCATCTCTTACATGAAACGTGAATACAACTGTAATATAGTTTTTTTTATATACACATTTTTCAGTTGTATAATATTCAGTTTTAACTTCAACACGCGGAACTTCGAGGCCCGTTCTCACTCGATTTATTTGTTCTACCTGATGTGAGTGTATTCTAGCCTGCTCGGATGTGTTTCATGATTTATGCATATGCAATTCATATATTATAGGTCTTCTATATTGTCATCTTAATGTACAAAGGGCGTAATGATTTTATTTCAGTGAGTGACGAGTCACTTGTGTAATTCGCAATCATCCACTTATAATTATGTTGTACATTGCGCGTAAAGACGCAATGATAATAGAATTCAATACATTATGCAGTATGAAATTGTTAGGTGGATTGAACATAGTTTCACATAAAACGCTATGCATACGACGATTATTTTTTTTTCCCCCCAAAGTTGTATATTTTACAGGCGTCTGTAAAATATAATACTACTTTAATAGTGAAGTGAAAGACAAATTTTTATGGCAGTTATAATTGCCGATCAACCTCCTTACTATGGCGTTGTTTGATTATATACATAATCACATTTTTAGAATCTAATGAAAAATATCCAATGCAGAATGCGTTCTGCGAAGTAATAACAATGGTGATAGCGTCATTTTTAATCAAAAATAATATAAAAGAAAAAAATACAAAGAAAGAGAGAGAAGGTGAGAGAAAGGCAAAATATATAGATACACAAATAATTGCGAAAGTAGACAGATTTGTACGTAACTAACGTATAAATGCGGGTATGGCATAATACTACCTACTTATATATGTAGATATACTGTAACCACATATGTACACGCATTGTTTTCTGTGAAGAAAGTTTCAGTTTATGTAAACTTATATACCTACCACATTGTTACTTGTAAAATAAACACGTTTTTAATAAGTCTGCGATCAACCCATGAATCATCCTGCATTACGCGATATTTAGCCAAAGAAAGAAAAAAAAACATAAATATGCTTTTGCAACAATTGTATTCAGTTCTGCAAACCGAGCTTAAAAGCTGCTGTGTCCTCACTGGCTGTCCTTGTTTGATGACGTCAGAACTAGTAATCGCATGCCAAAATATATACGAAGGAAATTATCTTACGTTTCTCAGGTGAAATATTTTCAACTCATTTCCTGGATTTATTAATTTATTAATTTTATATGATTAATTTAACACTGGATACTTTTAAAATTCTGCCTAGAGATAGTCCATAGCGTCGAGGAGATCACGATGATGTGCGTGTTGAACAGAAACCGCTTCCGCTTGAAAAACAATGATCGCCGTTTCGTATTTACCGAACATTGAATTTCTTTCCGGTAGATCCTCTCCTAAACTGCCATGACATATCGTATGTATGCTAATATGAAATTGCTCTCATCATGATTGTACGGATGACCCAGACTGAAATTGAAGCGATTCTTTGCGAAATGAGATTTCGGAGACGCGACTTCCGGCGACGATATCTCATGCAGCCATTTTAAAACGACGATCTCGGCGGTGATTTCGGCGCCGCGAATAAACCCTTCCCGCGAATACCGAGACTCGTGCCTTGTCCCAAGACGTTAACACTACAGAGCGGATTACGTTGCTTGTAAATACGCTCGAATCGTCCTTGAAGTGCTGTTTTATCTTTACGGCAATCTAGAACCACTGAGAATCTCTATACAGTGAGATTTTATGCTTCAATATTTCTCTTCGTGTCTCATGACATACCTTTCATCGCATCCTCTATCACTTCCGGGTAAAGTTTCGCGGTGACCTGGCTGCTCGGCGGATGCAATCGCGGATTTGTATTTATCTCCAGTAGCCAAACCGAGAAGTCATCGGCCACTACGAAATCAGCGCCGTACAGCTGGAAACTATTCTTACGATTCATCATGTTATCTTGAGACGCTAGAAGCGTACCTATCAAATTTTGCTTTATTCCCGGCTCGATAGTTTTCTCCCAAGCCAGCTCTTGATCACGCGATCTAAACCAACAACAAATTGATCGATCAATTGTACGGCTTACAACAGCACGCGAAAAAAAAAATTCGAGAAACAAGCACTGAAGATAATCTTTGAAGTCTTGAAGATTCCAATGAAGCTCCTTGGGTATGTCGGGATTGCGTCTCGGTAATTTCCGGTACTTCAGCTGCACGGTCGTATTGCACAAGTGAATGGACTCGTGAAAATTGCTGAGAGTGAAATCTTTCGACGCGAATCGTATCAAGATGTCCCTGGTTGAAAAAAAAAAAACGTAATTACCGCAAATCCTTGAGAAGAGCGCAAACACCACGTTGACTGGATTGAAAATACCGTACTTGTACATCCACACGATGAGAGGTTGCATGTTCGTTATCAGGAACCATTGCCTGATATCTATCTTCGTCTTGTGAACGAGCAACGGTCGCTCTGCAAAATCGCAATTGCACGCGACGCGAAGGAAGTTTCTCTCGGAACATTCGAAATAAAAATGTGGAAGAAATTTTTTTCTTATAGCGAATTCGATCACCCGGACTGGTGCATACTGAAGGCTGTTATACATGCCCTGATAGAGATGTATGCAGTTTTTCTAGACATCCATCCAGTTACTGTTTAGCAGGATTAGTTAGTATTTTTTTAACTACGTTAAATTAAAAACTAATCTCCTAAAAAATTACCAAGTTGATGTTAAAAGAGTTACATAAACAGATGTAACTCAGTTAAATGGATACTTTGTATAACAGCCTTTAATATGCGTTAATCCGATGTAGTCGAATTTACCATTAGACTGTTACTTCATCAAGCTTTTTATCTTATGTTTTGCGTTTAAAAGCGCTGAAGATGTAACTGATAAAACGATAGGTACCTATATACTTTTGTATGACGTATTGAGTGCTTTCTTTCGTCGCTTGATTTATTTTTGCAAGTATATCGACTAGAGAGTTCTTCAATATGATCCCGCGTCCCAAACTGTTGTCACCCGGTTTTAAGATCCAGATATTGCGCACGCCATCGATCCTACTTTGTGCTCGATATTTTGTTATTGTTATCATCACATGGTGTGCCAATCTTACGAGCTCCTGCAAATTCCAACATATTTTTTTTACTTAGATGATTCGCGAAATGACCGATTTCAGGCTTTGACCGTAGCACATACATTCGTATCGATTTCATCGCTTTTTTCCAACAAAGCGCGCTTATTTATTATTTTGTCGAACCAATCTAAAAATTGATGCCAAGTAGCGAGAGACACGTGCTCACGTTCCTTGTGATCTATGTCTTCATGCATTTGAACGCTGTGAGAAAATATTTTATACAGTGTATTTACAGTGTATTTTGTCTTTCGAGATGTAGTATGCAACCTTATATATTCCGCACAGCGATCTAAGGCGAATGAAATCGCGCTCACAGGGATAGTTCCATTCGGGGAGCAAATGTTCGTTGTTCCTACCAAGGTTGCGAACAACAAGAACCACTTTAGAATTCCCATACACGCGGTGATGTAATAATCTTGCACAAACTCCTCCACTTGTGCCGGCTATCAGAAATTATGTGACATAAATATAAATTGCATAAAGTATATAATAATTACGTAACAGTATATATTTTGTACATATATTTTTCTCATAAAAAGAAATTATATATACCCAGTCCATACCACCAAGCATCAGTTACATTTTATCTGTTATAATTTCACATTTCACAATAATATAAATGTTATATAACATTTACATTGTGAAATTATAATATAGATATAATGTAACTGGTGCTCAGTGTTGACTGGGTATATATTTAAGATGATCTTGAATTTTATTTTAAGATGCTATATAGTCGATGAGTTGGTTCTTGCAAAATCTTAGATAAATTTAAGAGATCTTTAAATATAAAGTCAAGCAGTGAAAATATCACTCATAGTACCGCAATTTGAACGCATTATTATCATTCGCACCTGATAGATATTGTAACAACGTGGAAAATGTATGCAAGACACGCCATCCTCGTAAAACCAATACGCGTTCTCCAGATTGTTACACATGTCGACCTGGATAATTTGCACATTATACTTCTCACGTACCGTATCATGTACTTTCATCAAATCAGATTACCTTAGACGTGAAGTAACTACCAGCAAATTTATTCACGATCGTTCTCTCGCCTGCTCTGATAACAGCCAATCTCCTATTTGTGTACCATATAAAGTCAGCGGGAGTGCGTAGCAATTTCTCAATTTGTTCCGAGCTGTCTATCAAGGAAACTCATTGAAATCGACTAGTAAATTGCCGCAGGATTTATGCGTTTAAATACAACCTGTGTATATATCGGGAATCAGAATCATTTTCCTGATCGCTCTTTTCTCGATCCAGCCTCGGTTCGCCAACGGTTTCTTCAGAGCCGGAAACACACCGTGAATTACGTAACATTTGTGCTCATTTACGGCTTTCATCAGGATCCTCAGTAGAAAACTAGTCCTGACCTCCACATCTGTTGTCAGCTCCAAGTATTTCTTCAATACTATATTCCCGTTATGATCGGCTTCGTTCTTCTCCGCTTCCAACAATTCATCTAGATCTTCGCGATTGCAACAGACCTCGGCGTTTACGGTTGCTCTTTTCTCGAATGCGCGTTGTAAATCAATTTTTAATTTCGGAGTTGTTTCAGTTAATCGCGAATCTTTCCCCGCGTCGCTTTTCGGAGAAATCTGCAATTTTATAGTTTCAGTGAATAAGACAACTAATAGCGAGATAAATATCAAGTAAATCAGCAATATATGAAATTCTTCCGATGCAAACCTGCCAGTCTTCGAAATGCTTTTTGATCGTATAATTTTTGGAAATTACGGTTATTTGCCACTTGGATTTGCTGTCAGCGCAACTCACCACATTATTGTTATCGTCGCAATGCATTTTCCATTCAAACTCACAATTTTCCAGTCTGGGTGTCATGTATTTCCTTCTTAATTTTCTTTCTTTTTTACATTTCTTTCTTTCTTTCTTAATTTGTGCAAATATCCCTAAAAAATGTCTTCCTTCGGACTGATAATTTAGAAAGCGACAATTTACCGCACTCGCTTTACCTTTATCGATTATTACGTGAATCGATAACCTACATTCATAGTTTACGGCGTGAATCCTTAGTCACGGCTAACAAATATTGTCACAGCTGAAAATATATGATATACTCTCGAGTTGCACACGAATTTTCTCTTTTTTTTTTTATTTTTACGTCTCGCATGATATCAAGTTTTTCTATTTGTTAGCCGTAATTTTTATATCTCATCAGTGTCTTTTTCATGGACGCGTCCAAGTATTTCTCCACCGCAGACTTTTGAAACATCGACTTCCAGATCTTGTCAGTTTTGTATTCTTGATTCTTTGAAATAATAATAGGTGATCCGTTCTGATGTTTTGTGCGCTTTTCTACTTTGAGCTGATTCGAAATCTCCTTCGATTGACTTGTTGAAGAGAAAGCCGACAGTAATTTCGATAAGGTCTCATCGTTGCTTCCGTTCATCTTTTCGATGACTTTTTCGATGTTCTTCGATAAGCATCTATTTTCCGTCACGCATTCCTTCGTTCTCGCAACATGGTCGGTTCTGCAATTAAATGTATCAATATTGAAAAAACTTCTACTCGTTCGTCAGGACATTTCGGTATTTGTAAATGGAAAATTTGACAACGAATGCGAATTATTATCAGGAAGGGATCACGGTGAATTTATTTGGGCCATTTCGGGCTTTCTACTGTTTCGATATTCTTCCCTCTGCGCACTGCGAGTCTCTCGCTCTGACGGTGGAGAAGTAAGACGATTGTTAATAGTATAATCGTAACATTTATTAATTGTATACATATATCACTTGTAGATAGAATTGGAGAATCGATCAACAGCAATGAGAAGAGTAACGAGTAACGAGTGCATTCGATAAGTTTCTTTTTCCTTTTTTTTTCGCTTTTAACTATTTGGTCAGGCTTAAACCAACGGCGTACATGTCAGTGATGTCCGTTAGAACTTTGCTCTTCTTACGGTGCGTCTGTTTCTTCGGGAGGCTACGGGTCTTGCTCTCGTTCATTGGCGTGGGTGTAAGTTTGACTTTCGGCACGAACAAAGACGGCTGCGGCGGTACCTTCGCCGGGATCGTCACGTTTCTCTTGTACTTCTTCATGGCGTCGCGCATCGCGGTTTTGACGATCTGTCGAAAGAAAACGGGAGAAGAGAAAATTATGAAGTCGATCGAAAGACGATCGTCGTGAAATGTTATTTTCGCAACAGATAAACCTTCTCCTCGTTTTTCCTCGTCGGTTTCTCAGATTTGGGCGCCATGCTCGTCGATTGTTGCTGAAGAGCCATGATCTTTGAGATCAGCGTCTGCCTCATCGGAACCGTGTCCGATTTGCCGTTTACCGTTCCCGTAAATGTCCGCAACTTTCGCGTGGGTTTGTGCGACGAACTTTTACCGTTGTTCGAGTTGGCTTTCAAGGGATTATTCTGCAAAATGCGGCAGGAAACACGTCATATTCGAGTGATATTCGCGAATTTCGGACGCTGAAATGTTCTTCTCGTTGAATTCAAATTAATTACCTGGACGTTAGTCGGCGACTTCATCTTATTGACAGACGTGGCGCTAACCGAGGTGCTTTTCGTGACGGTCTCGACTTTTTCCACAAAAGGCAACGTCTTCGAGGGCTTCGCTGGCGCGGTCGCCGGGATCGCCGGTCTCAGCTTCGGCGAATCCAAGTTGTAATAGGAATACAATTCTTGATCGAGCTGGATCTCCAATTCTTCTATCAAATCGACGATCACCGGTCCGATGTTGCTGTGCACCATCGATTTTTTCTTCGTCTGACGACAAACAGATATTATCGCGATCTTCGATTCGTTTCTTCATGTCATCGTAACTCAATCATTAGAAATATAGAAAAGCCTAGAAGATAAAAGGGAAGATAAAAAAAAAAGTATTTTGATCGTTTGGGACGTGTGTTAAATTTAACACAAAATTTTTTACTATATAGATTCCCTGCGTATGTTTGAAAGTCTAATGAACTAGTTAGCGCGTGCATTTACATTGTCATGAACATATTTATTCTCTCATATATAACATTTATCCGCAACAATCGCGCTTGGCTCTTATAGGCCTTTCTAATTTCTAGTGATTCTGTATCTCAAGAGTCTAATATATTTAATTTGGTAACTCAGACAGCCTACACTCCTCTAAAAGACGTACGTCTACAAAAAAATAGGACCTCTCTTAGGAGTTCCTGACGGCTGGGAAACTCACCAATGGGGACTTGGCAATCAAGTTGACCTTGGGATCCAGATGCGTGTTTGATTTCTTCTCGCACGTGGTAATGCGAGTACCCTGAAGCGACAAGGCCGCGCCAAGGTATGGGTGGCAACTCGGCATTCGTTGCTTGTAAACCAACTCGAAGTGTCCCGTGTCCGCGTTTTTGTCCTCTCGAAAGTCCACCACGACTGCCGACAGAAACGCTTCGCTGTAATTGTGTGTATGATGATATAAAAAAGCAGCTTTTGCTAATCGATTGTAGATCACCTTTGATGGTATCCTCCATCACTTGTCGACACAGTCGTGTAGTGACGCTAGTGGAGTAACTCATGTCCGGATGACTATTGATCTCGATCAACCACACTGAAAAGTCCTCCATTACCATGAAATCGGCGCCGTAGAGCTCGAAACTGTTCTTCCGTCGATCCATGGCTTCCTGACTGGCCAACAGCGAGCCCACCAGACCTTGCTTCATGCCAGGGTAAATCAACTCGTCCCATGCTTCTCCGTGGTCTTGAGATCTATCGAATTTTCATGGAACCCTTTTAATCATTCGAACTTTCCCTCCGTATCTTACTTCTTTGTTTGCAAGAAGTCGCCCATGCATATATATTTATAACGGCAGGCTGCTAAACAAATGATTCCATAAATAATCGCTAGAATTCATCATCTAATAGCAGAGATATTAAAGGGAGCATAATAGAGCCATAACGCTACCTTCTTCTCTAATATTTAAAATATCGGGCTGATGCGAAGAATTCGCACTTTTATGTTCAACTCCGACTTGTAGAGAGTTATACTGATTCGGGTATTGAGAAAGAAATAAAGAGGAAGGCCTCGCTTTGTTTCCTTCTTAATATCCGCCATTTCGTACTTGAGGAACTCTTTGAATGTCGTGACGTCCCACATATTGTCCGCGGGCAACGCGGCGTCCCTGTCGCCGCAGTTATTGTATTTGCATTGGATCGCGTGATTGCACAGATGGATCGACTCGTGGAAGTCGTCCAGGCTGAATTTTTGCGAGCAAAAGCGTAGGTAGCTCTCCCTGTGAATAAGCATCAGTCAACGGAGGTATTCGATCCCTTCGACTGCGTTATCGTATCAGTGAATAGGGCGATTAAAGCGCGAGTGGCGCGCTTCTCCATCGAGATAGGGTATTTATATCCGAGTGTGCGCGACCGGGAAACAGGGTCACGCGCTTGAACGTCTCGGTACGGCAGAAAATTGATTATTAGCCTACTTTCGGGGGGGTATCATTATCTCTTACGGTTGAGCTTACGCTATTACGCCCGTTAATTGTTCTGGCGTGTGCGATGTTACAAAATGTCGTGACTTATCTGTTAGACCTTGATGTTTGCGTACCTGTACATCCAGAGGGTCAGAGGTTGCGCGCATGTGACGATGAACCATTGCCTGATATCGAATTTGGTGCTGTGAATCAGCAACGGCCGTTCTGACAGGGAAATAAATGAATTCTCTGGTAAAGTACGGATAAGAATTTCTCTTGCGTGCGCGGAAATAAACGCTGTTGTATTAATAGAATCGGTCATCGGTCTAAGAAATCACTATTAAAAGACTATATACATATACTCTTGAAAAATAATAACTCCTTGACCAATTAACGGTAATTTTTTCGTATCCTTATACTTTATTTCCGCAAAGGAATCTTCTTGATTCAATAGCATTATCACTGAAATATATCAACTTAAATATCATACATTGATTAGTTAACTCAAGTATTAGTTTCAATAATATTGTTATTGAATTAAGACGTATTGCAATTATGGCACTTTCGACTAATTCTTTGATACAGCATTATTTTTTTTTTTCGTATGCGAATTAACTCTTCTCTAATCTATTTGGCTTCGTTATAACTCATTACCGATGTACTTCTGCACGACGTATCGTGTGTCCGATTTCCCCGTTGGGTTTATTCTCGCCATCACGTCCTCCAACTTATTCATCAGCACGATACCACGTCCTCGACTCTTGTTGCCGGGCTTGAGAATCCACACGTTCATTACGCCATCCATGTCGATCTGCGGCCAATACCTCTTCATCTTCCTCAGTACATGCTTCGAGGCCAGAACATATTTCTGTCGGCAAGCACGACATGATTTCTCGAATGACGCGAGCAAACGGTTACAATTGAATCACCGCGAATAGATGAAAAAAAATACAAGATAGCATAGAGATTACGATTGTCTCACGTTAATGGGTACATTGGCGCGAACGAAGAGAGCTTGTCCGTGAACGATCTGATAATACCAGCTAACAAATTGGTCCCACTGGTGAGACCAGATTCGCTCGGCCTCCTGATCGATGTCCTCGTGCGATTGAGCGCTGATATAATCGTTGCACCTCTTGATCGCGAAGTCGAGCGCCTTCAGGGGTATTGTGCCGGTCGGCGAGTGCACGGCATTTTCATCTTCGGCGTTGACCTTCATCACTAACCACTTCAAGAGACTCAGACACCCCGTGAGTCTAATGAAATATTCATATATGTTACATCAGTCGGTATATTTATCCAATATCCATGTAAGTAATATCAATTTTGTGTGTCCAAGTGCTACCTTGGTATCCGGAATATCGATTATGTAAGTGTTCCTAGGGCGGAAACGTGAAAAGTAAAATTTCCAAATGTTTTCGAATTAAAAAATTCACACTTTTCACGAATTCACGCTGGAGAAAAAGATTCATAACCCTCTTAGGATTGATCACGAATCTTCTCTTCTAACGTGAACTCGTGAAATAAATATAAATTTTCTAATTTGAAAAATATTTGGGATTTTCACATTTTACGTATGAAAAAATTACATGATCGATAGCCAAGTAAAGAAATATTACTCCTGATTCTAATCTAAAATCTCGATATCTCTTCTTTATGAAAGAAAATAGACTGGTCTTTTGATTAGGAATCGGTTCGTGAAACAGTTATGACCTTTGATGGATTGAGAGTGCTTCCTCACCGAAAATCTTCGACGAAGGCGTGCATCTGATCGTCCTGGCATATGTTGTAGCATCGCGGAAACAGAGTGTTGGCCACTCCAGCTTCGTAATACCAGTGCATTTGTCTGACACTCGAGCACAAGCCCACCTGAATAATTGATTTCCGAAGAAGTGCATGTGTACTCTTCCCTAACGACTCGCAGACACGCTCTCGCGAAGAGCGCGTACTCCCATCAAGCTATATCTCTTGTCTAAACATCTCTATGTTTGAAAAGAAACTCTTTTTTGCTTCAACGGTTAGATTACCCGTCTCAATCTTCTTGACGTGCAAATCGATTAACTTCCAAACGATAGAGAAAGAGGGCACAAAATCGCATTAATCCGGTCAAATTCTAAATTAACCGTGAAAGATGAAAGTATCGCGTAATTGAATGCGTCAACAATACCTTGGACGTGAAACCCGCTCGGCAGTATCGATTGAACACAGTGATTTTGTTATCTTGCGCGGGCCAGCCGGGCCAGTCGGAGCCCGTGTTCCACAGGAAATCGACGGTGTGATTGGTGAGCATCCTCGATATCAATTGACGTTCGTTCTGTTGATCCTTCAAATCGCCGATACCGGCCAATAAAACCACGGGATTCGCGTCAACGTTGAAATGCTGATCACCTGAAAGAGTTATTGTCGCACGTCCCAGGTAGAAATTTCAAACGAGAGGTCCTACACAATTTTCCCCCACTTCTATCTATCTAGATCGTTCCTAACAGAAATGTAAGGTTCGTACAATTTGGTCCTAATAAAAAGTCTAAAGCGATTAATTACCGGCGCTGTTTCTGCGGTAAAATTTCTCGCACCATCCCCTCTTCAACATACAGTCGCGAATGACCCGCGATTTCCCGTAAATCATAAAAATATGATGGGCAGCTATAGCGTCCTTCACGATTTGTTTGACACGCGAAAAACGTTCGTGAAGGGTCGGTGGCAGTTTTTCAGGCGGTTCGGTTTTGTTTTCCGAGCTATCTGGTTCCTCTTTAAAGAGAAAAGGGAAAGGAAGCAATTATCGGTTCGATTTGTTGGCGTACGAATAATTGCGCTGAGAAAGGCTTTCAACCTGCTTTGAGGAGGTTGACGTCGCGATTCGTCACCACCTTAACCTCGGCATTTTCAGTCTCGTTCTCGACGCCTTCCCCTTTCTCTTTCCTTTCCTCGTTTGAGCTTTCCGCACTTGAACAGGATCCATCGTTGGCGTTCATGTAGCGCAGCTGAGAAGCGCGAAACTTTCCCGCTCGAATGCGTCTCACTGGTGTTCATGGGTTCTTCATCGCTTCGTTGCTTTCAACGGAAAGTGCGAGCGACAGGCAGTATCGTTAGATTAATCTGAAAATACACTCGCATAAATATATTCATACGATATACTTAATCGATTACATATACCTGCTCCGTTATAGGACGATATATATTTTATAAATAAAATTTTATATGTTATTATAAAAATTCGATTTCAATATTCAATACGTGATATAAAATTCTCAAGAGCTGGACACGAACAACGAATTGAGAGCGAAGGCGCTGAATTTTCGATAGAACATCCAACGGGTCGTGACGGACTCACTGCGCCACTTCTGATACCTGTTGAATCCTCGATACTTGCCCGATGTGATCGGCGCATCCTTCGTGAATACTAAGACGATTATTCGCGCGAAACTAATCGGCGACTAATTACCGTGGATGAGAAACCGAGGGGAAATACATAAACAGCGAGTGGATACGACTGAAGATGAAGTTCTGATGGAAGTGAAGGCAAGACTGAACGACGTAGAGGTAACGGCACGCGAATCAGGTGGTGGAATCTGACATTTCGCAGGTGCGCGCGCGTGCCAGGGGTGTTTTAAGATGCTTCTGATGATGGAAGCGCTCAAACGAGATTATATCGACACCCCGCCGCGTTATCGACTGATCGCCTCTCCGTTTCCTTCATCGATTCAGCCATTTAAGAAGAACCGATCCTTCCAATCGGGAAAATCGCGATTCGTGAGAGAGTGATGAAAGTATTCCATTAATTTTGCCGCAAAAATTACAGCCTTTCTAAAAGATTTCTCCGTGGATCCCTGCGAAATTATGAAAATATAACTCGCCCTCTGTCGTGTGCAAAGGAAAAATGTTTAGCCTTTGATTACTTTTTAATTACCCGTTTGTTCAAAGGAACAATAGCCTTCGAGCTTGGGGAGGCAATTTTCTCGCGATAAAACGCGCGATTGAGTATCCTCTAATTGTCGCGCACCTACAGCGGTGCTTACGCAGGAGATCGTAGTCGCGTTAACCTGGGTAATAAAGACGGACGAAACGCTCCTGGACACGTAAGCCGTGCAGGTGGCGGCCGAGCGGGAGCTTACGAGCAGCGTACCAGGCACCTCTACGGCGCAACCCCCCAGCGCACGTCAGCGACGAATATAGGCGAGGAAGTCGAAGAGATCGCGTGGTTAATCGGACCACGCCGCTCGGACCGTGTGCTCTGACCCACTTACTACGCTTGCATCCCTATAGTCATGTGGAGTGAGGTGCGCGGCAGGTGCCGGCTTGATGAATCGCTAATTGCACACTGAGCGATTGCGATCCGCCGCCCCCGATAACACCTATTTTAGAATCGGTTCGCAATCCGGCGCTTGGTCACGCGCGAGACGCGACAATTTTTTAGGATACCCCGAAATTTTGAGGGAGACTTTAAGTTTACGGACACTGGTTGGACGTAAAGTACCGGGAAATTTTGGTTGTACTGGTGACCCGAGTGGTTGACATGTCGCAAACGGATGGTATTGGAAGACAATGCAGAGCGAAGTTGCCGAAATATAGATATAAGATATAATAATAATAGGTTCATATGAGTGAATTTCTGTGACACTTCATAACGTAAAGATGAGCAGCTTATCGTGAACGATGTACTTTGATGAAAAACGCCTCTATTTAGATAGGACTAAATTTGACAATTAATTTACAGATAGAAATTGGAGTGCGACTATGCTTGTAATTTAGCTGTTCATTCGATTGAGTTCGTCCGATTCACTTTTAAAAACGCTCACAATCGCCGCTATTATCGTTCGACTTGGCACTACAAGCCGCTTTCATCATAATTTTAAATTACATATTTTACACTAAAAGTGCTCATAATGCTCGCTGCCATCATTCGACTCGGTACTTCGAGACGCTTTTATCATAATTTTAAATTGAATGCGTCACTATTATCCGTTTTCTGAAAAGAGATACAGCAACGACGTAAATTTATCACTTTATTAATTGTTTTGGATTGTTTACTGATAGAAATGTTCGTTCATGCTGATTTGAGGCAAAATTTATCGACAGTAGGTAGGACAGTAAGTTAACGGCGAAATCTCGTAAAATGATTGTCTTGTCCGATGATAATACTACTAAATGAATGTCACTGTGGTAATAACGTTTTGAAATTTAGCGTATCTGCACTTCTTACCTTAGATCGGTATTCTGAACCCCTTTTAATCGATGAATGCTCAAATAAATACTCTTTAGATGACTGTATAGATACAGTTTAACTAGAGAGCCTCTAATCAGAGTAACAACACCTGGCTACCACTTTTGATCGGAGGCTCGATCGCCGCAAATGCTACGACGAGCTTGGCCCTATCCGCAACAATTTCACTTGATGTATATCAAATCTAATAAATAATTTATTACTTTTCAGCAAACAATATCTCATTCTGAATATTTTAATTCAAATAAATTGGGCCATTGGTACTACTATTTAACCAAATAATTTACTCAAAACAAGTGATTTTTTTGGGGTTGAATACATTTTTCTTTCAGTGTACATCCTCTTACACATTTCTTCTTACACATTTTCGACGACAACACCGTAAGAATGATCATTCCAATAATGTATTACATATCTACTTTCTCAATCTTAATCTTTGCCTCTTTCAACTTAGTATTAACGGGCTTTTCCTCAATTATTTCGCTTTTGTCATTCTCCTTTTCCTTGCCAGACTGCTGCTTCTTGTCCGAATTGCGGAAACGATCGTAACGTGATTCCTCGTCGTCGCTGGATTTCGACGCTGCCGCTTCGCTTTCCCTCAGAATATCGCCTAGATCTTTGTCGACGTCGTCCCATGTAGATTTGTCGCCACCGTGAGCATGGTAATCGTCGTCATCGTCCTCGTCACCCTGATTACTCTTGCCTTCTTTCGTATTTTTCTCCGATTCCGAGCCGTTTGATTTCTGTTCCTCGGTTTTCGCATATTCCGAACCGCGAGTACCGTTATTATCGTTCGTAGCTGCAGGCGCGGTGCTCGCCGACGCTTGCGGTTCCGAATTGACGGGGGATGCTTTCACGGTTTCCGACGAATTGACAGCGTTCGAATTATTGGAATTCACATTAGCCGACGAGGACGACGACGACGACTGCAAATGTATCCGTTCCGCTTGGCGTCTTAAGGCTTTATCATCGTTATCCCTCACATATCTGCAATACGCACGAGATTATTGAAACGTATCGATAATTCACGAGGTATCAATGTTGTATTTATTTAAAAGATACTAGAATAAATATACTAGAATATTGTTAATAAATTTCCAGTAATTTCAACTTTTATATCCAGCCAACTCGGTCTGAGATCTAATATCGTGGACACTATCCCTTATGGACCATTTACAATAGCCGTAAAATATGTAGCAAGACGTAAACAGTAATCTAATTGACCAACCATAGTTGACTTATTTTTGGAATGTATGATGAATCCAGTTGGTCTATTAGCTACATTTTTACTGCATACTTTGCGGCAATTGTAGACGATCCTTTACAAGGAATTATCTCTTCCCATTAAAAATGAATAAATAAATAAATTAATTGATAATTGTATAAAGACAGGTACCGTTTTAGATGACTACGAGTGGAACAGTGAAGAGCGACCGCCCTTTCAGTATTCTCGCTGCGTGGTAAATATACTTTGCACAGCTCGCAGTATTGCACCTCCACGCGTTTGATATATTCCGCGCCAACTTTGATCATTTGTTTCCCTTTTGACTTCTTCTCCGTCTCGCTTGTGGTCTCGCCTTCGATCTTATCCTTCTTCTTGTCGTTGGACTCTTCGTCTTCTGCTGTAAATAATAGTTGTTTGATAAAAAGCTTAAGGCATCTACACAAGACGCAGAATGCATGCGACGCGTGATAACCAACGAACATACAGCTTTATCGGAATAGCAGTACTCTTATCGAATATCCACGCGTTGCGTGTAACCTTATATAGATGGGCCTTTGCAGGAATAACATCTTTACACGATACTCTTTCTACTTTTTTTTTCAGGTTAAACGATAAGATTGAATGCACCTAACTAGTGAGACTCGAATAGAAAAAAGTAAAACGATGCAGATCGTATAGAAGCATCTATCCACGTACCGTCGACGTCGCCCACGGAATCCAAAGTCATGAAATTATCAAGATTGACTTCCTTATCGTCTTCCTCGGGCGCGCTGGAGTCCGCTTCCGCTTCACCGCTGCCGTTAGCGTTCATTCTCTCCTTCAGTGCGCTTTTTCTCTGAAAAGGAACGATAACTTGTAACCGTGTAATCGATAATCTTACAATAGTTACAATCATTGATCGTCAAAGCGACCTTACCTTGATGTGATCTAGAGAACACATATGTGTCTCGAATAACATCGGTGAACGGAATTGTATGCGACAGACGCGACAGAATGGCATAAGGAATCGCTTCATCTGACGATGCGACTCGGATAATTGATGAGCGGCTTTGAGAGAACGGTAATTCAACTTGCAAATTGTGCAGAACATAGTACGAGACGGTAATGTGCCACGAGCTGCGTCGCGAGCTTCGACGCGTCGTTGTTCTTGCCGTTGCAAGACTCTCATGCGCGTGAGAGTTGCCTTGTGTCGCGACGCGATACGTCTCATAGCTGCACTGTGACGACCGGAGAACAGGTGGAGCGAGTACTCCTTGAATGTTACGCTGTGATGAGCGCAATGTGGACACTTCAATTTGATGAATTTTCTACCATCCCGTCTGCTTGGTAATTCTTCGGAACCAATAGCTCTATCGCGCTCCGTTTTGTCATTCTCATCTCTCTCCTCATCGTCACCGTCGTCTTCTTCGTCTTCCTATGATCCCCGGGAAGATGAAGGAAATCGACATTACAATATTAAACGATTAAAGATCATTCTAATAAACAAAATAAATTATTTATAATAATTATTTATTATTCATAATAATTACAATAAAGGCCGATAAGAGTTTAAACTGATTAACTGGCTAATAAAATCTCTGTGTATTAAAGTTCACATAAACCAAAAATAAACAGAAGTAAATTTAGTAACAGCTGGAAAACATCGACTTACATCTTGCTTCTGATGATCCTCTTCTTTCATATCATCGTCCTTTTCCTCCTCATCCTCGGTATGTTGCCTCTCTCTGTCCTGCTTCTCTTTCTTACGCTTGTCGTCTTTAGCCTTTTTCTCCTCTTCCTCTTCTGCCTCTTCTTCTTCATCGTCGTGTTCGTGCGGCTGTGTAACGTTAATTGAAGAAACATTACCAACCTAACCCAACACGTAGCCGTAAAACATTAGTTATTTGTTTAGTTCGGCGTAATTTGCAAAAAAAAAAAAAAAACAGTAGATGGTATCGAATTTTGCAGCATCATGCAATTAAAGGCTGTGTTCCAAAATTCACTGACAGCGTTGAAAATCTATAGTTCATGTTACGTATACCATAGATTTTCAGTATTAGCAGTGAATATTGGAACACAGTCTAAAATTGTGCGGATAAGTTCTCATTTATAATGAGAAACTGACCTTAATCTACGACGATGAATGATAAGCTCGACATTGTTGAATAAAACAAAATTACCTTCTCTTCATCGTCCCAATTACTCTTATTATCGTCGTCCTCATCCTCGTCGTCATCGGAAAACTCAGCGTTTATGGCTTTGGCCATCTCTCTATCCTTGTCCTTCACGCTGGTTCCTGATCCTGAGTCCTTTTTGCCCCCAAGTCTAGTAGTACCGCTACTAATGACACAGCAATGTTTGTTTGGCTTATATTATGTTCCTCCGTTCCATTTCCTGATGCCTTGTTATTGTTTGTTTTCCATTGTATCATCGAGCAAAACTTGCTGATAGATGATACGTAGCAAACATCGCGATATTTATCAATCTAGTGTCGTACTAAAAGCGTCTACTATCCTCTCACTTTTTTTTTGTTTCCACTGCTTTGCGTCTCAACTTCTTCACATTCGTCCATGCTATAAAAGTTATTATACAGAAGGTGCAACGACTTATTCTTTCTCCCTGATTTAGTCGTGCTTTGTGAAACGTGTATAGACTTTAAAGAGAACGATGTTTTTTTTTCTACATTGAATAAAATATACAATTTTTTTTTTCAATTCTCGTATGGAAAACAATTACATTGCGTCTCGACGATACGTTCGTTTATACGTATCACCGTCGATTCCTCTCTCTATATGCTTTAAAACCCTGCGAAAAGTTCCCTCTCAGTTGCGTAGTATCTATCTCGTGGGATCATTTGCGTCAACTTTTTTTTATCGATCGAGTTACTCACATAGACATTTGCTCGGTTGCTTCCTAGTACCTCCATATTTTCTGTCCTTCTCGCTTTATTATTTTTTTTTTTATTATGTATACTTATACGTAGAGACTTTTCTAATCATCATCCTGCGACAGTCATCGATCGTGCAACTCTCCGTAGCAGGACGAGGAAAACACACTGTCTATGAGAATAGTATTCGCGCGTGGTACGCATGGTAAATGTGATTGTATTAATTAATATTACCTCCTACGTAGTTTTGTGGTAGTCATGCGCACACGCTGGATGTAGTCTCGCGAGCGTGAGCCTAGCAGCTTTCGGCGATAGTCGAGCGAATGGAGGGTACGCTTGCGAGCCACCATGAGGACGTCCGATCGAGAGCTCATCCGGTGGAATCCACCACCTCTGCCGCCGCCGCGGGTCGAGATGCGACCTCTATAATTTGAATTCTGGTGCGATATTCTTCCCCGACCCGAGGTGTATCTCTGAGTCGGGGGCGGTGCCATGTCACTAATCCGTGGGGGTGGCGGAGGTGCATAGCTCCGAGATGCGGAATGACGATCCTCGGAGCGGTGATACGATGACGCACGTTCGCTCTGTCTCTTGTCCTCGTACACTCCGGACGACGACGAGCCCTTATTATCATCATAAGGCGCCGATGCGGATGAGCCACCGTATGACGAATACCTCTGTGAGCCGCTACCGCTACCTCCTCCACCCTGCCAAATCAAATTCAGTTGTGCTCCTTCCATGTATTCCTCTCTTTATTATTATTTTTTTTTTGTTTCGTGTCTCCTGCCTCTCCGTCTCTTTCTCATTACATTTATTTTTATTCTACGCACGTATGTACATTTTACGTATTTAGGTATATGTGTGTGTAGGTACGTCGACAATCGTCCTCCTTTCCCCTCTTTCTTTTTTTTTTTATTCCCACTCCTACCATCCGTCCAGCGTGGATCTTTCTACGGGTATACGGAATACGTTCACGTTTAACTCTCGATTGCTATTTGCTGCCAATACACACAGGCTACTCCGACTTACTCTGACCGACTAACATTGACTAAGCGACTAATTTGACTAATTGCTCGATCGACCGATTAAAAAAACTGATTGTTCGACTAACAGCGTGATCGCTGGTGCGACTGTAACTGACACGTATACTTTTGATCTTTTCATAAATTCCGCTTTCCGTCTCGTTATTCGACTCTCGCATTTACGTACGGTTTATCGTTTAGCGCTCGACATTGGCCCAACGTCTCTCGTGGCGACGATGACAATTGTCACAACTACCACCCATTCCCATTCGGACCACCTACGTGTAACTCGATTTCACTTTCTTTCCTAAATATCAAGAATTCCCCTACATACCTGTTCGTTGCCTTCTATTACGTGACTTCGCGTAATCGTTAACATCGCTTCGCAACATTTCTGATCTCGGGAATAGCAGTAGCGAGAATCAACGTTCGCTTCCCTCGAGCTAATTAATTCGGATTTTGTCACTTTCAAGATACATACAATCATGCTCGCTCGATAATACCTCCGTAAACCTCTCCAATTCTCAAGTTACCTCTCTTATTAGGTACGCATAATCGTATCGTTACATGCAAGAAATTCCTCTGCAATTCGTTAAACTCTCTCGTGTGCGTGCGAATACACACGAAGGAACAATCAGAACGAAAAGAACGAAGCAGTAGCTATTTTTACGTGATCATTCGTACTTCCTCGTTTTTGCTTGCCTGTCTGTTTGGGAATAATGATACGAGCTATTTCTGGCTATTTATACATCTATGTATACGTATACGTATACACATATGTGCATCCTGACATCCATTTTTTTGCGTTCACCTTTACCCACATGCATTATTGTGCCATCCAAGTATTTTCCACATCATCAGGTAGAGATACGCATATACGCACTAAACGTTAATTCCTCTCTAATCTCTCCTGGCCATTCTTTTAATACAAAGTCGATAAAGGACGTAGGCATCCTATGCGATTGGAAAAAAAGCTACGAAATGTATGGACATTCGAAACTCGTTGCTTTCGTAACTTAGAGCTCTCGGTATAATTTAGACAATCGTTCATACGGTGATTGCGGGTGGTATTCTGCGAAAGTCCCATGTGTCGTACGTATCATGTGGTTTTTTTCCCCTCAACAATTTCTCTAGAATCTCGTTGCGCAGTGAATGAACTTGATTGCGCTTATTGTTGCCATTTCGCAGGGAGTAACGTGACGATACCTCGCTTCATGCGTATATACGTGTGTACACGTGTATATGCAAGTATCTATTGCGTTCGATCGTTCGTTGGCTTTTCAAACAGTTCTCAAACTTTAATGCGACCATGTGCTCATAGTAAGAGACATTATAAATACCATCTAGGTATGTATATATGTTTCATCTTTCAATTATTTGACGTTTTCGTAGCGTTCCACTGCAGTAGCGCCCCAACGCAAAAAGAATGAGTGTTCGAGAAGCCGTTGGCTCGCGTCGCTTGAAAGGAAAGTATGACAACTTATGAATGCTTCACCTAAAATATACCGAGACTTTCTTACGTACGAGTGTCCTGAAACTATTTGCTAATCCTTAACGTTAACTTACAATCTTCAATACGTGATACGCTTTAATCGATAATGCGGCAAACTTTCAGGACCATCGTTTTCAAGTACACTATGCAAAATACGAAAAGATAACATTAAAGTTCCCCACATTGAAAGAGATCTCTCGATTATATGGAAATATAACTTCGCACGATTTAAGGAACTCTGACATTAATACCATATCACTACGTCCAATCTCAATTTTTATTCTTAACGGAGGCAAGGGAAGTCGGGGGGAGTAGAGAAAGAGGAAAAAAGGAGAGGATACATACCTGATAAGAATCAGTTCTTAATCTTTTCCGTGTTGAATCGCTAGACGATCGATGGTCATCCCTTGCAGAATAGGAATCCTGTAAAGAATAATTTAAGGAATACTGAGTACCTGTTTAAAATTTTGCAAGGGCTTTCGGCATTATATTTGTAAAAGTATATACTTACACGAGGTCTCTTATAACTGTTTGAATGATCACCACGACCGCCCCTGCTCGAATATCTTTCCGAACCTCCTAATAAGACAAGTCAAAAATATTACAATTTTGTTTACCAATTTTTTTAAGTACTTATTATAGGACTCGCGTGTATTATATTGATATATATCATTATTATTCTCAACGTTATTATCCCCAGTATAAAATAATAAAAATGTACAAATATTACCTGAATTGTACTTCGATCTAGAATCGTAGCTAGTTGTAGAATATTTAAATCGGCCACCTCTAGAGGATGAATAACCTCCTCTACCAGACATGTTACCTCCTGTAGAACCACTCCATTCATTTCCTCCACCGCCTCCACGGCCTCTATAAGACCCACCTCGAGAGCCAAAGCCACGACCGCGGGAACTCATATTAGAACTGAAAAAGGAAATTTGCTGAATACTTTATCATTAGGCCAATATATAGTCTACTTTTATCCTTTTGGGGCTTTACATGTTTCGACACACTATTATATAAGTTGTATATGTGGACAAGTATATTTACAATTAATTTGCAAAACTAATCAACTATTGATATGGAAATGTAACATTGCATAAGAATACATAAGGGAAAAAGGTAGAAGTTACTGAAATATATATAGTCAATCACAAGAAAGTTGCAACATTTTTTTTATAAATCTTAGAACGTGTCTTGTGTTCAATAGAAAAAATTTGATTTTTAATCATTCTTGGTAGATATATTTTCCTATTGGATAAAAAATGCATTGTGACTCATAAAAAAAGAATATTGCACTTTGTGACTGACCATACATACTTTGAGTAACATTTATGGTTATTATTTGTAATAAAATTTATTATTATTACTATCATTATTATATATATATATATATATGTATATATATATACCAACCTGTACTTATTATAACCGTAGCTCATGGTTGCAACTTATCGCTGAGTGAGACAGGGATATATATATAGAAAGAAAGAGAAAGGAAGGAAAAAGGAAGGGGGAACTATGGTGGGTATAGCCTCACTAGTCTATGAACAAAACATACATCAAAAATATTTTTATACAATGTGCACCACATAAGTTAGGTTCATAGAAAAAAAACACATCGATAGTCTCTTCAGAATATCATAAATTGTTACCGTACTTAATTAAGATTAATGTTACGATAGAGTGGTTCATTAAATCTGACAATACAACTTTGCTTAACTGCTTGCAAACGAGATAATTACTTCACGCGAAAATGTGGTGGTGCAGCACAACGGCATTAATGGCAGAGCGAATATCCGCGACGTACACGATCGCAGTGATGTGCGATGATGCCGCGTCGAGTAGGCGAAGCATGAAATAACACTTTATAAACGATCGATTTGCCATGAATTAAAGACGACTCAATGAAAACGTCGATAACTCCGTGTTCGCGGCTATATTCTCGGTATTCCTTAGCATCTCGTGCGCGAGCAACCATGATAACGTAGTAGAAAACTTACCTCGCTGGGGAGGGAGCCCCAGCCTTTATCTCCTTCTCACGAAGATGCGCTTGTACGCGAATTCTCGATCGACAACTTGATACGTGTAAAGAATACCTGAAGTGGTTGTTCAATTAGCTGGAGTACCTTAAACGCTGAAATCTTCGTCAAAAATTTCACATTCGAACTGGACACGACGCACAAGCCGGAGCAAGTAAAATGTCGGCGATCACGAAGCAGTAATTTCCTAGAAGCGCCTTATTGATGTTTTCGCGTCGCATACTAGAGAAGACCTCTTTAGATTTCCGGAGATTGGCCTCGGTTACATTTGATGCGTTCGGAAAATACAAAGTTTGCACAACGGTTGAGTAATTCGTCAACATAATTGGTCTAACTTTAAGGATCTAACAGTAAAAACCAATAATCACTGATTGCTTGTGTTTTCTGAACGCAGCCAGTAGGTCTTCGTACTAACTAGTAATTTTCTACTAGATCGTTTGAATAATTTCCGATATTTATTCGACAGAATGTATTGGTCAAATTTCAATTCAATCTCAATTTTCAATCCGTAATCTGATACGAGCTTTATATTGATAAATGTTTGAAAAATAATAGAATTTCTAGTAATTTCTAGTAACTTTCATGCCCGGTCAACAACTCTATACGAGATCTAGCACCGTAAATACAAGGTTTTCTGGTTTCTATTCACAGAACGCGGTAATGCTTGCCGTGCGACAAGAAGCGATGCGGCGGCCAATAAACTTTTAGTTCTCGTGGAAAAACGGCACGCTTTTTGCCGCACGGTAGTCAATCAACATGTCGTATTTCGAAGTTTATTGGCCACTGCTCGAACTTCCGCCGCGCGGCAAGCATTTTCGCGTCTTGTAGATAGAATATATAATTATATATAAAGTCGCCAGGACACGGTGCTTGTTTTCGTGCCCAAAGACCCGATTTTTGAGTTCGTGCGATTATGACATTTTCGATTTGCTGATTCGACTCGATTCGGGGTCATTGTACTGCTTTATTGTACGTTCTGATTGGTGCATTTTTAAAAATACGATGACCCCGAATCAGGTCGAATCAGCAAATCAAGAACATCATTAGAATGACTCTTATGCCCATATCAGACTACGGATTGAGGATTGAGATTGAATTGAATCTGACCAATCAATACAAAGTGAATTAAACTCAAGCTTAGTAAAATTTAGTGAATTCTACACTGATTGGTCAAATTTCAATTCGATATCAATCTTTAATCCATAGTCTGATACGGGCTTTACAGCGCGTGAGCGCCCAAAGAGAACGCAGCCTGGACTCGTTTTTTTCTGGAAAACAAAGATAAAATGACACTTAAGGTCTATTTATGCAGATTATAAACCGTTAACTTATGCTAGAACTATAAAAAACTGATCAATCAGTCGAATTATAGAGAAAAAATAATCGATTGTGATTCGTCAATTTCTTGCGGTTCCGGCATAAGTTAATGGATTATCGTTGCATAAATGGGCCTTTACATCACGTAAGCACTCACATCGAATGCAGAGCCAAAATCTGAAAAAATAATCCGATCTCAGCTCAGAAATCTTCCATTTGTGAAATAAACATCTGCTGATCGCGATCATTGGTAGATTACGATTCATCTGGTCTGTTCTTTTTAGCCGAACTGGCTTCACTGGATCAAGAAATTTACGCATACTGAAGCACGAGAATTTCGTATGTACGTTTCGTGTACATTTCAATGCGTATGTAAATTTCTTGAACCGATGCAGCCAGTTTAGATAAAAAGAACGGACCAATTCATACAATAGCGCAAATATGCAGAATTGTATAAAATGGCTGCCACGGTGCTATGCGCGCTGTATGCCCTAAGAGAAATTTCTTACAGCGAATTGTAACGCGACGCCAAATCGGCGGAAATAACGTATCGGCCTCGGTTCCGGATTGTCGTCATGGAAAGCCGAAGCAACGAGTTAGCGGTGGCAGTACCCGCGTTATCCGCGTTACCTGCACTGCCTGCAATAGTGAAGGAAGAGCCTGCTGAGCAGCATAACTCCAAGCAAGACACACAGCAGTCTCAACTGCAGGATGTTTGTCTCGAGGAAGAATGTGGCGACCAACGTATCGAATGCACCACCGAGAGTCAGGAGAGCGAAATCCGTGCATTTCTGTCAAAATGCGTCTTTTGCAACAAAATTTTCACTCTGGGAGACGAGCCGAAACTTCTCGAGTGCCTGCATGCAGCTTGTACAACGTGTGTCAATAATAAGCTCAGCGATCATAACACATCGGTGGATGTTGATGTATTATGTGTGTAACACATGCATTTTCTTTTTGATATTAGATAATTTTTAGTAAATCTCATGTTTATCTGCCAAACTGTCAAACTTGACAATATAAGTAATATCTTATTCCTATATGCACAAGATTGATTTGTTTAAAAATTACCTTATATTTATTGTTGTTTTGTGCTTTACAGTGGAGAGTAACGTAATTATGTGTCAACTTTGCAATGTTACTAGCCAAATGGAAAATCTGATTGAAAATAGATTTCTCTCGAAACTGCTAGAGGAAGATACCAATTTAGGAATAGAGGATGAAGCTAAAGATACCGAAGAGGAAAAGAAATGTACCAGCTGTCATGATAATGTTACAGCTACTAGTTGGTGCGTCGAATGCGAAGAATTCATCTGCCAAAATTGTGTTATGGTAATTACATATTGACACACATATATTTTATACAGATATATCATCAGTGATGATCAGTGTAATAATTTTCTATTCTATCTAATGATTGTGAGGAATGTGAGTTCATGTTGGATGAAATTATTCTCAGGCACATCAGAGATTGAAAATAACAAAGGATCATACAATTAAACCTAAGGATGAAGTAGCGAATGATAGAGACAATGTTAAGAAAGGTAACAAGAGGATACCTGGATGTCTGTTTTGTACAATCCATCCACACGAACAATTATCTTTATTTTGTCAGACATGTGACAGATTGACATGTAGAGATTGCCAACTCAGTGAGCATCGTGATCATAAGTACAAATTTATTCACGAAATTGCTGCTGAGACTCGTTCCTCCGTGACCACTTTGCTCAAGGAAGTTAGGTAAGATTGATCAATCATCTACAGTTCTGTGAGGCATGTCAGGATGATGCGGGTTATTTAGTGTTAATCATTTTCAGTTACAAACGAGTATTATTACGAAGCGCGATGAAAGTTATAGAAGATAGACAAATATTAATATTAGAGAAGAAGAAGAACCTTGTTCAGGACATAACTCAGATGGTAGTACAGTAAGTATACATATGTATTATATATATCCATCAGGGATGTCAAAATATCGATTCAATTTTTCTTAATTGAATAATTGATTTAAACAAATGTTATTTAATAAGATTAATTGACGATTGATTTCAACGAATTCAATTAGAGATCGTTTAATTGATAATTGATTTAAACGATTTCAATTAGAGGTCGTTAAATTGATGATTGATTTTAACGAATTCAATTAAATACCATTGAATGATGATAGAAGGTAAGATTAAAGATTGTTCAATTAATAGTAAATTTTCCACTTTCTCATGTGCTACAGTCACTCTGGAATCCCTCTCGTTCACAATGGGCTTAATAATCGTCATCGAATAATTTTACATTGAATTTGTTCATATAAATCGTCAATCAAATGGGCTTTAATTAAATTTGCTGATTCCGTATTAATTGAACGATTTTTAATTTCGTTCATGTTAATTGTTCATATTAATTAATTAAACTTTCATATTGATCGTCAATTAAACACGATCGTTAATTAAAAATATAATCAATATTCTGCCTCTACTCTAGACTAACGAATGCTATCAACACAAGGGGGAAGCAATTAGTGTTGAGACTGAATGAAGTGTGTGACCAAAAGCAGAATACACTGAATGAGAAAAAAGTCGCACTGGACCAGTTATCCAAGCTCACGGATCATTGTATACTCTTCGGCACTTACGCCCTGAATAAAGGCTCCGATATGGAGTTATTATATAGTAAAAAGTACAAAATGTAGATGCGAGTGTAGATAAGCGCGCGCGTTTACGTATGTACGTGCGTATATGTGCGTGCGTGCGTGCGTTAGTACGTGCGCGTATGTGTATAACGCTAACGCTACATTGTTGCATATCTATTCGTCCTACGTAATGTCTCATACATTTTTCACGTAGGTCCGTGACAAGCCACTTGCAGAGGATAAAGAGCCGACGGGCTGACATTCCGAATCCGGAAATACCAGTTCGAATACACCTGTCTCTGGAGAAAGTACCAGACCTGATAAAAGGTATAATTCACGGTATCTCTAAATATGAACGCGATTTCTCGCTCGTGAGTAAGTCGGTTTAATCAGACCGATCTGACGATAAGTGACGAATTCGTGCGAACAGCTGATCGGACGAAAAAAAATTGTTGTCCGCAGTTGTATCGTCGATCGGCGCGATAGTCGTTGACGGTAGAGTGTACCCGTCTATATCTCCCACTGCCTGCGGCAACACCGCGGTGACTTATAACGAGTCGCAATCCGAGCAAAAGCAAACGACCAATTCTACGAACGCTCACACGGACGCCACCGTCCCGGTTGTGCAACAGCAGGGGTTACCGTTACCCGCGATGGTGCCGCAGCAAACGGGCAATGCGCCACTGAACTCCTACCAGCAAGTGCCTCTGCATCTACCGCCGCAGCAGCAACAACACACTCAACAATCGCAGAATTACATGCAGCAATACTCCGTGCCGCACAACATGCCGCCCCGGTCGTCGCCGCAAACACATCAACCACGAGTGCCGTACACGGTCAACTACAACAACAGGCTGCAGCAGCCGATGATGATACACCAGCAACGACCGTTGACCAACTGCCACCAGCAGCAAGTCACGTCGTCCACGCACCCGCATCAACAGGTTCAGAACCTGGATCCGCAAATTCACGGGCAGAACGCCAGTCTACGCGGACTCCTCGCTCACAATCCACCGCCGCCTCCGCCGCCGGCTCCACCGGCTGCTGCTCATCCGTCGTTTCGGGCGTCCGGTAATCACGTGCAGTATCGATTACCGCCTGGATACAACAGATACTCCTCGAGCGGGAACTCTCAGAGAGGAACGGTGGCACCGATACCGCCGCCTCACTCCTACCAACCGGCGAACCCGACCGTTGTGCCCGGAGGGACGCGCTTGCAGCAGTGCAACCTGGCGTCTCCGACGACGGCGCAACACCACGCCAATTACAACGTGCAGCAACACTCCACCGCGGCGCGTTGGCACATACCTCAGCAGATGAACCCATGCGTGCCTTTTTACACGTCGCCCCGCCATCACCCCGCAGCACCGCACGCGCCAGTTCCTTTCAACGACACGTACAAGATCACCCTGAGGAACCAGCAAGGGAGTAATAATCAAAAGTACAGCGGCAACTCGGCCGAGCGCGGCGCGTGCGACAATCTGTCCAGTCCAATTCAGTCGAACTTGACTATCGTCGGACACATAGTCAGCTCGTCCATGCCTAAAACGCCCAGTCCGGTCACCACTCCCGGCAAGGCGGACGAGACTGAGAAGAGTCTGGATAAGTTTTGTCAGAAGTCGTTGAACGACTTGATGCTGACCATCGCGAAACTGGACAGCAATGGCATCATGGTGATACCGGAGGCTCAGAGAAATCAAATGGACTCGGCGCAAGTCGATAGCTCCACCGACGAGGACATGAACTCGATGAACGAGAACACGACAGGTCGGTTGTACTAGACGTATCGTCACGGCATGCTCTCTCTCTCGGATTATGTGGAACCGTCATGTCTGTGTCTCTTTCAGCGGATAATCCGAAAAATCCGTCGGCTTCGATGGTCATGAAGGACGACCCGAACGAAGACTGGTGCGCAGTATGTATGGACGGGGGTGACGCAGTGCTCTGTTGCGACAAATGTCCAAAAGTCTTCCACCTTTATTGTCATATACCTAGTTTAGAGTCATTTCCAGAGTAAGCGCTTTATCCCAGTGACGCTCGGTCGTTTATACCTGTTTTTACTATCATGGTTTAAATCCAATCGACGATTGACTCGACGGAATTGACCAATTAGCTGAAGGGTTCAGCGCACGATGCGGTAGCATACACACTTCGGTGCTTCGCCTAGAGTCTCTCTGCTGAACTGCCAATTAGAAAATTTTATATTAAATTAGCCAATCACTTACGTAGACTATCGGAGCCCGCCTGTAGAGTTAATCGTCGATTAAACTATTATGGACATTGGTCTCGCTACGTTACTCATTTATCCGGTGTTTCTTCTAGCGAAAGTGAAACTTGGCAATGCATGTTGTGTACGAATGTCCTCGATTGCACGGACGAACCGTCGACTGGCGAGAAGAGGTCGAGCGGTATGAACACCAAGGAGTTGCGAATCGCGCAAAGAATCGTGTTAGAGCTCTACTGTCAGTACGAGCAGAGTCTTCCTTTTCGAGAAGTCGTATCGAGCGAGGTAATAACGTGCGCCCAGGTTTTCGTCTCATACGTTTGACCTTTGTGTCGCATCGAGAATAATTCAGGGGTTCTTTCTGCCCCCGCCAGATTGCCGATTACCATCGAATTATCAAGAAACCGATCGCTTTGGATATAATCAGGGATAAATTGAAGCATGATCATGTCAATCACTACACAGATTTGAGACAAGTCATGGCGGACATCAGGCTAATGTTTAAAAATGCATTCACCTACAACCCGGTAAATCACATAAGATCAAGCCCAGAAAGCCTTGACTTTTCTTGTTTGATTTTGTCGTTTCATCCTGCTTTCTATGACGGCCTCCATTCCTCATTTCACCTTGCCTTTATTTGTTTTGTTCTTTTCAGGTCGACTCACAAGTGTATCAGGAAGCTAGGAATTTAGAAGAGTTCTTCGAGAAGTTGTTACTGAAATGGGCTCCTAATTACGCGTACGACGATCCTTTCCTCGCGACCGATAAAGACGAAGACGAGGAGGTTTTTCCACCTAATAGAAAGTATAAACGTATAATTAGCGATTAATAGGATACGATACTGCGTGAATTAACTCGTTATGAATTGTTCCTCGTCAAAATTTTGTCCGAGACAAAATTGCTTTGGCGATTCTTGTACGCACCTCGTATTGTTAATTTCGTAATTTGATAGAACGCGATAAGCATTGAGATTATCGTTGATACAATTAATCGTTAGAAAGAGTTAAAAGTAAAGAGTAAAGCGAGTGAGATATATTGTGTTTTAAGTGGAATTGATTCGTAATTAAGTTTTCTCATATGCAACCTCGGTGCATTGTTTTCAAACAGGGCGATTTTTGTTGAACAATTTTATTGAACAAAGATTTTGTTTCTGAAGAGGAAATCGAACGATATCGTGCGATGAACGATGAATTTATCGTAATCGAGTATAACGCCTAACTTCACAGCCTTCCTTTTCCGACACATCTCGTTTATCGGGTACGTATTTTAATATGTGTGTTTTTACAGACGCGAGAAAACGCGGTCAGGCTTTCAATCAAATCTCGAATATGTGTAAACAGTGAATTATTATCGCTTGAAATTTTACCGCATTGGTTTACTCCGCGCGGTATGCTTGTTAACATTATATTAAATTAATCAAATAGTTCTATAATGTAATTATCCTTTAACATATTTTTTACGAATTTCTTTCATCTTTGTACCATTGCATGCAAAGTACATTGTTTATATGAAGTATACGCACATCTACTGCATAGATAAATAAAAATCTATTTATAATTTTCACTATAAGCAAATACAGTTCTCTTCTTTGGCTAGATGAGACATATTAGGAGCTTATAAAAATTCTTTCTGTGCTATATTTTTTTTTATTAATAATAACGACGTCTGTAAAATGATTTGTCTTTTGAATCAATGAAATTATTGACATTTCGACCAACTTTTGCAAGCTCCTAATAATTTCCCTCTAGAATCGCTCGACTATTATGATACGTAATATATTTATATTGTTAACATTAAAACTACCGACGATTAACGGGTACCTTTCTATCAGAGCAGTTTAAATCAGAGAAAATACGTAATGAAAAGGTAAAAAAATATTTATTCATTTACATATTGTGACAAAAATTACGAGAAATCTCAAAGAATGTACCATTAGAAATTGGAGTAACTTTTATAAGAAAAAATTACAAATCAGTCATTTTAACCGCTTTGGTAGTTTTAATTAATTACGAGCACTTGAAAACGGTTTACTTCCGCAACCTCAATTAAAATTTCGCGTTAAAATATTTTGTGAGATTATTATCCGTTTTATCAACAAATAAAAATAGTAGTATGACTCAACGATAAGATCATTACTTCGCAAATAGTTTGACTCAACAGTGGAACGAACAATAGAGAAATAAATTGACGTCATATGGCGTTTTCGATTTGCTAACCCGACTCAAGGTCATCGTACTGTGCTCTGATTGGTGTCTTTCTAAAAATACATTTGATTGGTTGATGCAAATTACGCCGCATAGGGAGGCAGCCTCTCAGCTCTTTTCGTCATTCAGCAACAACTTCGATCATGTGACCTGTTTTGACATCTAAAAATGAGCGTCGGGTGTCAGCATGAAAAGACATCTTTATTATCAGTGCGACCAACATGAAGTCGTAACAATACTTGTCATAGCCGTTAGAAGTTGGTACAGATCAAGATAGATTAGATTAAGTTAGGTTTGTTTAGTTCAAATAAATAACAAGGAAGGTTTTTTTGAAATATGAAGCCGTTTAATAGAGTTCTTTAGAAGAATTTGTCAATAATCAACGTTTTGTAAGATTACTCTTTCATACTATCTTGTGTAAAAGTGAATAAACAATCAAGTGTTTAATTCACCTATAATTTACTATCCGTTCTTTTAATAGGTAAGTATATTTTGTATGCTTTGAATAACAATGAAATAATATTACAGACAATAAGCATTAATCTAAAATAAAAGCAGAATTGCAGCTATTATTTCTTAAGAATTAAGCCTTTAATACTCCTCAGATTATTCATAATTTGCACATTAGTTTTTTTATGTAATATATCAAACGTACACTTATGTTTAAAACTTAAAATTTGTTCAAATATATAAAGCTAGAATAAAAATCACATGTTTTTTTTAAGCCAATAATGGGAAAATTGTAATTATTTGTTAGTTACTTTAGATATTCTTTTTAGCAGAAGCTTTATTTCATGCTTAAGTTAGTATTAATTTCAACAGAATATCACAAGCCATGAATATGGAAGCTGCTGTAACAGAGCGCTTACAAAAACTGAGACAGTGGCAAGCAGAACAGCAGGAGAAACTTTTCAAGGAGCAACAGATGCAAAGGGAGATTTTGAGTCACGAACAGGATCGTATTTACAAAGCACTCGGTATTTCTGTACATGATCTTCAAGACATCATGGAGAATACAGATAATGAGTTAATTATTCACAGCATGATAAATGAGGGTGAAATAATGTCAAAAAGTTTGGACGGTGCTTTAAGCGAAACAAAGAAACGAATAGTAAAAAATATTAACGCTTCCTGTGAAGACCACAATAATGAAGAAGAAGAAGAAGAAACCGAGGTCTCTAATTGTATGTCTGAAGCCGTCAATAGCAGCAGAAATTCTACGAAGGATCTTAGTTTCAGTATATTGCAAAAGAAACAATTGGACGCTAATATGTTGATAGAAGGAGTAGCTCCGTTGTCGCTGACTAATGTAGCGTCGAATAAACATGTCTCCCTGGATGATATGCCTGTTCCTTCGTCTAAGAAAGATTTCCAGACGTTACTGGAAGAGAAATTGAACGGAGAATCTGCAGTCTTGCCAAGCAGCGACTCGCAGACCAAGACAAAGAAACCATTCCTGAGGAAGGGTCAAGGTTTATCGAGGTTTAAGATTTCTGCCCACCCAACGACTGCGAGAAGGCGTAGTGCATCTTTGTCCGTTAACACGCAACATGTCGACAGAACAGATAGAAGCACCAAAGCCACAGTGGAAAAAGATGCACTCTCGGAGCAGAAATTAAATAGAAAGCAGCAATCGTCTTCTGTCCTGTCGTCGAGAGGAAAAGTTTCTCATAAATCTGTCACACCTGTTAAACGAGCGACCACTACTCCTAACGGAGCTAGACATCTCGCGGAAACAAGCGTTTCCGATTTCGACTCGAAGGTGCAGAGGGAACTGGAGGAGGTAAGAATATTTGAGCTCTTGGAGGAAAAGGCGGAGAACTCGAGTTTCTGTTCGACGTCGAGCACAGTACTTGCGTTTTTGCAGCAGTCCACGCCGTTTAAAGTGAGGGAAAGGCTGAACCGCTCAGAAAGCGAGGTCGGTGTCGCGGTGAGCACGAAGCAACGGCACGAGCGACTGAGCGCAGCACGCCGATGTGAGCGATTCGAATCTCCTCAGCGTTCTTACACCGCCGGTGTTATTCACTCCTACTGGGATACGATAACTATCGATGACTCGGCGGAAGAAGAGGCGCCGAAGCGTCCTCCGATGATCGATGAGATTTCACGAAGCGACGAAGATCGCCACACACCGTGCGACGAACGTGCCGGCACCTGCCTGTCGTTGACGGACAGCGACGAGGAGAGAGACGTTACCATGGAGGATCCTCGCGACGATCATCCGGACTCGGCGAGCCACCGCGTCAGGTTCTCGGAACACAACGAGTACAGAACGATAGACCTGGGGAACGCCTCCAACGCGTCGAGCAGATCCTCGGTGGGATGTTACCTCGAGCGAGAGAACGGTAAGGAGCGTTCCACCACTTCGTCGGAATCGTCCGACGTGTCCGATCGGGAAGTGAACGGCAATGAGAGGGCGGTCAACGCGTCGATACAGTTGTCTTTGCAGCAGAGTATCACGGAGAACTCGTATTATCGGATAATGAAAGCGTTGAGTGTCTCCGAGGAAGACAACTCTGCGGGCTGCGAGGACGAATCGCCTGGCGGCGATAACGAAAAAGTCGTCGAAGCGTACGACGAGGAGCAACCATCCGTCTTATCATCGTCGTCGTCGTCATTGTCGTCATTGTCCGATGTTCACCGGGAGTCGACTCAGAGAAAAGAATACGCGCTGAAGAGCGAGCCAGCGACGGAGAAGGCTGACAAGACCTTCGAACCGGAACTCCTGAAGAGCCGTCTGTTGGAACTGGAGAAGGAGATCGACATATTTCGGAAGGAGAGTTCGGCCCTGCTGCTGCAACGCCGGAAGCTGCAGGAAGACCAGACGACGCTGCGCAAGGAGTACGCGGAGAAGGAGAGGAGTTTCGAGGAGAGCAAGAGAAGAGTGCAGATTCAGTTGGAGGAGGAAAAGAAGAGGCTGGCGCGCGAGAAGGCGGCGATGGAGAGCAGAATTCGGGACGCTCAGGAGAAGGCGAGGCAGAACAAGGCGGAGAGGCGGAAGGCGCAGAGTCTGGAGGACGAATTGGAGAGACTGAGGGACGAATTGAACATCAAGGAGAGCAGGTGGAGCGCCGCCGAATCGCGGCACAAGAGCGAACTGCGCGCGCTACGAACGGAAATCTCGAAGCTGAAGCAAGAAATAGCGAGTATGCAAGCCGCCAAGAGAACGAACTTGAAGAACGCCCGAAAGACAGGGCAGGCAGTGCCCGCGAAGACTGCCGATCGCCGTGTTAACAAACCCGTCGTCGCGACTTCCGCCAGGGAAAACGCCCCAGCGAAAACGCCCCGACGATCGTCGGCCGTCTCGCCGGACGTTTCTGTGCACGAGGAAGACGACGAGGAGGAAAAGAACGAAGACGAGCCGGCCGCGAGAGCGTCCGATGGGAGCCGAGCGGGCGACCACGCAGCCCCGAAGAAGAGGGAATCCAAGCGAGAACGGGAGGTCGCGTCGAAGTGCAGCGAAAAATCCGCGAACGAGGCGCGGCGCAAGCGGGATCTCTACAAAAATTTACTGAACGACGCTATGTCGGATCTCCTGGCGAACCCGAGCTCGCCTTACGTTGCTACGCAGGATGCGAGCGCGCAACACGGCGATGAATCCTGCCCCAGTTCGGCGAACGAGAATCTCGAGGGTGCAACGGCGAACATTACAGAACGTTGCAACAGGTCGTGCCGGGTGGACGATGACGAGGAGGACGCGGCGGGAGCGCAAGATCGAGATGTGTCGCTTCGTCGGCGAGCCGGCAGCGCACCGAACACCAGCAAGGATATCGTGAGGCAGATCGAACATTCGGACGGACGGATTGAATACTGGTATCCGAACGGCAACGTGAAGAAGGTCTTCCCCGAGCAAGGAATGACGAAGATGATCTATTACAACGGAGACGTCCGCGAGACCGAGCGGGACGGCCGGGTCAAGTACTTTTACGCCACGACTCGCACGTGGCACACCACCACCCCCGACGGCCTGGAGATCTTGGAGTTTCCCGAGTACGTTGCTTTATCCGTTTGCAGGCTTGGGTAATGATTAGTTGCTCGGCTAAACGTTCACTTGAGAGTTATTCACTTTTAGACCCGGTTTCTCATTTTCTCATTATTTTCTTCAAACTTAAACCGATGCAAAAGTTGTGTTTCTATTCGCGGTTAATCATTAAACTGATGGTTCGATGATTGGTAATGTTTAATGATTACCTAAAGCCATGAATTAGTTGAAAGAAAATTAACTTGGTAACCAAACTTGGTATATTTATCACTTCTACCGTAAGTTACGATATGCCTCTTTTCGTACATTCGATTAATCGACGCGATTAAACGAATACACAGCGGTCAGGTGGAGAGGCGCACATCCGACGGTACTGTCCAGGTATCCTTCCCGGACGGCGCTACGCGAATAGCGCAGGCGAACGGCACGGAGAAGTGGATGTTACCGGACGGCACGGTGGCGCAGACCTTCGTCAACGGCGACAAGGTCCTCACCTTTCCAAATGGCCAAAGAGAAGTCCACACGAAGGAGCACAAGGTAAGTAAACGCTGCTTAGTTTTGATTCGATTCGCGCGCATCCCTGTCGGATTATATCTTCGATGTGCTTTAAACGCGTTGGGATATTTTAGAGACGAGAATATCCCGATGGCACTGTGAAGCTGGTGTACGCGGATGGTACCCAAGAAACGCGTTATTCCAGCGGGAGGAAAAGACTAAGGGACAAGGATGGGAATCTCCTGATGGATTCGTACGACACTTGAGCTCTTCCTCCAGGCTGGAGTTCGTCAAGGGCTCCTCCTCGGGTTTAGTTTCACGGAAATCGCGAACTCGCATCGTTACTCATTGCGCACTCGCAAGCGTTGCAACGCAAGCTGCCAGTAAAATGTTGTGTACAGATACTATTTTTATACGGCGAATGACGAGCGAATGATGAATGAATGTTGCGAGTGAAGGTAATGTTGAGAATAAAGAGTAAATTTGTTCGACAAATCGTCGCTGAGAATCGTATCCGGAGATCTGAATTTGGAATATATATTTCTAGCAATTTATATGCGCCTTTAATCTTTCTTTACGTTATTTCTGATAATAACTAACGAAACAAGTTAGATCAGCAGAATGGCTGTGGGTTCTTACGCGTGCATGTTGCGGGACACACCGAACTCATGAAAAAGAGTATAAATTTTCAACCCCTCGTTAGATTTCTCCAGCAATCTGAGTATATTTTAACAGTTTTGTATTCTCCATGGCCTCTTTCGGAATGCCTATTTAACAAATAACATATGTTCCAAATATATTTATTAAATTAACATACTACTTACCTAATCTGAGATTTTCCATATTCATGTCATCGGATTCGCTACATCACGCATGCGTGAAAAAACACTACTCCCCAGCGTCATTCAGCGGTGTCTCGAAAGAACCGTTAGCGTACATACCGATTGAGTAAGGTTCGAGTCTCGGCTGAGCGAATCATTGCGTGTAATCACAATCGGACATAAGAGCGCAGGTAGCAGTGCGACTACGATAACAACGTTGACGATGACACGCGACATGTCGTCATGAGTCGCGCGTAGGTCCGAACGGTGGTCCTAGGCGCGAGAGGACGAAGGTAGGAAGGAGGACTGTGTACGTGCGATCCCTCGGCGGAGAAGGGACTGTACGGAACTGTCGACTCGCAAGTCCCGACGAAGAAGAGACGACGACTATCAGCTCGCGGAAATGCCGATCGTCGTGAGAAACTGCCCGCACTTGGCCAACCGTGGCGACCTCGCCTTCATCGAGGCGGTGGTCGCGCAGGAGGAGCGTTTCGTCAAGTGCAGTGACTGCGACGCGGACGGACCTAACCTCTGGCTGTGCTTGTTTCCTGATTGTCGCTGGGTCGGTTGTGCGGAGACTCACCTCGACCACAGCACCATACACAATCAGAATTTCCCGAGCCACTGCGCCCACATGAACCTGTCCACCAACAGGATATGGTGCTATTCCTGCAAGAGAGAGGTCTTCGCTAGACACGTGCCCTCGCCACCGGTGTCGCCTACACAGGTGGAGTTCAAGACGATGGGTAACAAATTCGCTGGAGACGTTGCTAACAACGTCGAGTGCAAGCTGGATGGCTTGGACAGACTTATGCTTGATAAGTAAGTTCAGATGATACGTGGAGAATTCTTAATCCGATGACGCATCAGTGTATATTACTATTTGTGATTTGATCGTTAAACATTTCTTCTCTTGATAGATTCTACGGAGAGTTGTTCGTCAACAGAATAAATTCGGATAAGGGTATCCCGTTCAACGAGAAGTCCGGAGACTCTCCCGACAGTACAGACTCGGACGAGAGCAAGGACTTCTCCGGGAAGCCGAGAGGCCTCGTGGGCCTGCAGAACATCGGCAACACGTGCTATATGAACGCAGCGTTACAAGCATTGTCCAACATACCTCCGTTGACGCAGTTCTTCTTGGACTGCAGCCCTATGGTCAACTACATGTCCAAGGACAGGAAACCCGGGCTGTGCGTGAGCTACTTAAATCTCATTCGGGACATGTGGAACAAGAGGACCCGGGGCTACGTCGTGCCGCATGGCATTCTTTCCGGCATTCGCACGGTTCACCCGATGTTCCGCGGTTACCATCAGCACGACACCCAAGAGTTCCTCAGATGCTTCATGGATCAGCTGCACGAAGAGCTGAAGGAGCACATCGAGGACGACCGGGAGGTGCAGCTGCGGCTGAAGGGTCTCGGCGACCACTCTTCGGACGAGGACGAGATGGACGGCAACGCGTCCAGCCAGTCCGACGCCGAGTACGAGACCTGCGACTCCGGCGTGAGCGAACAGAGCTCGCTGAGCGACGAGGGTGAGCGCGGCACGAAGAGACGGTACTCCCGCGTCTCGCAGACGGAGAAGCTCCGGAACAAGTTCACCAACCGGAGCATGAAGAAATCGAACGTCGAGCCGGCCACGTTCGCGCCACAGCAACGCTCGCCGCAGAGCTCGCCGACCAAGCACCGCACCAAGAAGCAGATGAAGACGCGCAGCATCATCAGCGATACGTTCGACGGCAAGCTACTCAGCAGCGTGCAGTGCCTGACGTGCGACCGAATCTCGACCCGCGTGGAGACCTTCCAGGACCTGTCCTTGCCCATTCCGAGCAGAGACCACATCGATATGCTGCACCAAGGCTCGCTGACTCCGCAGAAAGCCGGCCCGTGTTCGGACGTGGTCTACGTGACCAACCAGTCCGGCTGGCTGTCGTGGTTCCTGCAGTGGATGCGCTCGTGGTTCTGGGGACCGGTGGTCAGCCTGCACGACTGCCTCTCCGCGTTCTTCAGCGCCGACGAGCTCAAGGGCGACAACATGTACAGCTGTGAGAAGTGCAACAAGCTGCGCAACGGCATCAAGTTCTCCAAGGTGTTGGAGCTGCCCGAGATACTCTGCGTCCATCTCAAGCGATTCCGCCACGAGCTCATGTTCAGCTCGAAGATCGCCAACTACGTGTCCTTTCCGCTCGAGGGCCTCGATATGCGACCCTACCTTCATAAGGAGTGCGTGTCCAAGGTCGCCACCTATAACCTGATATCGGTCATCTGCCACCACGGCACCGCTGGTGGCGGACATTACACGTGCTACGCGCTCAATCATATCGCCAACAAGTGGTACGAGTTCGACGACCAATGCGTGACCGAGGTGTCGCCCGAAACGGTGAAGCACTGCGAGGCTTACGTGCTGTTCTACAAGAAGTGGTCGCCGGAGATGCTGCAGCTGCGCGACAAGACGATAGAGCTGATGGAGATATCGTCCCGTGAGCTGTCCGACCTCAACTTCTTCGTTTCACGGCAATGGATCAATCGCTTCAACACCTTCTCCGAACCTGGACCGATCGACAATTCAGACTTCCTGTGCCCGCACGGAGGTGTGATTCCCGTGAGGGCGCAGTTCGTCGACAAGATCAGCATGCCCATACCTCAAGCGGTCTGGGAATATTTATATAATGCGTAAGTTTATACAGTAGGTGTTTCAACCTCGTAATTTCACATAATAGAGACACATAGTATCGGATAACATGATCCGATTAATTTTCAAATTGACATTCCACGTACTTATCCGTTTCACCTCACTTCAGATTCGGCGGAGGGCCAGCGTGCACACACCTGTACCAATGTCCGACCTGCGAGGAAAAGTACGAATCCCTGCAGAAACGCAGGCAATACGAAATGGAGCTGTTCCAACGGCTGAACCACACTACCGACAATCCCACGGCTATCTACGGACTGGCTATGGCTTGGCTGAGACAATGGCAGAGCTTCGTACGCGGCAAAGAGACGCAGCCACCAGGACCAATCGATAATAATTCCATTGTTATTAATAAGAACGGGCAAAACAGTCTCAAAGTCGGTGAGTTGCATCAGTACCTCTAATTCGGCGAACTTGTCTCTCTACAAACGCGTTCTCTCGCTTGCCCACAGGCTCGGATTACGGCCAGATACCTGAGGAGCTGTGGCAGTTCTTCCTCACGACGTACGGCGGAGGACCAGAACTAATGCTGCACTCGTGCCAACGCCCGGTGCCCGCTCAGCCTAACGTTTCTATACATTCCGCGTCGAATTCGAATTTGATAGATCCGAATGTTAAATGTAATCGCGCAGTAGAGGCTAAGTCCAACAAACTTTGCACGACCAGGAGCTCGGAGACCATTTCGCAGCAAGACAGTGCTATCGAGAGCCTAACTTCGGATAGCGACTCCCATCAGACGCAGAGGGACGTGAGTGAGTAGCGCGTTCCCTTCCGTCGCCCGAAAACATTTCCTTTGATTCTCCAAGTCGAAATCTAATTGTTCCACTTTTGAGATTGTACAACACACAACCACACGAATACACACGGTTCGAACAGTTTGGCACTTTCTCGTTAGGTTTCCACAGGCGAGACGCAGACGAGAAATGGTCCGGATGATATCTTGGAACTGAGACAATCTTCGCAGTGGGGACAGCGAAGCGACCGGATGACGCGCCGCAATGATCCAAAATTCCACGAACGATTTCTCACGACGTAATCGAGAGCATTTCCCTGAGAGGCTTTGTACAATTGGAAATTTCAAAGTATTTCTCTCTCTCTCTCTCTCTCTCTCTCGTGAGAAAGCCACCCTTGCTATATTTTATTGTAAAATTTCGATTGTACAAAGTGACCACATTGTGTCATATTGGTTTCGTTCTCACGATGAAGGTCGGAAACAAGATGCACAGGTCTCTTATTTCGTTCCAAAAGAGGTCAAAGGATTTGTGTCCGCACAAGCTGTCGCTTTGGAAAACGGTTGTTTCAGTCCCATCGAAGCTGTGCGTCCTGTTAATTTCAAATTAATATCGATTTCATCGATGGGAATATTGAATATGGTAGGAAACATAGTTTAAATAGTACAAAGGAAAAATTTGTTATAGGTCATATGTATTATTTAAATACAGATCGTAGTTCGTATCTCTCGCCCAAAGTCTAGGCCGTAATCGCGACCTCGTTATAGCGAATCCAATTTTCGATGTTTATACATTCGCTGTACGTGCGTGCGTGCGTATGGCTCGGTTCGCACCGATCGTCGGCTACGACGCGTCGTGCCGATTCCGATGTGATGTCCGTGCTAAATTATTTTAACGCGCGTGAACAACGTCGTATGTTACCACAGGCGTGTCACCCGAAGCGAAAATAATTTCACGGAAGATTATCAATCTCATCGGCAACAGAAGCAATCGAAACGACGGTAGGGACGGTCGGTGCGCAAACGCGAGGCCTGTGTCATTCCTGCACATATAAGGGCTAGTTATTTAAGTTTCTTCTCCTTGTTTCTCGTTCGCCCGGTAAACTCGTGTGTACAAATGAAACATTGTTACTCTGTTGGTGGTAGTTTCTTTTGTTCGGACAAAACGTGGGAGAAGACTGATAAAGCGATTTTATTTTTTTTTTAAAGCGGAAGGAATTCCGAGTTAACGCGACACGACCAGGCGTAACTGTAACTCGGTATGCAACATCGAGCGTGATACGTACGAGGAACGTTGGCGATTATGTCGCTCGTTTCCGAAGAAAGGCAGGAGATTTCCGTTGCAATCTAGTAGATTTGCCACTGCACACACACACACACACACACACACACACACACACACACACACACACACACACACACACACACACACACACACACACACACACACACACACACACACACACACACACACACACACACACACACACACACACACACACACACACACACACACACACACACACACACACACACACACACACACACACACACACACACACACACACACACACACACACACACACACACACACACACACACACACACACACACACACACACACACACACACACACACACACACACACACACACACACACACACACACACACACACACACACACACACACACACACACACACACACACACACACACACACACACACACACACACACACACACACACACACACACACACACACACACACACACACACACACACACACACACACACACACACACACACACACACACACACACACACACACACACACACACACACACACACACACACACACACACACACACACACACACACACACACACACACACACACACACACACACACACACACACACACACACACACACACACACACACACACACACACACACACACACACACACACACACACACACACACACACACACACACACACACACGTACCTCTTTTTTGCGTGGCACTTTTTTTTAGGGTGGTTAAGCTCGGTTGTTTTTTTCATGGATCCTGTTTTATCGTATTGAGGATTGCTCCTCTTCCGAGCGGGGCCGGGTGATCCCATTGTGACGTGCGGTGCGTCGCAGCGCCAGTCTCTTTCTCTCTCTCTCTCTCTCTCGATCTGAGAATGCGAAAGGAGAACACAGTGCAATTCGACTTGCATACTCGCGGGGATGCAAACAACTGTAAAGTTAAGATTAATTATCTTTAACTACACTACGGTAAAAGCGAAGAGATTCATAATAAAAGCAAATTGGTTTCTTTATTTATTGAAACTGAGACTATCTCATATATCCGTTCGAGATCCACCGTCGATCCCGATTCCGATCTCTCATGCGACTCATGCGCAATCTGTATTGCGAAGCGGCAAATCTTGCCGAATAAAAAATCCGCGATCACCGGACAGAAGTATAGGTAGGGTTGCCACAAACCTGAAAAACCTGGAAAAGTCAGGGAAAGATATAGAAAAACCTGGAATTTTTAACTTTGCTCACAATTCCCTTAAATATTATCAACTGTATTCTTTTCTTCAATACTCATTTATTTATCGTTCGTCTGAATTTCAGGATTATGTTATTAAACTTTTTTAAGTTTGTGTTGCTTCTAAACGTTAAAGAGTTTGAGATTATATATTGTTAATGGAAAATTCTCCACCGTCATGTGGAAATCGTCGGGGAATTTCAAAATTCATTTTCTGTGGCAACTCTGATAGGTCAAGATCCTTCGTGCCGTGGATCCGATCGAAGCGGTACTCTGAGTGTAATTTAGGATCCTCAACGACTTGCTCTCGAAATGCTGCACATCCAATCTCGCAGTCTCGTTCAATAAATTTCATTACGATCATTGAGAGACTTTTGAATCTGTCTTATTTCTTTTTTTTTCACGAAACGCACGCGAGCAAATTAATTGCGATTAATCGTGATTCGAGCAAAACAAGCACTTCTTCGAAGACGACGATGATTTATCATCATTTTCTGCTGAGCCTCGACATCATATATAAATAGATAAGTAAATAAATAGATTGATCATACATTGATAGATACAAGACTATCGTTCAAACTCGTAATCTCTTTACGCCTCTTAGCGCACGGACGGTACAACCGAATACTACAGATTATGTTCGGCGGTGCACTTATCCGACTCTCTCGCTCTCGGGGGATGCTCCGTCTCACCCCCCGCTTTGGGGAGAAGCTGGGTGCGGATACAGCACTGCGAGAGGCGCGCGCGAGATGATACGTCCCTCTCTCGTGGACCATCGATCGAGCCTTGCGCGTTCAGGAGAGGCTGGCCATATTCCCCCGATCTCCCGATCCCTTTGAGGCGTCGTGTTCCCTGCTAGTCGATGCCGCGGACCGAGGGCTCGCGCGATTCTGGCCTCGCAAGTCGCGGCGTAGATCGTAGGTGAGCAACATCATCATGCGGCTTCGCAATCCGGCTAGTTAGACGCGCTCTCGGTTCCATCCTTCTTTTCTCTCTCTCTCTCTCTCTCTCTCTCTCTCTCTCTTTCCCCCATCTCTTCATGAAGCCCCGCTTTCGACCGGGGTCGCGGTCGTTTTAAGTTGAACCGTTTCGGCAACGTCTACGTCGTCGTCGTCGACCGTCACTCCACCGTCGAGGATCACCGTCCAGGCAAGCGGCAGCTCCTCGGGGAAGAACGCCGGAAGATCGGAAGGGCTCTCGTCGTTCGGTAAGCGCGACCCTCTCGTTGATACAACCGGGAGAACAGGACCTTTGTGCGACCTAGAGTTCCTCGCGATCTCCACGGAGATGCTTTCACGGGCTCGCATTGATTGTTCTAACGCCGATTATCTTGCTAGGAGACACACTGTGGGATTATACTTTGCCTCGCTCCCTCCTCAGAAAAAAAAACCACCCAATTTTGTACACAGTCGCTGTAATTGTTTCTGCGTGAGACTCCTGTAAAAGGGATTATACAAGGTAAACATGTCGCCGTAGAAGCAACAGATAGAGAGAAATGGCGAATTTCCGTGGATTTTACATACCCTCCTTCGGAGCTACGGTCAGCGTCGCCTGGGAGACCTTGAAGGCCAAATGGCCGGAGAACAGTCCGTGCATGGAGCTGATCCGCAGTGCTGGCAGAGGCGGCGACGGAGGTGACGGCGGCGGTAGCACGGGCCAAGGCCGGGACGGTCAGTTTAAGTCATTTGACGAGGGCGGCGACAACACCGAAATGATGACGATGAACGGGGACCAGGCCTATCAAGACCCGGCGGTAGCTGAGGATTCCTTCAGCTACCAGAGGAATGGGTGAGGACGCGTATCGGTGATTCGGGTTGGTTCTTCCGCGGGCCTGTCATCTCGGCTGCGTCTCGATTTCAGGGATAAAATCCGGGCCGGGAGCATGAGTAGCGGTGAATTCAGCGAGTACGACGAGGGCGGCGGAGAGTTCGGCGCGGCAGGTGTCAAGATCAACGAATGGCAGGCCGCCTGGAACGTCACAAACGCTATTCAGGTATCGGTAGACATTATAATTACCCGATTTGCCAATTAGCTTATTATAAAGGGAGGATGTTATTACTATAAGAATTTTATTTTATTTCATTGCGTTCTTTCTCGGCTAAAATAAGCTGCAATCAGAATGTTGCCGCAATTTTCACGTCAGATGATCTTCTTTTATATACTGACAAAATGTTTGCTGTATACATCTTAACATATTTATACTAATCACGATACAGACAATATACCGAAATATGTATATCTGGGGTATTAAATTCTTTTCTCTCTCTCTCTCTCTCACACACACACACGGGCATTTATCGATGTCCAGGGAATGTTCATCGTCTCGCTGCCGTTCGCCGTTCTACGCGGCGGCTACTGGGCGATCGCCGCGATGATCGGCATCGCGCACATTTGCTGCTACACCGGCAAGATCTTGGTCGAGTGTCTTTACGAGCTGGACACGGTGACCGGTCAACGGGTGCGCGTGCGAGACTCGTACGTAGCGATCGCCAAGGAATGCTTCGGTCCGACATGGGGCACCCGTGCCGTCAACATCGCGCAGATCATCGAGCTGCTGATGACTTGTATCCTGTACGTGGTCGTGTGCGGCGACCTGATGATCGGCACGTTCCCAGAGGGTGCGATCGATACACGCAGCTGGATGATGCTGATCGGCATCTTCCTGCTGCCGCTCGGTTTCCTCAAGTCGCTGCAACACGTCTCCATGCTTAGCTTCTGGTGTACAATGTCTCATCTCTTCATCAACGCGATCATCATCGGTTACTGCATCCTGGAGATCGGTGACTGGGGCTGGTCGAAGGTGAAGTGGACGTTCGACACGGAGAACTTTCCCATCTCGCTCGGCGTGATCGTCTTCAGCTACACGTCGCAGATCTTCCTGCCGACCCTCGAGGGCAATCTCATCGATCGCTCCAAGTTCGACTGGATGCTCAACTGGAGCCATATCGCCGCGGCCGCGTTCAAGTCCCTGTTCGGCTGGATCTGCTTCCTGACCTTCCAGAACGACACGCAGCAGGTGATCACCAACAATCTACACTCGGCCGGCTTCAAGGGCCTGGTGAACCTCTGCCTGGTGGTCAAGGCCGTGCTCTCGTATCCGTTGCCGTATTACGCCGCGTGCGAGCTCCTGGAGCGGGCCTTCTTCCGCGGCCGGCCGAAGACGATCTTCCCGACCATCTGGACGGTGGACCGCGAGCTCAAGGTCTGGGGCCTGGCTTGGCGAATCGGCGTGATCGTGTTCACCATTCTGATGGCGATCTTCATACCCCACTTCAGCATACTGATGGGCTTCATCGGCTCGTTCACCGGCACTATGCTGTCATTCATTTGGCCGTGCTACTTCCACTTGAAACTCAAGGGGAACTCGATGGATTTGGGCGCTGTCACATACGACTACTGCGTCATCAGCCTCGGTGTCATCTTCGGCGTGGTCGGCGTGATCGACTCCGGCTCCGCGCTCATCAAGGCTTTCAAGATCGGTATGCCCTTCTGAGCGATCTCGCGCCCTTCAGGTCGTCTCGGCTCGTTCGTTGTTGTTCGTCTTCCACCGGTCCTCGATTCCGACGCCAGCAGACGCACTGCGAATTAGGGATTAACGGGAGCTCGCGTCATAAAATGACCCAATCTGATATACACAACCGGAGGATGCGTTACCCGATAAGCAAGAAATATTAAATCGATTTTCTTAAACACTGACTTTATATGAATTTTAGAAATATTTTGACGTAATATTTCACAAATGTTTTCTATGTAAACTATTATTTCCCAGGAAAAAATTTCTTATATGTAATTATATATTATTATATATAATTATATATTTTCATTTATGGGCATATTCTATATATGACGTTTTCCCTTACGGAAAAGTACTATCGGCTGTGATAGATTGGCTAATGATAAATATTAAAACTATTCAGCAACAATAATTTATCACAGCAAATAATACTTTTTACGCAAGAGTTATATATAATTATGTCTAATTATATCTATGTTATATGAATGATTTCTTGCTCACCGAGTAAGTTTCCTTATGAAATGACTTTCGAGCAATGCCTCCGGAAGAGATGTCGAAGACGCGTCGGCAAGTCGAGGCTCGGCTATTTCGCGTCGCATGTTCGATCAGAGCCGTGGCCAATTAGCGCAATAATTTTGCATTATGTGTAAACATGTACCTACTTTCAGCCTCATCGCATCGGCGTTTCTATGTTACTTTTACATTCGACGACGACGAGGTCGCGCGATTCTTTCGGCCCGTCGAGACGGAGAGCGCGAGCGCCGGAGAGAATCTCCGCGCTCGCGTTTATTCGCGACAGCCATCCATCACCACTCGCCGCGCATTCCAACCACGGCGATTGTTTTTCCACTTATTCCGGGAGCTTTGTAGATAAAACGAGGCTTAGATCTAGCGAGCGCGCTCGATTAAAACGTGACGATATCCCACAGAGAGAGATTTATAAGAAGTGTACCTTCCGTGAGTCTTCCTTACGATGCAGTTGCGAGGAGTACAGCCTAACTAACTTATATAGTTGACTACTGTTACCGTATTTTGGATTTTATAATTGTATTCGCGGAACTCAAGCCTGCGCGTGGTATCGTTTTCGCGCGACGCGTTGAATAGTTAGTCGCGACGGCGCAGCACGGCGCGGCGGTCGCGTACGATCGATTCGAACATCGGCCGCATTCGGCAGAATATTTATTTTACTACTGTTGGAACTGTTTTCTTGAGATTGGATTATTCCTTTAAATCTAAAAGAATAATCGAATCTCAGCTCAGAAAGCTGCCAATAGTTGCAAAATAAACGTTCTGCTGAACGTGGCTATTTTTCTCGACAGATTTCGGAACGCGTCGCATTTTCAAAATTTCGAGTCGTAAAAAGAATGAAGCGATTGTGCATGAGCGTTTGGATAATTTGGTAAAAACCCTGAGTATTAAAACCGCACACACACACACACACATTTTTGTGAAAAATTGCATCAAGGAGAAACACGGGACACACGGTTATATGATTTGTGATTCATCGAACATTCACAGCAGCAAACTGGACCGTTCGATCGTAACCCCTGATAATTCGAAGTTCGAGTTTCTCTTGCCACGATGTAATTGTTCACGAAAACGCATAATGTATTAGGGAGTTTTTGCAATATCATCTCTTAGATATGATAAACGCTAAAGTTCGTTCCGATATTCACTGCCAGTACTGCGAATCTACCCAGCAAACACCTAATAGTAACATAACATCAATATTATAATTTCCCACTCAAAAATGTAACTGTTACATAGCATGCGCGTTATAATTACACTTATATTCTTGAGTGGGAAATTATAACATTAATGTTATGTTACTGTTAGTTGGTGTTTGCCGGTTTACAGTTTGTGTTACGTACTATGGATTTGAAGTGCTGGCTATGATTATCGAGATGCACTTTAGCGTTTAATATTGCAAAAACTCTTCATTTATTATCACGACAACGGTAATCCAACGGACGCGTTTTTTGGAGCCTGCGAGAAGAGCCCGCCGTGCCGCCGTATATTTAACAGGACGCAAGAGGATGCGCCAACAGCAGTTATGTATGTACAACCGAGTACAATTAAGCCGTTTAATCCAACGTCTTCCAAGATCTGACAGAGATACGTATCGTTAGGTCGCACGTTAGTTTAAGGAGCGAGTATAAACAAACGTAGAGACGTCCCGTGAGAGCTGCGAGGTATTCCGACGACTCGAGGGAAACGGGATCAGAACGTACGGACAATAATGATCGAGATTCTCGTTTCTTCTCGTAGATATTTAGATAACACTAAGACTCGCTATACGTTCCCGGGCAGTATAGACTGCTGAGAGTCTTGAAGATATTTAAAAGACGTCCGAAAAAGTAAGACGTCGTTTAGATGAATGTAAGATTTTTCTAGAAGTTTTTCAAATAGCAGGGTGACATCAAATGACGTTTTAATGATATCTTACTGACATTAGAGATATCATTAAGACGTTATTACGTCATTTGGTGTCATCTTGCTATTTAGGTTGCGCTGTTTGGATCACCGAATATACTCCCGAGTATATACAGAACGTTCCAACTGCGATTATTCCTTTCCAGGGATTCTTGGACTTACCGTTTTCCCTCGCAGCGTCGGCGTTCCGCAGACACGGAAAATTAACGATCGTGAAACGAGTCTTCCAATAATGTCTTCCAGATCGACGACGTCGATCAAGATAATAACAATAATATATACATATATAAATATATATAAATACACACACATACACACACATACACACACACACATATATACTAACAATAATGGTAATGATGTATCACTATTTATTGAGCAAAGATTTTTTGTCGAATGATATTGAATATTATATCGAGAGTTGTAGGCGTTAAGCGTTAACATGTAAGGTTACGATCATGGTATAATTGATGTTTCATATCAAAGGATATATCGATGACACAATGTAAGTAACATCGCGCTGTTTCACGAGAAATCAATTTAGAGCGTTAATGAGGGATCATCTTCTTTATATCGACAACAATTATCAGAAAAATAGTTAGACGGGTGTCACACATCGGAATCCTCTTCGTGGTTGCGAAGCGGCAATCTAAAGAGAGAATACGGATCGAATAGCAACGTTATTTACCCTACGAAACTGTCAACGTATAGTCATCGAGCTGACAACGAGGATGAATAATGGTTTAGAGGAATAGTTAAGGAAATATGTTACGGACGAAGACGGTAGTCAAAGAGAACCACGAAGAGGCATTATCCGGAGACTTCGATGTCCTTGTCGCGGGCATCTGTAGGCTTGTAAAGCGCTTTCGCAGAAATATCCATATTTTGTGGCGTCTCGAGAGGAGCGAACCTCATCTCGGTGTTGTGTAGGCAGAATATTACTTATAAACGTTACAAGATGATGTAAAACGGCCTCCGTATATTAACGAGAATATATGAAAATATATTATCCGTATGTGAGTATACGAGGGGTGAAAATATATCGACAAAATTTTACGGACTCGTATCGTTCTTCATTCGCATCTTCACCCAGAATTACGTAATCCGTTCTTTTTTGCCAGCTAAACTAGCTGCACTAATTCAAGAAATTCACGCACACTGAAGCGTGAGAATCTTGCATGTACGTTTCATACGCTTCAATGTATATGTCAATCTCCTGAACTGGTGCAGCTAATTCAGCTAAAACGAACAGACTAATCGCATCATCTCATGCAAAGAATGATCACTAGGGAGAACTCACAGAAGAGGTAAATTACATACAAATTACAGACTAACATTACTACAATTACGTTACTCTCCTGTTTTTGTGAAGAAGTTTTCCTCGCTTATTTTCAGACGTGTATTTGTAAGAGGAGTTTCGTGAACGAGGGATCTTGGATCGGTGTTTTGACAGATTAAACGCGACTCGATTCGTTAACAATACTTTATTGCCACTTTTTCTCACATTAAAGTATCCTTAGAAATGCAAAAGGCTATGGCTGAAAATAACAAAAATTATGGAGGCTTCAAATTTCTCAGTACTGGATATGGCAACGTTACGCCTTTCCTCTTCAATGATTAAGAAAGAAAACGAGAGTAACAGGCTCAGCTCTGAGAGAAGAGCTCTTCTCAGCTATACTACTGTCGTTCTTGACGACCGGCTTCGGCTACTAGTTTAGATATTTCTCTAATATGGTATATATGAATTATAAAAAAAATTAATAATCGAATATGTGTGCGTATTCTCTATATGATTTTGTTCTCTTGAAGAGGTACACAATTTGGAGTTCAATTCAACGACGATTTGAGTCGCATGGGCTTTCGTGGATTTTGTAATAATTACCTTCCAACGAATCTTAAGAGCAACGAAAAAAAAAGAAATAAGTAAAAAATATAAATATTATCAAGCAATAAAATATAAATAAATATGTATAAACTATGAAGTCGAACAACATTTCCAATTGGCAGAAGTTACCTTTGCTCGGATATATTATACACGTCTATACTTTTTTATGCATATAAAATCAACATTGCTCGTTAAATATTTCGTCGCACATGATTTCACAGTTTTCGCTAATCTTAAACACTGCCGTTGATTGTTCTCAGGCCAATTATAAAAAAATATTTCTTGATTGTCATGCACGAACAGAGTTCTATTTTCAGTCACGCTTTTCACGTGAAATGATTCAGAAATGTCATAGAGAGTAACATGCACTTCGACGAACGCCGTGCTTTCTGTTAACATAAAATAATCTATAGTATGTGTAATACATACATAAAGCATTATATTATCCGGATTCTCAGCATCCAATGAGAATCGGAAATAAAATTATATAAACGGAATAGATATTATACAACAGGCTATAAAATTCTGAAATAAAAAAAAAGTCGCGGTGTTATATAACTCGGCTATGCTGATGATAATCGTCCACGCGATACTCGGATGTGTGTCTTGTCTCGACAATAAAAACTCGCTTTCTCCCGAACTATTATTCGAATAACTCCATATTTAACTCGTATATTGCCATAAAAATTGACTTTTGAGATATATCACGTTTCAACAAGTATAATTATAAAAGCTTCGTCTCTTATCACGTTATCGGTAACTTGTAGTTACGTCTGTAACATTTTTATACATACATACGTACATATTTTTTCCTCTTTACCTCATATCTCTTTTCTATTATTTTTCAGCTTCGACCACTTCGTTTGAAAGTGCCTTCTCTTTTTCTACTTGCAGAACACCTTCTGAAGACTCCACCGTCTTGTCATTTGCAGTATCGTTCTTTTCTTCCTCGTTGTTATTAACGACTGTGCATTCTTGAGTTTCATTAATACGTGTCATTTCTGTAGCTTGTTTATCGTTGATATTAATTTTTTCGTCGGGAGCAGCGATTTTATCGTCTATTAAAACTTTTTCCTCTTTTAAAGCTTTATCATCACATTCCGACTTGTTTTTTCCCGTCACGGAACACAAATCAGTTGGAGACGAGCTTATTGCGTTATCAGCTTTTTTTTCGTTTGGAGAATTTTCCGCATCACGTTTGACATCGTTCTCTTGCTCGTTCGTATTCTCAATTCGCTTTCTATCACAGTTATCGCTCACGATCTCCTCAGTTTGCTTCATTGACAAATTCGAGTCTTCATTTTTCTTCGTAATTTTCTCAGATTCATTGTTAACATCACACAGTGTGTCTACCGTAAACTTCTCTTCATTCTTATCATTATCGTTATCTTCTTTCGTCGCTGATGTTGAATCCGTTTCAGCTACTTTGCACTCGGACGAAGCAGCCGCTTGAACAATCTCCGTCTCGTTCGATTCATTTTCAACGGCAGAAGCTTCGATCTCCATTTGAACTTGTGACGCAGGCACCGGTTCCAAATTTGTCAAAGTCGATTCGCTTTTTACCTCTGCGCAAACTTCACTGACATTCGTTTGTGTATTTAAATCATTGCTCTGATTATCACAATTATTTAATTCTCGGGCTTTCTCGCCAGATTCACTGGAAGCAGCGCTTTCCTTTACATCCGTATCATCATTTCTCGGTGATTCCGCATTATTTTCTTCTTCCAGCTTTTCAGGCTTGAACTCAAGTTCTCGTGAATCCTTACACTCTTCCGGTGCCTGCGATGGCCTCAATTCCACTTCGTGCGGTTTCTGCGCATTTTCGTTGATATCTTCCCTCCCGATCTCTTTCTTGCGGAAATAAGGCGACTTATTGCCAATGTCTTTTCTCCTCTGCAATGGCTGCGTTTTTCGTGCATTGGGGGATCTTTGGAGATTATCGTGATAAATACCTTTCGGCTTGTCCTCGAAGGACTTCGGCCGTGAAAAGCAGTCGGTTTCGCCGGAAGTCACCTCAACGTCCGAGTGACTGCTGTACGTGACGCGGCTCCTTTGTCGCGGCCCTACCCTACCTGTTCCAGCGATACTCGGCGAGTTCACTGAAACGAACAACTGGTTTAAAGAGGTTCTAGCGTTAAGTGCACTTTCAACATACCTTTGACACTGGTCACTGGACCTTTCGTCATATTTCCTTGATTCAGAGTAACCTTGATGCCTTTGTCGGTAGCGATAACGGTTCTACCTTCAGAACCGGGTGACAAAGGATTCTTCGTGTGTCCATCCTGATGGTACGCGTTGTTAGAGCGATTTTCATAATTACTATGAAAATGCTTCGAATTCCCGCGATAAGAACGATGATTACCACCGCGATTATGGTGTGCATAATCATTTCCTACGAGAAGAAATTTCATGTACCAATTAGTAACAAGAATACAAATACGAGAGACTCTCTGTGATTCCTTAGTTGCGCTTTATGTAAGCGTCATCTTTCTCGATCGGTTCTCACCATTAACATGGTATCTTCTATCGTAATCTTTATGATCCTTCTTCACGTAATCCCCTAATTTTGCCTCAGATCTAGTCACCTCGTTCATGATGTGCGCCTGCAACAATCACACGCATGCAATGTCTATGCGTGTAACATTTTTTTTGCATAATCTCGACGGCTCTCACTTTGTCGTTGTCCCATTCTCTGCGCCAATTACCCTCCGCCGTTCTCTGCCTGCTGATGCGATCCTCGTCGATGCGATTTCTCTCCGCTCTCCAAGCCTCGTATTCCGGCTGATGCTCGTCCCTGTGCGGTCCTCTGTTCGTTCTGTAATCCTATTACGGGCAAAGCAAAGTTATTATAAAAGAATAAATGAGATCAAATACACTTGAAATGTGTTGAAGATTTATTCACTCTTTGCATCCCATCCTTTCCTCCAAGTTTCCTCCTGAATGTGCCTCTTGGGTGTTTCTGTCCTCTATTTGGAGGATTGTCCTTTATACTCTCCATATTGCCTTCCTCTCTCTCGGAATCGGCTAGGAAATTATATTTAGGGTCAGGTGGAGGCCCTTGTCCCTGTAACGGTAATATATTAAAAATTAACGAGTTGAAACAAGTTCGTCCAACTTTACAACTAAAATTAACTGAAATAAATTGATATAACTATAATTACCTGTTAAATTAAATTATTGTTACTAAATATATTATTCGAATATAGTTTTTCTTTTATGTACCTGAGCGAAAGTGTGAACTTTCCTTCCTTCTCCACTAGCTGCGTGATATTGCTGAATGTGCTCATGATGTTCTTTGACAGGCTTCGGTTTATTGCTCGCTCGAGGTGGATTAGAAAATTCTGGTGGCTCCTTCCTCTCGGGCCAATCTGTAGATGGTACCATTTGTACTAGTGCATTCAATTTAGCTGCATTTTTCTTATCTTCCTCCACTTCCTAAATGACAAAATCCATTATCATATTATGTCGTGTAAGTACTTGTTAGTAAAGTCACTTAATTCTTACCTCATATCTTCTCCTGATTTCTTCATTTTGTTGCTTTATCTTGTTAATCTTCTCTTCGAGAGCATTAGCTGCCATCTGCAACGTAAAGAAAAATCAGATTAGTGATCAATCACAAGTGAAAATTGCAGAGCAAAGTATTGTGTAGCGTCGAATTGTTTCGTTATTTGTTTTCATTATTATATGTTTTTATTATTATTCGTTTTAATTGTTTGAATCTTCATTGAAAGTATCACGGGAGGCACTCCTAACAACGGTAATCCAAATCATTTAACAGGACGACACGCGCGATTCGGTGGGTATTCGTGTCACGTCCCGGCACGTCATAGGAGTCGCGAAAGGAATGTCACTTCCGAATTCTCTAGCCTCTAAATAGCGGTCGGTGGCGAATGGCCGACCCCGATCTACGCGCAGATCCCGTCGATTCGTTGCTCCGTCGCCGCTCGCATCTCGAGCGTTACCCGAGGAAAAGGAACGAAACGGAGGAAAAAAGAAAAAAAAAGGGGGGGAAACGCGAGAATCGAGCGGATTTTCCCTGGCTCGGAACGATCCGACACGGCTCCGAGCGTCCGCGACGTAAAAAGTCAAGTAGGACATTACTTTTTCCGCGGCGCATAAGTCGACGGTGCGCAAATTCGTCGCGCGATGCACCACCACGGAGAGGCGTTGCGCGAATGCAACTTGGAAACTCGGGAGAAACTCGCCGCGTTGACGAGGATGCGCGCACCACGTCGCACCAAACGAGCGGCGCGAATGAGATCTGTTACGAGGGGGAGGGGGGGAGGAGAGAGAGTATCCCGGTACCGTTAGAACACATTTTTCATGCATCGAATTCTAGCCTGAATGGGAACACGCTCGGTGTGTCCGATCGACGCGAGCGATTCGAGATGAGAAAGGAGATCGGATCGCGCACAGGATGACAACGTACGTTGAAACGAACTGCGGAAGAATCGTCGTGGATCGAGCTGACGTTCAGAACATCGCACGCAACTGTTATGTCAGACGCAGGAAACACGCACAACCGCTCCCGGCCGCACTCGGCGCATCTGTCACTCCTCGTGCGCCGACTCGGCGCGACCTTACCGACCGACCGGGCGAGGCGCGTTATAGTTCCGGCGTGCAATGCGCGATAGAGCCCGGCCCGGTCTGGAGCCAACAGAAAGAAGAAGAAACAAAATTATAGGCTCGCGTCGCAGCTGGCGGTTTACGGTTTAAGGTTATGATGAGACGACGAGATTGATATATGCGATAGAGTGAATTGGTGACAGACGGCGGTATGATGTAGCGTCGAGAACGAATGCCGAGTGATCGAAACGTACGACCCAGTCACACGATTCTCTGCCGACGCGGTAAAATGGAGGAGAAAGAGAGTTAGGTAAAACGCGGTGATCCTCCCCCGGGCTCTTTGGCGGCATTTCCTTTGGTCGCATTATTTAATTGGATTGCTCAATCTAGGAGTGACAGTCGTGCACCTGACATGTGTTTTATGTAACACTCTCACCTGCGATTACGTTTGTCGGACGTGGTCACAATGATCTGAGAGATTGATCGGTTCGTCATGTGAGTAGCATGCGAGATCAATTCGAGATTCACGTGTCCGGATTTGAAATCCGTGTTAATTTCGTGTATCTCACTGCGTGTTCGTAGAAGGTTAACGTCGAAGGCTTTGCACTTTTCTATGCAGAAAATGGTGGAGAAGATTCCGCTGCGAAAAGCCATCGTTAGATTGGACTATCCGGCGATCATATCTTTCGGCAATCCGCTGCTCGACATCTTCGTGGCATTGGAAAGTGACGATTTACTTAAGAAGTACAATCTTAGATCGGACGGCGAGACTGAGCTGTGCGAGACAAAGATACAAGAGTTGATAGTGGATTTACCATCAGAGTTAATGAGTATATTTGTTGGAGTATGCTTTGTGCTTGCACTGTATGCAAACGTTGATTTTCTAGGATCAGATAGCAAAAAGAGAAAAACAAGTAAATCCATTCGGTCGACAGAAGTCTACGAGTCAATTTTGTGCGAAAGATAGAGATATATCAGTGAACAACAATATCAACAAAAATTAATTATTACAGTGAATTAACCTATACATCTTGTTGTATCTTAGTTTGTATATAATTGTATATAATACACTTTCACAAACAAAAAAGATTGTATCTCCGTCAATATTGATTCTTGGACCTACGTTGACTGGATAATTTTTATCTATTTTTACAAATACTGTGTGCACCTAAATCTTTGATTCATCCTTCAAATTATCCTATTAGATCATGCTATGCAAAAAATAAACAGTGCAAGCATCAATATTTCATAAGATTTATAGATTCTCTGAGAACCATTATTACTGACAATAAGAAATCCCATCATTGTTGATTCTATAGAAACACTGACTGAAGATTACATCATGTATACATTACCACCCATTTAATGTGGAAATTTCCTCATAGGTCGGAACAAAGAGTAAGTCCTGGAGGATCCGCACAGAACACAATGAGAATCTTGCAATGGCTCTGCGATGAGACTCACGAATGCCATATTGGCACTTTTTGCGGCGCTGTTGGAACCGATCAAAGGGGTTCGGTACTAGAGAAACTAGTTCGACTGTCGGGGGTGGATGTGAGGTTCGGAACGCGTACAAAATATCCCTGTTATTATACATTTCGTGATGCGATAAATTCGATTTTTTCTTTGCGTATTAGATATGCCATGCATACAAGCCTTCCAACCGGATTATGTATTTCTCTCGTGAACGGTACATCCCGCAGTCTCGTTGCGAACCTCGGCGCGGCCAATATATATACGTTGGAGGATTTCAAGAAGGTCAATTTGCGATTCGATAATGTAAAGATAATTTACATCGAGGGGTTTTTTATAACGCACAGCTTGGAGGTGGCCAAAGAGTTGGTGAAGCGGGCGCAGGAGAAGAATATTATTATAGCGTTTAATCTTAGCGGTCTCTATATATTCAAGGTACAAACGATACGCAGCGTGTAATGTGCGCTAAAAAGCGATATCCGTAACTTCCTCCTTTGTTTTTGTCAAATTAATGCGGGCGCCCGCTACGTTTTTCACTCTTCATTGTTCACAGGATCATCATCCGGCGATTTGCGAGATGGTCGGCCACGCCAAGATCGTTTTCGGGAACGCGAGGGAAATGATCGCGTTGGCGCAAGCGTTGAACGTTAAGTACGACGATGTGACTGATATACCCTTCCTGTTGAACAGCCTAAAGAGGATCACAGTGGACGTTTCCAACGCTACTAGTAAGGACTGGTTGGCCGATGACGGTATATTCGTCATGACGCGCGGTGGGTCTGCACCAGCGATTATCGTGTGGGGCAAAGGACAATCTGTTCAGGTTTGTTTCACAATCAAGAAAGCCTACTGGAATCGAAATGAGCATGAGTAGTACCTAAAGAAAAATACGCACTCAGGTAAATATTCTTGTTACAAGCATCACATAAGTTTATATATCCGCAAATATATCAAAGTTTATATTATAAACATCAAATTTACAAGAGAAGTAAACTGAGTAATCGTTTATCTTAGAACATGACATTTTTCTCTGCATGAGAAGGTACTTGAGTCTCTTATAAATAGATATTAATGTTGTCTACGTCTTGAAAGTCTTATCACTGACCGTGCACCTACGAACACAAATCGATATATTTGCAATCTTCCAAGCGTTAAATGCAATACAATAACAACTTTATTTTGAGTGCATCAGCGACTAGAAGAACAACCTCTCGGGGTTGTTTCAGAACAAAAGAGATAAAATTCTTTAGTAGTTTAGTATATAAATAATAAAAGAACGTATAATTATATTTGCAATACAATTCAAAATATATGATGTTAATTATTACAAATCTCCCCTACGTTTAGGTACCACCTATTGTACCGAAGGCGCCTATCGTAGACACCACGGGCGCCGGGGATGCTCTGGTAGCTGGCTTCCTGGCCGGCGTTTTAGCTCACTGGGACCCGAAGAGCTGCTTGGAGTCGGGATGCAGGGTCGCTTCTTACATAACGACTCGCGTCGGTGTCACATTACCGAGCAGCATACCTGCCGATCTGATGCTATGAATGACTTGATCCGTTTAGGACGAATCGGCTAAATCGTTACCTGATAACCCGTAAACGCACGGTTATTTATTACCTCAAAGTTTTATTAGCGCGTTATCGACCATTAGACGAACGGTAAATTAGCATTCCTCGATGTTACGTCCATGTTCGATTAAGATATATTTATTTAAGCGAGTATATATATACACACGTACATATATACATACATACATACATACATACGCATATATATATACATATATATATGGTGCGCATGGCGTGTGAGTGTCCACGTTGTAAAACGATGCAACATTCGTGAGAGTTTATTTATTATAGAGGTCACTACACTGTAACATGTTGTTCGTCTTGTGGCTAAATCGTGCGTTGTCGACTGTGCGCACGGCACTATTATTATAATAACAATTATAATTATTAAAGAAATAGCGCGATATACTAGAAATTTTGGTCGTTGTTACTCTGTAGATCTATGTAGTCCATCCGTTTGCGGTGTGCAACAAAGTTTGTTACTAACGACTGGCTTTCTTTATTTTTATATTTTGTAAAAATGCCGGTACAGCTTATGGGAGTGCGAAGTAAACACAGATTGCGCGCGCGTTTCTTACGCCTATGTTCTTCCCTCATTGGCACTGTACGTGCTCTCGTGCGTACGAGACGGTGTCCGTACAATTCGTAATTCCCGGCAAAAGTGTCGCCAACTCTCGGGCGCGTCCGTGTCGTAAATCATTCACGACACTCCCGAAGTTGTCCACTTCCGTATCTAGAGGCTTATCTAATCGCATCCGTGATTTCATGATCGAAAGTTGACACGCCATATCGCCGCAGTTCAGCTGGTTCAAATACGCAGATGAGTCATCGAGTAGAGTTAAGGAGGAAGCGGAGGTAAGAAGGAATGGTACGCAGTATCGCACAATTACAATTTTAGATTTGCTTTTGGTAAAAAAATGCGACCGAATACAAAAGTGCGTAACGAACCGGTACGATTTCGAGAACTCTGACGAGACGAGCAGGAAAGAAAGAAAGAAAGAGAGAGAATACGACTGATAAACATTACATACATTACAAGTCTCTGTCAATTTCACACAAGGCACTGCAAAGATTCTCCAAGTAAAACTCACCGGGAAACGCACGTCGATATGGGATCTAAGAGTAAAGCACCATCAATGACGCCAAAATTAGCTACGAAGATGCATGTCAAGTACTTCCAGAGGTTACTGCAGATCATGCCCAGCGATCTGGTAGAGTTTGACTCCACCAGACTGATGATCGTCTACTTCGCGTTTTCCGGCCTGGACCTGCTGAACTCGTTGAACGAGATCAGTGAGGAGGCAAAGCTGCAAGCGATCGACTGGATTTATGGTCTCCAGGTACAAGGAGCTGGTCCCAGATCCGGGTTCCAAGCATCCACGACCATACCCAAAGAAGTCGCTGAGTACCAGTGTGGTCACTTAGCAATGACCTACACTGGCTTGGTTACCTTGTTGATCTTAGGTGACGATTTGAGTCGAGTTGACCGAGATTCCATCATCGAGGGGCTTCGTGCATGCCAGAACCCCAATGGATCCTTCACAGGTATGGTGATGGGTTGCGAGAGTGATATGAGGTTCCTCTACTGTGCCTGCTGTGTCTCAAAGATTCTAAACGATTGGTCCGGTATCGATATTCCAAGAGCCACTAACTATATCTTACAGAGTATTGTAAGTATTGTTATTATCTGTCACTGATTGATATCATCCATACAGAGGAAAGATAGTCCCCTATATTCGAATAATTTCAGTCATTTGATGGTGGTTTCGGGCAAGGGCCGGGTCTCGAGTCTCATGGAGGATCTACTTTTTGCGCCGTGGCAAGCCTAATCTTGATGGGCCAAAGGAAACTATCGAGTGAACAGTTAGCTCGTTTGAGTCGTTGGTGCCTTATGAGACAGGATGGTGGCTTTCAAGGCAGGCCAGGCAAACCGCCCGATACATGTTATAGCTTCTGGATTGGTGCTACACTCCATTTATTCGGAATAAGAGATTTTTCAGACGCCGAGCAGAATAAAGCTTTTATCCTCAGTACTCAAGATTCGTTGATCGGAGGATTCGCCAAATTCGAGAACACCAGACCTGATCCTTTGCACACATATTTGGGTAAGTGTGAGGGTATATTTTTTTTTTATAATATAAAAATTGAAAATATTTTTACCAAATATGATCTATATTTCTATTGGGCTCCTTTGAAAGTATTCTTGTAGACATAACTTTTTAATAATAATAACATTATATAAATGTTTCTTACTCGACAGGTCTCTGCGGTTTGAGTCTCCTAAAATTTCCCGGAGTGCGTCCAATAAATCCCGAACTCAACATGTCCGAACGGGCTTACGAGCATTTAAAACAGATTCACGAAAAGTGGCAGAGCGAGTGATTCTGGTTCCTTTCAAGAAGTCGTGATTCTCATATCAAACGCACAGAGACAAATATATCAGACTCAACACTTTTTTGCATTTGATCGTAAACGTTCATTTGTATTTTATCGCATTCTCTGTGCTAGAATCGTCATTCTAAAGGTGTCAATTAACACTGCTACGATAATTATATGGTATACATTAATAGCGCTTCGTTTCACATGATTTGGAGCTGCTTGTTGAACCATGTGCTTGTTACAGAGATACACATTCATATGTACATATATAGAAATATGCAGATATTAATATAATTAGGAAAAAAATGTGGATGCGCGCACGCATTATTCTAAAGCAATGTTTCCCGAGCTACGTCTCGCAATAATGAGAAACGCAACGTTCTTTGTTTTTATCTACAAATAGTATTTGGTTTTATTTATCATTTATTTATTATTGACTTATTTTATTATTAATTATTTACTAATTATTTAATATATTTATCAATTTCTTTCACACTGCCAAAAAAGAAAAAAAAATATATATATATATGCATTTACACACATGTAGGGAATAAGATACCTCAATATATGACAACGAAAAATTTAATAGAATCGATTCTTTTTAACAGAAGTGCATGTTCTTTACAAGGTTTCTCTCGTGCGATGAAAAGGTTTGGGAAGCATTGCTTTAGAGGGAAAAAGAGAAAAGATATTAATAAAAATAACTTAGGCTACCGTTTGTAACTTGTGCTTTTGATTCCATATATTTAAGCTGCTGTCCCTCTAATGTGACCATTAGTTTGGAGCGGTCGACATACCTAATAAAAAATAACGGATCAAATTTAGTTCAAACTCGAGACTTGTTGAGTCGAAACGCGAACCCTATTTAACTGCTCACGAATTTGGCCGCTTGCATTAGTGCGCACTGAGGCTTGTTTATAGGCCGTTTTTATATTTAAGGTCGTCTTAAATACACCTTCAAAACTTAAGCAATAAAACGATCTGTACGGATTACAGATCATTTTACTAGCTAAGAAATATTTTAAGACGTATTTAAAGTCTTTAAATACATAAGAATAGACTGTGAACAAGCCTTAATGCACACTGGTGCAAGCATTATGTAATACTATTATATGACCAGGATGAGAGAGAAGTCCTGTCTTGTAACCACGGTGCGGGAATATGGGTTTACTTATCTATTTATATTTTCTATCTATATTTTCCTCTCTTTTTGTATGTATTTTGAACGTAATGCGCATGCGTCGGATTGATGTCTCCGCCAATAGGGAAATAAAATATATTTTAGCACGCGCGCGTGTGCGTGTGTATCTTCTGCTTCGCTTCTTCAGACAATTTCCCTCTTATAAACAGCATAAAACGGCTGGTTACATAGTAATATTACATATATGAGGCAACCACCGAACAGTCAAGATATATGCGTACATCTAGAAACGGATGTGTAAGGACGGAAATTTTTAGTTACTTTCGATCTAGTAAATGCATTCTGTCAACTATTTATCGCATAAGAGCGCATGAGCGGCTCTCATCTGAAGTATTTCGAAACGCGTCGAAAAAATGTGTGCAAACTGTTTTGTTTGTGACATTTATGAGTGTGTGAAATGTCATTACTGAGAATCATATAATTTCTATTTATATGTCATTATATTTGTATATTGAACACACATCTGAAGTAAGTCTAAAATAAGTTTAAAGTAAAGTTGCTCGACGTTTGACGAGAATTTCTACGTTGATTCTGATTAATTTTCCGCTAGGTATACAGCTGTCTCGATATCACGCGAGCAGAAAGATTCCGAGGATTCCGAGATGACTGATATTGAGGATATCCGTCGGTAACACCGTTTACTGATGATTGAAAAGCGATTTACCTTTAATTTTTCACTAGAATTGATCCAACGTCTTTCGGCCCGAACAAGCTTAACCTATAAGCCCGGATATGGAGCAGATTCCTTCATCTTCGAGCGAAACGGTCTCCAGTCAGAAATCATTGCCATCGTCTTATGACGCCGGATGGAACGATCCTCCAGAATGGGCGATGTCTTCGCAACTTGGAACTTCCTCTATTGGAACGTCCAGTAAGAGATTGCTGAACAAGCGAGTGGCATTCCCACTGTCTTCGCAGACTTCAGCATCAGAGAAAACTAGTCTTTTGCTTCCATCTAACATGCCTCCAGTTTCATTGTCTTCCCTGAAGATAACTACAGCTCCCCATAAGCCTCTCATGACTCCCATCGCTAAGGACACTACTACGACAGAACTATTGGAGTCAAGTTTCGACAAAAGTCAAGCTTTAATAGAGGTTATAGCCAACTTAGAGTCTGTGATGAAGAAACAGAGGATGGAGAAGAATAAGCTGGAGGAGATAGAAAAGAGATTGGATATTATGAAGTCTGATTGGCTAGAAGATAAGTTGAACGATATAGTACAAAGGAGTATTCTGGATATGTCGAAAGGTAACAATGAAATCTTTGCATCCATATGTTGCTCTTGACTGGTTGCTAAAATGAGCATATATGTTTTTAGCATTGTTGAAGAAAGATGTCCAACAAGCTGACACGATCCATATCAATCTTATGATGCAGCACGCAACCATTTGTCGTGCCTGGATACCCGCTATCAGACATGTAATATTAGAATTGAAAAAGGAAGGCGAAGTTTCGCAAGTGGAGCATTCGCAATCACCTCTATTACCTATAGAAAAGATCGAGAAGAGTGAGGAAAAATAAATGTTTTAACAAGTGAGCTCATCGTATCGAGAGTATAGATATCGGAGGACAGAGGCCCATATTCTGAACTTTCTTTTATATAAGTGGCTTAGAAACCACCTTATTGGCTGAGAAGCCATATTTAAGGTATTTTCGATAAAAGAGACTTCAGAACACGGACCAAAGACTTTTATACATTATCAATTACTTGTCACGTAATGCTTTTACGGCGAATGTGCAACATTACGGGCAGATAGAGTCGCAATCATCGCAAGGAAAAAAATGAAAATACAGTTGTACTCATAAAAGTTTTTTGTATTTTTCATTTCTCTCTTATGTATATTCACAAAGGACAATTACATCTGACTTACCACATATCTTTGTCTAAATGTATGCATCTTACGTCGACAATAGTCATCAATAGCTAAAGTCAGTTATTTCATTACTTATTACATATTGTATCCCCTAGTGTTACTCTAAAGCATAATTGATTTCTTAAGTGGACGCGATCCGGAGAGCGTGGGTGGCCCGTCTGCGCGTCCTGAACGAAATTCATTATTTAACCCGAGAAACGCTTTCATTTATCGCAATCAGAGTCTTTTTTTTTCCATTGCTTTCGCTTGTCTCTCTATTCTCGCCGTCGCGACTTGCGTTGCTTTAATCGGGCGCGAGAGATGACCCTTCTTTTATCGACGCGTGCCAAAGAATGCTTTACAAGTGTGATGGCGCTTAGAAAACTTACAATTATAACTTACGACCATTTCTTTAATCGTCAATATATTAAATTTCTTCCACTCTTAAATAAATATTCATAAATACATCTGGGGAGCGACGTGCGCGAAAACTCTCTCGACAATCAATCTCTCCCTCTTTCTTTCTCTCTCTTTCATTCTCACATTCTTTCGTTCTCTCATTCGGTCTCACTCTCTCACTTCGCTCATCCAACAGGAAGAACAGGAGTCTCGCTAATACCGCGAGAAGCCGCGAATGCGAGCCGAGAGATGATCACGTTCTTGCGCGTCCTCGCCCGAATTTCGATTTTAAAATTTCCTCGTGGCTTTATCCAAAAATATATGTACACATATGTGGTCGGTGTATACGTAACGCTACATCCTTACACATACATATGCGGATCCAGAGATTTCCCGAAGTTGCACCAACGATTCGCGTGGTGACGCGTGTATGTATATATGTACGTACGTATATATACATACATACACACAAATTCGTTATTTTTTAATTAAAAGCGATATATCTATATTAATATCTCTATAAATTAAAAGTTCGCGGTTGTGTGCGGACTACTCAACGTTGTCAATCAGCCGATGTTGGTGCAGCCCTCGGATCCTTAAGATATTCAAGATGGACGGCGCTAATTCGCCCGTTCCGCTCGTTATTAATAAAACTATACTCGCGATCTCGAACGATGCAACATCTCGCTCATCAACCGTTCATTTCTCTGCCGTCGATCGTTCTCGATGGTGAAGACAATGTGTGTAAGTCTCGATTTCGCGGGACATATACATCGACTCGATCTGCTTCCACTTTTTATCCCCCTTTTGCTTTGTTTGTTGCTTGTTCGTTATCGTTATACACATTCATACGCTTGCTACTAACTATTTGTAAAATTTGTTCTCGTATTTCCCATTATTACGCACGCGCTCTTCTTCGCTCGCCTCTTCATCATATCTCTCTCTCTCTTTTTTTCTGGATTTTCTCGCTGGTTTTTTCGTACAAAACAAAATGGCATCTTTTTGGCATTGGAAGAAAAAATACACTCTTCAACGTTTATTTCTTTCTTAATTCGCCGTCGCTCTCTATCTTCAATCGTAACCCCTCCCCTTTTTCGTTAATGAATCCCTCTGTGTTGTAATCAGATTTCAGAAGTTTCTTTTTTCCACGTACAGGGATCCACGCAACCATCAAACCACCCGGATAACGATTTTTGCGCGCAAAGCTTGCGCCTGTTTTTACCTGCAAGCCTTCAAACATTTTGTTCAGTGACTTTATGACGACACACGAGCAAACTTGGCGCGTGATTTGTCGGCGCTATCTACGCGCAAAATGTTTTCTGGGTATCGTTGCCTGTCACTCTGTACTTGAGATTCGGCAGGGCAAGCGAACTAGCTCTGGATCAGCGTTAAAAGGCAAACTCTGTTTGTCGTTTTATCTAGAAAAAGACACGAACGTATATAATAAAATATCACTGCGATCTTTTGACAATTGTGCGAAGAACACCTTGAAGGCGTTCTTGTTTAATTCAATATACAATTTAATTCATATACAATATATGTACACATAAACAATTTAATTCATCGTTACTTTATACTTATTGATCTCGTAATAATGATATTATGACGGAAGTAATCGATAAATATAAATCGCCGAAAAAAAAATATATATATATATCGCATAAGTGATGTCTCGATACTGCAACACTGGCACTCGCTACGCTTGCAATTAAGAAAAAAATCTCTGAAGGTTTGATTAATATCTACATCGGTAAAGAAATCTCGACTGGACGGTCGTAATAAATCCCGGAAAATAAGAATCACGCGAAGTCCGAAACTCATCGCTCGATCCGCACCTAGTCCTCTTACCCCGCTTCGTTTCCTTCGTTTCTTTTTTTTCTTTCCGTATGTCATACAGCTATTATGTATTACAAACATTTCTCCTAATTATTTAATACTATTTTGGCATCGTCGAACTGTAATTCCGAGTTTCCGCGTTATAAAAAAGTTTTCAGCAAGGACAACGATCTTCTTCGGTGTACCTACGGACAAGTAGTTGGAAGTAGTCGTCAACATCGTTATATTACGGCGCTTAGGGTGCATTATGCGGCTAACGATAAGTGTATTCCCGGAAGTCGATATGGAATTTTGATTTCCCTTCGCGTTGCAGAATCCGGCGGGTGTCACGCTCGCGTGTCCAGTACTTGTCGTACTTGAGAAATGGAGTAGTAAAGGAGGTGACTTCGCGTGGCGAAAAACACACGTAAGAATATATTACTCACGACACCCGCTAGATATCCGAGGATTTTACGAGAGCGACGCGCGCCCTGATTCCCACCGAAACCCCGATGATACCGAAGCGTATCGGGCTCGCTTTATTGTATTGTCACCTTAGCGGAATACACGAGGAGGAGGAGGCAATTAATTCTCTTGCTGTCTATGTAAAAAAAGCCATCGGGCCGATGTTTATCCTATAATTGTACTCTCATTGCCGTCTGAAAGCTGCCTTATTCTAGAAAATGGATCGTACGTACGTGCGTACGCGTGGATGCGAAGCGAAAGAAACGAAGTGTTGCGGACCTGAAATAGTCCCGTTGCCTGCATTTCCATCGCGCGAAGAAGAAGAAGAAATAGAAGTAGAAGAGGAGGAAGAATGTGGTGGCGAATTTAGTTGAGAACAGACAGACCGATATTTGGGGGGTCCGAAGCAGGATCAGATCCGAATTCGACGTGAGAAAAACGCGAAAACCTTCCCGTACGTCCGTCCCGCGCGATTTTGGAAACGTCCGATGGAAGTGTCCTCGGAATTTCATAAGAGACAGATGAATTCGGAATGGATTCTTACTCCGCGAGAGAGACTGGCGTGTTGTGCCTCCGGTGATGAGGGGGATATCCGTACGACAGTTTAATAAAAAGTAGAAAAAAAAACAATCGACTGACACTTTGCTTTCTTTCTCGTTGTTACGGAGAATATATAGCTGCGGCGACGAGGCTGTCGCACGAACGAAATCGATGTGCGATACGTCGTGTCCGTGAGGAAGGTTCTCTCCTCTCGCGTCTCACCGAACGCGGTCGGATCGAGTGTACAGAAGCCTGACAACCTTCATTCGAAAGTTCGACTTCGAGCCGCCAACTTGCCGAAAAATAGAACAGCGATACATACCGCGTTTTGTAAGAACTTAATTAATAAATTAATACATTAAATTAGATTACATCACTAGTTATTACTGAAAGCTGATATTTATCATTATCGTTATTATTACTATTATTATTATCACTATTACTATTACATGCGTTAACTAATGAATGACAATATATATTAATGATTCCTATAATACTCCAGTAGGCGAGGGTTGGTCGCGCGCGTCTTGCTTCTTTCTTTTTCTCATTCCACCGACTTGTACTCATTGCGTTAACGTAAAAAGAACCTTCGTAGATAGAAAAAATTAGCACAACATTGAACAAAGGAGAAAAAGAACAAAAACGTAAGACTCGACTGACCAACTGGAAAATAAGAAACATATAAGTCCATTGTAAATCCTTTCGCGTCTAAAGTAAAAAGTCCAATTTCTCCGTCTATTTTATAGAACAAACACGTTACGCGATTACTTCGAAGGTTGAATACGGTGGACGAAAAGTTAGACGAGGGAGACCTTCTTGTCTACCAATATTGCCCTCGTGCTCGTTCGATTTTTTCTCCCCCCTTTCCTCTTTCTTTCCTCATCGAACCGGCCTCTCGAAGGGAACGATACACAGGCTTGAACTAACAAAAATGACATCCAACAACATGTAGGAATAAAATAGAGGAGAATAGAAAAGATATAATGATACACTCACGGATAGTATCGAATCTTGCCGTTTCTGCTGATTCAATAATGACGCGTCGAATCTCAGAGAATTGAGTCTCTCTCTCTCTCTCTCTCTCTCTCTATCTTGTTATATCGTGTCGAAGCGATCGCACGGTTTTCAATCATCCTCATTTCTCTCTTTCTCTCTCATCTCCCGACGAGAGACGTCAAATGCAAACGTCATCGCCCGTAATTGGAAAGTAATTAACCCTTTGAACTCTACACAGACTGGTGCTCGCGACCATCGACCTGATGCGTGGTATGCATCGACGCGTCAATCGCGAATTTTTGTCGCATTCCGCCGAATTTCCGTCATCGCAAACGAGCTAGCCAACTAACACTCTCTGCTACCAATCGTGGTCACGTGATCTAGCTCTGATCGCTGGTTCTCGAAAAGTGGAAAGGGCTAAAAACCAGATGAAAAAAAAGCAACAGGGAAGAACGTCAAACCGATGATGATGACAATGATGACAGTGATGTTGATGATGGTGATAATGATAATAATGATGATGAAGACAATACCCGGCGTACGTACACCTGGCGTTACACCGCCGACCAATAATGGATTACACCCCTACTACCTACGCGTCACGTGATATTGTTAGATAAATGCTTTGTACTCAGCCGACCCGAAGGGCGCATGGTTAGTTAGTTATTACACTTGGCGTGCCACTTGAATTAATTCGTACTTAGTACTTAGCTACGAGTACAAACACGAGTAAATAAATACGAGAATAAGAAGCGAAATGTACAAAGGCTAAAAATCAGATATACATTACATATCGTTTAATTAATTTAAAGACTTGAGATCATTATCGTGTGTGTATATATCGTCGTCCGGATCTTTAGGATTGTGCTTGGACCGTCGCGAAGAATTCTCGCTCTCGACTAACGAATACGAAAAAGAAAGGATACTCGCGGAGCTATCGCGCTTTTTCCCCATTTGGATATCACGAGAGACCTCGAAGAAACTCGGAAAACCGCGGCTGCCGGCACTCGTAAGCATCACTGCAGCGCTTAAAAATAATTTCTTGTCCGACGCTCTTCTCCTGTAATGTATATACATTACATGTAATGTTCTATAATTTGTATTACAGAAGTGTTGGACGTGAAATTATTTTTTGTTATATGTATTATATATATGTATATATAATATATATACACATATATACATACATATAATGTGTGTATGTGTGTGTGTGTGTGTGTGTGTGTGTAAAACACATATATTGATTTCAACGATCGATGTCTTAACATGATGCTTTTGAAAACAAACGCAGCCGTTTCTACCTTCCTCTTTTCTCCTCTCATCGTATCACGAAGAAGTGCGATAATTCCGAGAACGTATACGAGGTCTGTAAAAGATACTTTTGGGACAGACCTCGCATATCGTGCAGGTTCCTTGGATGTCTCGGAGTGTGCATGTACGCTTAATGTGTGCTCTGTATGTGTACGTGTGATGTGTCGCGTGATTCATCATCTAGACTTCTCGACTAGCTAATAAGATTACGATTCTACCAACACGAAACCGTTATGCGATATTACTTAATGTGTACAGAGTCAGAATACGAAAATCTATCGTATCAAAGTCTTCGCAAGGGGCAGCCGGTCATCGGCGCTTTCTTTCTTTCTTTCGTTTTCTCTCTTTTTCTTTCCTGTTACGTCAATAGCCTCGGTCATTCACGATCTCCCGTCTCGATCTTTTCGTAGCCTCCTGGGCTCGATCGCGAGAGCCTGTTCTCGAGTTCAGCTTAGTAAAAAGTCAATATAAAACGCGAGCCCCGACAGAAGGGTGTGCGATTGGATCACATATCCTGGCGTGGGCACGTTTCTCGTCACTATGTTTTAAAATCCTGCGTAAAACCCGAAATAGAAAAAATGGCAGTGCAAAGTGTGTGTTTTTTTTTTTCTCGGAGTAACTAACTATAACGATAATAACGATATAAAGCCTCTCATGGTTCAACGACGCCGCCTCATCGAAGGGTCCGGTGTCTTTCGGTGGTGGTCATCGGCGCTCGAGGCCGTATCTCGCGACCTCGACTCATCCGATCGCACCGCCTTCTTGATACGGACCGGTTATGATGCAGGGATGCATCCGGAAGAGCGTCGTCCAGGTCATCGTGGTGTAGGTGGGTGATCTCATCATGAACTGCGAATTGGGAACGTTCGGAATGTGCGGTAACGACGGAAGCGGCGGCGTCTTTTCGTTCGTGGTGCTGCCTGGACTGGTGGCGACGGTCGGGGTCGACGAAGAGGAGGCGCTGTTGCTGGCGGTGACGCCCAACTTTCGCAGCCGCATCTTCTCCTCCCACTCGTCCCAGCCGTGCCTGGGCCTGTTCAAATTGCGATGCTGGTAGAACACCAGACTGATCCTGGTGGGATTCAGACGATTGGGCTTCCTCAGGGCCGTCGTGGCGTGCATCTCGTGCTTGGCGCACTCGAACAACACGCTACCATGGCCCAGAGCGATCGCCACACCGCCCATCTGCGGATCTTTGAAGCACTCTTCGTTGTCGGAGTAGTCCGCCACCTCGCCGAGCGGCTCCGCCTTGGGCGGAGGCTCCGGCAACACCGGGAAGTACGGCGGCGGCGGGCCGTAGATGTCCCACCGGGGTGCGGCGTCCCACCTGGTCCAACCGGCGGGATTCAGACTTTGGTACGGGTACTGAGGCGAATGGAAGCAACTCTCACGCTTCGGCTGCTGGTAGAATTGCTGCGGGTACTCCGGTGTCTGATAGGACTGGCCGTAATTGTAGCTCTCCCACGGCTTCTCGAACACCGGATAGGTCGGGTAGCCGTACTGCGGGAACGCGTGGTGACCCAGGCCGGACATCGCGTGGAAGTCTTGCACTTGTTTCATCTCCTCGGCCCATGCGAGAGAATTCGGATTGGAATTCGACATTTCTTGCCTGCCGTCGTAGAAGCCTTCTCGCAGCTTGTCTTCCGTACAGCTGCTCTTCGGCTGGTTGGGCACGCAGCCATTTTGTACGGCGCCGCCGCTCAACGTATCCGCGCTATAAATAGCGGGTTTCGTGGGTTCGGCTGGCTTCAGGAACGTTCTGGTTAGAGGATTCGGATACGTGTTGGGCTCCGCCGGCGAATTCTGACTGGATATCGTTCGCGAGGGCGGTCTTCCTCTCGGCACTCGGAAGGGAGATGGCGTTTCCCAAGATTTGCTTTGGTCCGACCTCGTTAGCTTACCGGTCCAGATCCTCTTGTCGGCCATTTGCTGATCGTTGGCTCGCTGTGGATTCTTCATCTGGTTGGATGGACACCACGCGGGGTTCGTCGCGTTCCAGTTTCGCGGATGAACCTGATCGGAAGACGGGGATGGAGGATGGCTGAAGAGCTTCGTTTCCGATTGTCTCTGCGCGTGATGATGAGCGGACTTCCGCTGCTCGTTCGGCGTGCATTGCGCGTCGTTCCGCTGCTCGAACGCCGGCAAGTGCAACGAACTGTGCACCGGAACGTCCGAGTTTGCACTCTCTAACTTGCTGTCCATGCAGGAGAAAAGATTCGCCGCATTACCGTCCCCCCCATACTGATTCTGATAGACTGGATTGATGGGCGACGACTGCATCTGTTGCGGCGGATAGGGATGCTGCGACGTTCTGTTGACGAACGTTTGCTCGATCTGCGGCCTCAGCAACGCCAATTTCGCCGGGTTCTCGACGTCCATGTAATTTTGCGCCATGCTGTCCGAGTATCTCTGCTGACTAGAATCTCCGATGTATCTCTGCGACGGCAACCTCAGCTGATTCGCCATGTAATCCTGCCCGACGTTGCGAACATGATGAGTAGCGATCGGTGACGGATTCATCCTGGATGGAGTATTTCGATACGCGGCTTCCACGCTCAGCGACGAAGAGTTGACGACTCTCGGGGAACAGTCGTTTTGCCGGTTGTCGTGAATGGAGTAAGAACCGGGCGCCATGTGATGATTGTAGCTGATTTCCGCGTTCGGGTGTTCCGGTCCCTTGGATGGGATCATCTTCGGGTCCTGAAGCGTCGACAGGCAGCCTCTGGGCGACACGTAGGACGCTTCTCCGGGTATGGTCGAGTGTGAACGAGGTGAGATCGGGTGAGCAGCTCTCGGTGAATTCCCGTAGCATCCTCTGACCGAATCCACCGTGGAATTGGGCAAGTTTCGCGAACCCGGTCTGTGTTCTTCTTGGGAGACGGTGCTCCTGGGTCTGATGTCGTCCAAGCTGGTGCTGTCCGGGTCTACCCTGACGTCCCTCTCTATGCCACCGAAAGGCGGATACTCTCCCCACGGGTTCAGCCAGTTGCTCTTTCTCTGTTCGAGCCAACCGTTCCGGCTCCACTGCGACTCACCTTGGTATCCCCATCCTTGATACATGGACACCGGGCTATCCAAGACCGTAGATGACACCTGGGAGCTCTGCAACTGCGCGTCGATACCTTCGAACATCGGCGTCATCTCCAGCGACAATTGAGAGTCCCTCAGCTGCGGTCGAGAAGAGTCAGCGTGTCCTGGCGAGCGGCCGGCGGCGTCCGACATCTTCTCGGACGCCATCTTCATCGCATCTTTTTTGCCGCTCACGGTATCAGGCTCGTCCTCTTTTCTTTTCTTGCCATGGCGTCTGCAGGGCTGAAGCGGAACCGATCGAACTCGAACCTCGCATGGATACCTGAGGGAAGTACACACGAATCTCATTAAGCTGTTCGTCGTCGTAACGTTCATTCTCTTGCAACACACCCCATCTACTACGTTACGTTGATACGCAACAAGTCTGTCTCCCTCGGCTTAAGAGAACGAGAGAGAGAGAGAGAGAGAGAATGTGTATCAGCTTAGCCGGCCGACAAGCGGAAGGCTCATTCCCGGTACTTCGAATACTCACTTGGACAGGATTTCGACGGCACCGGAGCGAACTTTTTTCTCTTGCCCTTCCTTCGAACCAAATTCGTCCGTATCGTCCATTATGTAAAGAGGTAGCACGTGTAACTGTTCGTCTTCAGGTTTCGATAATGTTCGATGTTTTGTCAAACTGACTACCTGAAGAACGCAAACAAGTGTGTTAATATTCATATCATGATATAATGAATCTCGCGCGTTTTCTTCGATATTTGCGAGTCAATGTTACGATAATGGATCGAGTACTCGGGGAAGAAAACTCACGTACCACGGTACACCCGTTGTTCATGTTGTGCAGATCCCGATGAGCGTGAGCGCAGAAATCAATGCAAGCGGTGACACCGGAAAACGGCCGGCCCGGCTTAAAACCCAAACGGCACTCGCTCGCCTCTCGCTCGAATTGCGTCTGATTATTGAACGCTTCCGGCGCGAGGCTGAGGTACAGAGGTGACAAAAGCGTTGCTAAAACGTGCATTCGCTCCTCGACTTCTTGTTCCTGAAATAAATACATTTTTCTTCCATTTCTCTTTATTCCTTTCCTTCATAGCCTACACACGGCAAACAATTTTGCGTTAAATTCAACACATTTCACATGTTCACACGAAAATTTTCGCAATTGGGAGTAACGCGTTACTTTAAAAAATAAAATTTTAACGAGAAGAAAATATTGTTTACTATGTATTCTATAGTCTACGGGTGTTTGAAGGATTCTTTACCTCCGATCGGACTGAGAGTCGAAACTTCCGCACGGTCTTGCTTCTGGCGTACTTGCACCCGTTGTAATACATCGACCAAGAGCAACCGAAGGAGAAGCTGGCGCCGCAGGTGTCCGGATCGAGTCCTTGGCACGCACAGGTTCGCGGTTCGTTGGTGCCGCATCGTCTGGTCGTGGGCAGACCGAATCGATTGAGCTTGTGACTTAAAAGAGAATATATCCGATCGGCCTCGTGTGTCGGTACTCCTTCCCAGGCGACCATAGCCACGACGATCCAGGCGGTCGGGCATTTGTGACCTTGACGGTGCTTCACGATGGTCAGGATCTTCTCGTCGATGCCGGATCGTCGGATGATCTGGTGTGAATCGTCGACGTTAGAATCCTTTCAACTTCTTTTTTTTTTTTAAGGAGGACTTACCCACTTGGCCATTGGACACCCCTGCGTGGTCTTGCCTTCTTTGCCGGTATAAATGACCTTCTCGAATCTTATCGCATCGCCCTTGAGACCGGTTCTTCGTTCGAGATCGTTCCTTAGGTCGGGCAGATTCGCGGCCGCTCCGAGATGAGTGTAGTATGAGCCGGGCTCAGGTGGACCTTGTGGTTGGAAGCTCATTTTACTTACGAGCGAGAGAGCGAGCGAGCGTCAACGAAAGGGAAGCAACAGAAGCGGGAACATTTATGCCGCACGTACGATGGACATGTCCTTGCGAACAGGGAAAAGGAGAGATGGCGCATAATCGCTCGATGCTGTTTTTATCGGTCATAATAACACGATACATACGTCAGTACGTTTGCAATGTTTCCCTCGTGCGTCTTCCCGGCGTCAGTGTTACAGAATAGCAACTCACATTTATCGGCGGGGAAGCAGTTGCAGTCCGGCACTTCGGTCCTCACGTTGTTCTTCAGTTTGTCCAGATGATCCTGCAACTTGGTCGTCGTAGTCGTCGCTGCGGACGAGGTGCGTGGACTGTGCGGGCCCCCCTCGCTCTTCGACTCGTCTCTCTGCGGGGAATCGGCCAGCATTTCGTCCTTGGTCTGGAGACCTTGGCAACAACCGTCCTTGAGGTGTTCGGGAGTCGGCTGCTCGGTGCCGCCTCTTCGGCAGCACCATGAGCCGGTCCCCGGCGACACCTTGGCGGGACCGCCGTCGCCGCGGAACTTGTAATCCGGCACGATCTTCTCACTCTCTTCTTCGGTGACATTGTTGGCCATGTCGTCGCTGTTGTAGTCCGCAGTGACGCCTTCTCGTTTGATCGCACGATCGGCGTCGACGTTCCGGGAAGACAGCGGATCGACAGCGGTGTCCGTGGTCTTCAGGAAGTCCAGACTGTCGCTCTTCGCCTCGTCGCTCTCGGGCGTTTTCCGGGACTCCTCGAAGGACACGATCTGATCCATGCACAACCGCTGTTGGAAGGACTTGTCGTCGACGCTTTGATCTTCGTGACTCTTCTCCGTCTGCCAGGACAACCGATCCTTGTCGCAGCATCGGTCAACATCGCTTTTGCTCTCCGTGGCGAGCTTCATGAAGTTCTCGAGGGCTGTCATGCCGTTTTCCGCGCTATTGTTCTTGTTACTCTGATTGTGTTCTCCCCCCGCCCATCCCCATAAGCCACCACCGTCGGGCAAATTATCTACCCGAGGGTGGTGGCTATGCGATAAAAAATTACCGGTCATGTTTTCGTTCGGTTGCGCCATCGAGATGACGTTCGACTGATTGATGAAGTGATCCGTGCGCTTCTCCTGCATCTTCTCGTTGCTCTCGTGCGCGTCGCGCAATCGGTCGTCCGTTGGATACTCCACCGCGGTGCCTCCGTTGTTACTGCTGACGTGTTGCGCCTGCATCTGGTGATGCATGTTACGATGTTGATCCTGGTGGCTTTGCTGCTGTTGCATCTGCTGTTGTTGTTGCTGCTGCTGCTGCTTATTCAGAATCATCGATTTCAATCGACTGGTGAGATTCACACGATTTGCTTGAGCATACATGTTATTCTCCGGAACGTTGTCTTGGTTCTCCGGGAAACCGTTCGGCTTGTTAGCCTCCACCGCAGACTGCTGCCAGGCGATTCTTTCCCCTGAGTTTTGCAAGTCCTGCTTCGTCGCCTGCTGTCCCCAGGCCGACTGGCTCTCCGACACGGAATTCGGCGACCAGGCGACTCGACCGTCCAGCTTGTTGTCTTGCGTCAGTTGACCCTGCCACTGGTGGCCCGGAGTCCGTCTAGGACTCGAATCCTGCCACTGTTGCTGCGGCTGTTGACTATTATCACTCTTTATGCTATTCGGTGACCAATTCGGTTGACTAGTCGGCGTGTCGGGCCATGACATTTGATTGGACGGTGTGAGTCTGGGATTCTGCTCCACCTTGGTCTGCTGCGACCACTGTTGTTGTTGCTGCATCTGTTGCCCGGAGGGCGTCAGCCTGGGATTCTGTTGAGAGCCCTGCATCTCTGGACTGTTCTGCTGCCAACCACGTTGGGCGGAAGGCGTCATTCGTGGGTTCTGTTGGGCGCCGCTGTTGTGCTGATCCGACAGTTTCGGCGAGTGCTGCAGCCAGGTCTGATGTTGAGGCGGCTGACCGGACGGCGTGAGGCGCGAGTTCTGCGGATCCCTCAGCTTCGGGCTTTGTCGCGACCAGTTTCCCTGAGTTTGTTGCTGACTGTCGGCGTTCTCGGACCACGATTGCGGCGTATGGGGTTCCTTCACGCTCCCGGTCTCCCAGCTCATGTGACTCGCCGGTCTCGGCAGTTCCTGCAGCTGGGTAGCTTGTTGCTGCTCCACTTGCTGCTTCGGAGCTTTCTGCATCCCTCCGTCCTGCCAATTCATGCTGCTGTTTACGCTATTGCTCATCTTTCCGCTCGCGTCCGGCCACATGTGCCGTTGATTATTGTCGACCACCGTTGATTGCTGCCGTTGCATTTGCGCCTGCTGATGGTGCTGCGATACCATTTGCCATTGGCTCTGCGTTGCTTGCTGACCCATTTCCACGTAGCCTGGATATCCGTTAGAGTTGTGTAAACTCTGTGGGTCCTGTTGAAGTGGATACCCAGGCATCTCGTTTCCCGACACGTTCGCGGCTGCGATCGCGGCAAAGCCCTTCACTTGCGTGTCCGCAGCGGCCTGTTGCTGCTGTTGCTGCTGCGATGGCTGTTGCGGGCCACCCGGTTGCTGCTGCTGCTGCTGCTGCTGACTGTCCATGTGCACCGAGCTGCTGCGACTCGTCGGCGTCGTCGACGGAGGCGGCGCCATGCCTGTCACATCCTGCCAAAACCGACATCTTAGGAAGGACGCGAGAGAATGTTCAACTCCAAGATTGATATTCTCAATACGTTTCCTTTTCTTGGAAGCATCTTCTGCTATTTAAACTGGAATCTTCACCGTACAGTTACTGTTTAACAAGAGCGTGACTGGCAAAACTTTCGTTTATAATCACGTTACGTCTACGGAACTAGACGATTTGTTAATGTAAAATGTATACGTGGTACCGCGTCTCGTACTTTTCTAATAAACAGCTCAATGATTCCGTTGTTCTTGTTCACCAAGAGTGAATGCGATTCTTGAAAAGCAAAACGGGGGACAGACACGAGAAAGTCGCGTCAACGACTGAACGTGTGTAAGCGGAAGCAGTTCTTACTTGCTGTTGATAGCCGTTCACGTAGTCCTGCCTCTCGTAAGCAACCGGTTGATTAGCGGTGGCCGCGGGATCTACGAATTGTCCGTTCATCTGCCTCTGAGGCGTCGAGACCACCGGCTGCCCACCGACAGTCGCCAGCGGCGAGGGCTGTCCCGTGATGGTGTACTGTCCCGTCGTGCCGGCTCGTTGAAACGCGGACTGATCCGCCGTTATGAATGTCTGCTGCTGATACGAGACTGCAACATTGTTCGAATTAACAGCAAAAAAGGCAGACTCGCGCGAGAAATCGGCCGTACTTGTGCAAGAAGGATCCAACCCACAAAATTATGATTTTGGACATTTTCTCATAATATCGTTCATTTTTCCCGAGACGAGCTTCACGCGAGAGTTTCTTGCATAACTACGACCAATTCGCCTCGAGATTCACGTGGTGATTTTGCAAAAAACAAACGTTCACCTCTCAAACCTTCTTACCTGGCTGAGGATGATACGGCGCCGCGGCGCCGTACTGAGTGTGATACCTCAGCTCTTCGAGCTGATTCGGCGCGGGAATCTGCTGAATGAACTGTTGAGGCGGCCAAGCCGCCGGCGACGTCTCGACCGCGACCGCGCCGACTGGTCCGACTCCCTGATGCCAGACTGTGTTCCCAAAACCAGCCGCTGGTCGGAAACCGGTGCTAGAATCTCCGTAGAACGGCATCACGCCGGTTGACTGCGTGCAGAGAATGAGAGGATCGTGTTCAGCAGTCGCAGGATTTTTTTCAGCGCGGCTCAAACAACAAAAATGTGCTCGACCGATAGATTCGAAGACAAATACGCGATTGAGCGCGTCGAGTGGTTCGTTGTCAAGGTGTGAGAATGATGCGGAGATGGGCGCGGTGGACGTCCCGAAATCTCGAACCGGTCTCTCCAAATACCGAAGCCGCTCGATCGCCGGTTAAACTTTTTCCACTATTAACGCGAAGGTCAAAGTTTAAATGGATTCCGCATCGTCGGTACTTTTGTTTTTATTCGAGCTTTGTTTCAAACGTATCTCGACTCTTTCTTTATTTTTTTATTAAACAGACGAGGCGCATTTTATCATGGGACAAATAACAACAATAATAGCAATCCTCTGGGATAAAATGACGCGCCTGGATAAAGCGCGCGTAAAAATGGAGCAGTACGCTTTGGTTTATTTTCGTTCGCTCGCCACTCCACCCCTCCCCTGCCTCTCTCTCTCTCTCTCTCTCTCTGTCAACGAGACAGAGCGAGAAAGGGAGAGCGACAAAGACGAAGGGGAAAAAAGGACGCATCGAGGCGGCCTGGCGAGGCGGAGAGGAACCGTCCGCAGCGATGCGAGGCGAAGGAGTGAGGAGCCGGCAACCTCGCAGCCAGACTGTAAAACTTTGTACAAAACGAGAGAAACGAGAGTCAGGACGATTGGTTCCGTTCATCCGCTTACCGCCGCCCCGACCTTTGTCATCCACTTTCGCGGCGGTTGCCCTCAAAATGCACGCGCGCACCGGCACCTCGAGCCGAGGACCTGTAGAAATAAGAGCGATACACGGGGTATTTTATTTATTTAATTCGTCGAAGGTTCGCGTTCACACGATAGCTCGCGAAAGGAAGGAAGAGGTGCGGCGGCCGAGTTTTCTAAGCAGGTGACGCGACGATTAATTTACGAGGAGGATCTCTCGCGGTGGCCGTGAATCGGTGTTTGCGGTCGAGGTTGATAGCGTCGGAGACCTGGGCGTCTCGCCAAGCGGATTCCTCCACGGTATCACATCCTCCTCTTCCACCACTTTACCACGCCGCTCCCTCGGGGAGAGGAAATCCTTCCGTTCTCGTGACCTAGGGCAACCTAAGACCCTGGCGTGATAAAACGGGACGTTCTGTGACAGCACCCAAACATAACCCTCGGGAGCTGCCCTTCCGGCGAATACCCCCGGGAGAGTTTGTCGACCACTTTTCACCTACTCTCGTTCTCGGCCTTGCGTCGTTTGCGGTGTAACGCGATGTAAGACGCGCGAGACATTCCCTCGCTTTCTCTGCCTCCTTCTCCCTCTTTCGCGCGAGGATAAACCGCATACACCGCGGTGGGACGCAATTCGCAATTTGGCAACAACGATCGAGCATTTCGCGGTTTCGGTTTATTGCATAATTGGGCGTTCCGATGAATACGCCCGGTATAACGTTGATTCCTTTATCACCGCGGCATTAGCAATTATCGCGGCGAACGCGACACCCGAACGTGTTTGCGTACGTGAGCGCGATATGCATTTAACGCGCGAAATGCACAATTAACGCCCGGGCATGGTCATCAATGGGAATACCGTGCGTTTAACGTACGCGCGAACGTCATTGCATTTTCGCCGCTCGTGTATATTATTTGTTGCGAGTAATTTGTAAACGCGGTAAGTTGGCCGGAAGCGATAACGTCTGATCGCTTTCTCCGCGATTGCGCGCTCGACGTTTGATTTATCCAACGATTCGGATTTACATAAACCGATCAAACTCGACCGGACGTTTTACCTCGCGGCCTCTGCGAACCGCGTGTCTCGCGGTTTTACGTCATTTTTTTTTCGCCCCTCCGGGGAGCGTTTTTCCGCGAGGATACAGCGACTAGAGCACGGCGACACGTCGGCGCGAGAAAGAGGATTTGCGCGGCTGGAATAAAGCGGATGTTGCAAAACGCGTTCCACAGTCGCAAGGTTACGAATTTATATATCAGTGACGCGACGCGCGTTCTCCCCCGTTATCGATTCGTTTATTTCATTAAAGAATACACACGATTTCACGCTCGGCACGACCGAGAATTCATTCGAGTAACATATCGACGCGTATTTCGACGCCGGCGATTATTCCAAGTAGTTACTCCCGCGCGTGTAGTCGCCGTGTACCTGTGGGCGGGAAAAAGAGGAAGAAAAAAAAAGTGAAGCGACAATCGCCGAGAGACTCTCTCCCTCTCGTGAAAATTCGACACGATACGCATCTGAAAGAAGACGCACACGAGTGACGAGAGATGTTACCCCTAACACGCGCCACCCCCGCGTTCGTGAGCGGCTAGCCTCGCCGGCTCTTCTCCTCTATCGTTACTCCTGCTCCACCTCTTGATACCGCTCGCTTTTCATCGCTTCTCTCTTTCTCTCCTTTCGTCCCCGGGACACGTCTCTCTCTCGCTCTCTCTCGGTAGGTCGGTGGTTCCTGTTCCTGCGGGTATTGATTCGCGTTGGCGGCCGGTCACCGCCCCCGCACTCACTGTCTGCCGGTAGTCTACCCTTGCCCTCCATGTTACGCCGCTATTTCGGCAGCCGATTCCTTCGCAGTCGCGGGTCGCCGCGACGTTCCCAGCGCGATTGTCAAAATTGCGCCTTTATATGCGCTATTCGGTCGGTCTCTGTAACGCCGGTCCTCTTGGCACACCGATAGATTCTCGACCACGCGACTCGTTCGGTTTAACGCGGGGACGACGGGGTCGTGCGGGCGCAAAGCACATCTGAGATGTCTCGTATGCTCCGCTCGATTTGTCATTTAAAGTTAACATTTTCGCAACTTGTTAGAGAGTCGATTAACGTAAATTAACAGACAATTATTAATTGGGCATTTGGGGATTTAATTTATAATTGGGACACAGATTCGATTTAACATGGAAAGGAGACTCCCCGTGTACGTATTTTAAAATCTGACAAATATATTATTCTCCTATACACGTTTATTCGCACCAACAATCTGCGTTCGGCTCTCATAGGCTTTTCTATATTTCCCTTGATTGTATATCAAGAGGAAGNTGATTGTATATCAAGAGGAAGGGAGGGGGGGGGGGGAGCCTGATGCAATTCAATCAAAAAATTTCTAATCATTTTCATTCGCGATCGAGGAGAGGAAAGAGGGACGCAGCCAGAGAGGCTGGATGTCTCTCCCGCGGCATAATTTGACAAAAAGAGAAAATTGAAAAATTTAATGGAAAGCACAGAACTCACCATAGAGACGACAGGTGGTGGTGGGTTTCCGTTTCTCAAGGCGCCCGACTGTTGGTTCGCCCCCGAGTTGAGATTGTCCTTGGTTTGCTGCATGGGATCAGGCTGGTGCAGAGATTGTTGCGTTTGTTGCTGGTGCTGTTGCTGCAGGCCGCCGATACCAGCCTGCGGACTGCCAAGACCAGCTGGTGCGCTGTCAGGCGTGCTGACTTGTCGTGCGATCTTTCGGTAACTCTGCGACAAACATTATTCATCCGTAATTCGTTTTATTCAGCGACTCTCGTGATAGTATTTACCGTCGTCGAACGTCATCTCTCCAAGATAGATCTCGGAGTTTACAAAAGTTTCCGAACACAAAAAGTCGGAGCTGCTCAAAAAGTCGAAGAAATTCAATCACCCGCCGAGAGTGCGATGCGCTTTAAATTCAGATTCGCGTTTGCGTTCAGCGACGAGCAAGTGTCCGATATAAATATTTACGAGCTGTAAGCAGTCGAATCAAAGATCGTCGTTGGACGATCAGAACACACTGAAAACAACGCGCCACGACGTTACGACGAAGGGTCGAGAAAGTTAAGTCGGCTCGCATCGTAGGAAGAAAAGATGGGTACTACGAGAGCCAACAGCGCGGTGTGACCCTAATGCTAAAAATAACGACACGGCTTAAGTAGGCCGAGGCGGCTGAAACGGTTTCCATAGTTCAACAAGCGTCGTCAACCGACAGGCTACACAAACCACTCGCTCGTCTTACACCCCTTTACGAATGTATCTTCTCGCGAATTTCATTAATTACGACATCGGCATCGACGTCGTCATCATCGTCGTAACGCGAGGTCTCGCCTACGCTTTACCTCCGATCATGCAGGCGCGTATGAACGCACATTATATCGCCCATCGATTTATAAATAGACAGAACGACGACGCGTCGTCGGGGACCTACGCTGAGAGCGCGCAAGGAGAGTTTCTTCCCTCGCGGACGGCGCGTTCGTCACCCACTGAGAAAAAGAGAGACGCCCGCTTGGATTTCGGGAATCGACGTCTTACGTGTCGCTGCTCTAGGAAAAAGACGAAAAATCGACGTCCTCGACGCTCCTCTCGATCTCATGTCGGAAGCGATCGTCTACTAAGATCATCCCGACGCGATCCTAATTCTCTCGCTCGAAACTCCCTGAGCGTTATTACCTGGATCCGTATTTCAAAAGAAACAGGAGAAAAGAATGTTCCTCTATCGAGAGAGAGAGAGAGAGCTCCACTGCCTTTTATTCTTCGTGGATGCACGTCGGAATCGATCGCGATCTATCAATAGACTCACGTCCGGGAAAGATGACGGATCCTTTCATACGTCAATCATCGATCGGGAAATGTAACGCAAGACGGGGCTGACCTTTTCGAGAGGTGGGTTCGAACAGCTGGTGCTGCTGCCGTCGTCCACTTATTTTAGATCTCGTTGGCGATTTACCTCCTCGTGCGAACGCAAACGCGAGCAGGCGAGCGGCCAATCGTTCGGCAAGTCGCAGTCTCGGAGATTTTCGGGAATCCGCCGGGAAACGGAAGATTCTTTCGAACAACGTTACTCTAAATTGTCGAGGGACGCTGCGAAATCAAACTGAAATCAATCGTATCGTGTTTCCACACAGGAATATTCAAACGGACGGATGGTGGACTCATTCGTCGGATTACAATATCTTCGGCCGCGATACTTTCCGCAACAACGACTATCCGGTCGACGCTAAAGAGGTTATACCGGTGAATTTGGACCGTTAATTGGAACGTATTTTCACCCTCTTCCGGGCGCGAACTCTGGAAATAATCGAGCACGAGCACTGCAGCACGTGGCTGGCGCGTGGGCATTGACCGACCGCCAGTAAACCGATTTCAACGTCAACCGTCGGCCATTCCACTCGCGGTGATTCACATTTTGTTGACTCAAGCCAAACGAAAGTATAAGTAGGTAGACGCGCGCTGTGTGATATTCGCTTCACCGCGCGTACGTTGTCGTTACACCGACGTTCCTGTCGTAGCTGTCTAACTAGGTGCGAGCTATCTACCGACCAACTCGATTCGCGCGCGTCCCTTTTTTCCTCAGGTAACGAGACGAGTAGTTGTTCGCGATCTCCGGTAACTCGCTGCCACATTATACCTTGTACTTTGGATATCCAGTTTAGTCGAACAATCCACGCAAATTACCGTTAATGTCGCGCGCTAAACGGCGATCTCATAAGTACTATCGATCGACAGAAAAAGAACTATCTTAGAAAACACATGCGAGACTCGTAATTTTTCATAATCGTTGGCAAATTCCAATCTCTCTTTCTCCATCTCTCTCAATAATGGCTCCAGGCGTGTATTAAGGTTGAAGCCTAATGTCATCATCCGATATATCGAAGTAGTTGTTGGGAATAACGTAAGCATGTTTCTAAATACGATAAGATCCTTTTAAAAAGGTTCTAGTATTATTTTGAAATGCAGACAAAAATATGTTATTTTCAGTGCAGAGAAAAAAGTCTTGAATCAGTGATAGATATATTCTCACATATAAGCAAGAATACTGTAATATTCTTAGAAGAATTTTAGTCTTGGTGCAAGTAATTTTTGCATCAATACAAATTCAATCAAATCAAGACTAAACATTTTCTAAGAAAATTATAATATTATTGCTTATACATGAGAATATCTATCATTGATTTAAGATTAATTTTTTCCCTGCAGTGAAGTCAAATTACCACACGGAATTTATCAGACAGAATGAACGAACCAAATGCACTTTGGTTGAAGGAAACAGAATTTCGTGTTCTTATAATCCAAATTCCATTCTTATAATCAGAATATTGTTTCATGTTCACTGTCTGGTAAATTCAACCAAACTTTTTTCTCGTCCATAGATCAACGATGAGTTTCATTGAATTGTTTGAATATTGGAGGTAGAAAAACAGAATGCAATTCATACTATTGAAACCACACTCGCAATTCTCGTCCATGGCGATATTTTTTTCCCACAAATGAATATATGGTGCGATCTTCCTCCTAGCCATGAATGTAATGATCTTTTTCGAAGCATAAGTGAGATTTGCAAATCAAAGTTTAACAGGCATATTTGCAATATAGTTACGATAGCTTGTCCCCTCATAGGAGAATTTAGCAAATTCCAATGGATTGATGCGTTTAATTTCTAATCGATCGACCGGATACGCTCACTCGCGCGTGTTCCGGTACAAAAATTCAAAAGTTAATAACGGGACAGAATAGGTTTGGCGTGGACCAGCCGATAGCATGAAGGACACGTCGTTTGACCTAAATTCCGCGATCACGATAGACGAACGTAGCTTGCGTAACCAGCGCGCGGTTTGTAAAGTCAGCGCGCCGCGCGCTCCGATCCTTGACGCGCGCGAGGGCCTTACGGATACCCGCTGGAGTTGCAAACGAGTTACCTTATATAATCCGAATACCATAACTCCGTGCGTTACAGCCGCCAGGATCGAACGTTGCTAAGCGTTCTATTATTACCTGCGCGAAATAGATCGTTTCGATTGATTTCGACCAAGCCCGGCGCGACTCGCGGATAAAAGCTTGAGAGAGGCGAATGTTATACACGACTGGAAGTAGTATCCGGCGATGAGAACGTTTCATAAGCGGTTGATATCGCGCGTTCGCACGCTACACGAATGACTCGGCCCTGAGGATTTCGTGAATCATCACCGCTGACTCGTTCCTGCTCGTCGAGTGAGCGGTGATCGAAATAAAACCGCTCGCTGGAGTCGAGAAATTTTCACGAAAGTAAAGCCGAGCTCAGATCAAGCGAACAAGAAGCGAGCGTTAACAGCAACAAGCGCAAACGAGTAATTAGAATTCGTGTTCCATTGTGCGCGTTTTGATTATTGTCATAAGGTCTGTCATTTTTCGCTGAATTGGCTTACACTAGTTCTCTTTTCCTCTTCCTTCCCAAAAGTTTTAACTGTATATTTGTCTCCTTTTAAGTTCTAAAATATAAATACATTAGTGAAAAAGAACAGATCCACACAGACAGGTCATCGAATATCATCGAATGAACAGATTTTCTCTGACATACCGACACGAGATGAAAATTTCATCATGAAATACGTTTAACGACAACCCCATTCAGATGTTTTTCGCGTTCGTCAGTTTGGTCTGGGCCCGGTTTGAAAAAAAAAAAGACGATCAAATAGAAGCGGCGGCACACGGCTCGCGCAAGATACGTCCGGTTTTATTTACCGACCGGCACACGGAGAGCGGGAACGCGCTATTGGCGAACGCGTTAAATCCGAACACGTGCCATAATTCGCGGGGAACGCTCGGGGTGAAGCAAGCGATCGTCTCTTTTCTCTTAATGCCTGCATACACGAGACTCACTTCGTCGCGGCGACGGAGCACGTTTCCGCGTTCCCAGGACGTCCGCAGGAGCGCTCCTCGGGAACCGTGTCCGAACTTCGGAATCTCCGATCGACACGGATCACTGTACACCTGTGACTCGTCACTCGTGTACACACACGTATCGTTCAGATTCGCTTATTCCCCGCGCGACTTCTTTCCGGTCTACTGAACCCACGCCAGGAAACGACCTCGTGCGCGAGGTACACTACCTCCCACCGGAGAGCGCTCGCGCCGACTACTACAACTTGCGCTCGAATTCGCCGCAACCGATCGAATCGATCGCTCTCGACACTCGCGAGAGATCCACTCTGGTCGCGGAGCGATCCGCCGAATAACTCCCATGAGACGTCTCTCCCTTTTCCTCCGGCACTCCTACCCTCCTCTTCTCATTTCTCTCTTTCTCGCTCGCTCGCATTCCGCGCTCTCGCTCTCTCGCCCTGCCTTCCCCTCTCTCTCTTTCTTGCCGCCTTCTCCTCCGCCTCCTCCATCACCTCCTCTCTTCTTCTTCCTCCTCCCGCGCCTCTTCGCGCTCGCCGACTGCGTTCCCACCTTTCTGTACGCTCTCTCCCTCTTCCTCCCCTCCTCCCTCTCTCTCCCTCGTTCGCGAGGAGAGCACGAGCGCGCAATCGCGCTCTCCCGCGCGCACGTGTGTGTGTGTGCGCGGCGGTGGCTCGTTGTTTCTCTCCCACGACTCGCCTCCCCGCCGGGAGGGAGAGAGGGAGTGCGAGGGGCGGGGGAGGAGAAGTCGTGTCGCGCGTCATCGCATCGCGGTATCACGAATTCCTGCGTAGCATCTCTTCGCGACTCTGCGCCTCGGAAGTCACCCGGTGAGGTTCGGGCGCGATTGAAAAGAAGCGCTAGACGTAGCTGAAGAACCGAGAGATGGGATATTCTTTTTGTTTCCCGGGTAATGTTTAAGAGTTAGCGACGAGTTATTCTCGTCGTCTACCTGTCTCTTTCTCGACACCCGACGAAGGTGGAAACAACAAGCTACTCCGGGTGTCGGTGTGATGCTTCTTCGACACGAAGCACGCGCGACGCCCGCTTCTTCCATGTAAAACGACTTCACGTCGCTCGGAAACGCTCGAGTGTGCTCGCGTCGATTTACACGACCCCCGCTTCTTCGTGTCCTTCCATTCTCTCTCTTTCTCCTTCTGCGTCTTTGTTTTTCTCCCGTCGTTTTACTCGTTTTCTCCCCGTCTGGCGTTTTCAGTTGACTCTTCGAGAGCGAGAGAGAGAGAGAGAGACGATGCGTCATTGGACTAACGATGGACTCGATTCGATTATCGATTTACTTTTGGCTCGGACCAAAGTATAATTCGCGCCGAAATTTCATCACGATGCTAAATTCGCCCGAGCTGCGAGGGACGCAAATAATTCCCGCGAATTTTCACGTGGCTCTAAAGTCGACCGGTAAAAGGTAAAAATATCGATTTAAAAATATTCCTCCGAGAATAATAATATATGGATTTAACAAATAATACAGTATTGCTTCAGCAGACAAGACCGGTTTGTAAACGCGTCGTACGTAGAGAGAATAACTTCGAGTATCGACGGTACGGTACGAGGACGCGAAAGGGCGAACGAAAAACAAGACTTTCGTCGCGGAATTGCTATGGCTCTCCATAGGTAGACGTCTCGGTGGTAGCGCAATGGGACCGATGTCGATGTGGTGTCGTCGTCACCGCTGCTGGTGACGACGACGACGAGCAGGAAGAGGGGATGGTTCACCAACGCGTCATTGTAACTGGAGGTGGCCGATGCGACGGAGGGGGTAGAACGGGGCTGATGGAGGGGTGAGAGAATACCTGACTGCCTCCGCTGGCGGAGAGAAATGTTTATGTATCGGAAGAAACGAAAAGCGCGCTCGGGGCTCCAGCGAAGGCATCGAGCGCGAGTCAAACATTGAATACGAAGGATGTGCGTTCTTTAAAATTCAGCACTAGGTGCTCCCGCTTTAATATCGGACGGTTTGATTTTAATAATTTTCGAAATTCAAGCCGACCGAGTCGCCAAATCGTTCGATTTGGATTCCACGCACGCGGATAGTCGCCGTCGAGAAAACAGCTTGTCCATTTCTAATCCGACGGAGGATTTCGAAGTTGGAGCTCCCTCCCTGAAAGTCCGGTCGAAGCAATCGAGACGGCTTGCGAAAGAGGTCAGAAGGGCCGGTGACGACGCGCTCAGCAACAAGTTGCAGAGACGTTAATAAACGAGCCCTCGAAGACCGTCTTACGGATGCCCTTAAGCCTTCCTCAGTTCATCGATCTTTACGCCGTCGGGCGTTTCATCGGCTGTACGACGCGCGGAAAAAGGTCGAGCGCGCGCCCTCCATTACGGAAGTCTTTCTTGGCCTTGGTGATATACGTTACTCTGTAACGAGCGAATTTCATGCGAACTCACGTCGCGGGATATACGCGATGTGAAATGGAAAAGAGCAGACGCGCCGATCCACAGCCGACCGAGCCCCTATCTCATTTTACCAGGCCAGTGAGAAATGTGTAGGAATGTCGCTGTTATCTTATCTGCGTTCGTTCGCAGATTAGATAACGGAGGGCCCCATGGGTCGTTGGGCCGATTTCCTCGCGCCTGCGAGTGCGTAACAGGCAGCGATGACGACGACGACGAAAATCCGAGGAAGAAACGGCATTCTTGCCCAAAGAATCGACGTTCCACTCGACCGTTCGAAATCTCGTTCGGAGATTACTTACTTACGATCGACAAATCGTCGGGCAGCAGCAGCAGCTTCGTCTCCGCGAGAACGAGAAGAAAAATAAGAAATGTCGCATACCGGAGGAAATACGATCGGCCGCATGCGTGCTTAAGTTCGTACGCGGCTTAAGGCAAGCGGATTTTAAACATGGCGGTGCAACGCGGACAGGCGCAACGCGCGTCGATCAATACCACCTTGCTTAATATCAGTTCTGAAACTCCGTACAGCCGGTGCCAAGAGATAGCCGGCCCTACGTCAGCGGAACAGAGATGTAACGCGGCGCACGTCACTTTCCCGGCGATTCGAAAATCGTCCAATAAATCAGCGACCATCGATCTCGACGACGACGAGTACAACGCGATTCTCGCGCGGTATCGTTTTCTTCTTTCCTTTTTCCGGCCGGCTGGAGATTTCAACAGACCGCGCGCTCGGCCGTTGTGCAATTTTTTATAAAAGCGGGAAAACGCGCATTCGAGTCGTATTCTCGCGGCGGAATTACATATTGCACAAACGAACAGGAATCTCCGATTAAGTCGGACATATTGAAACGGGGCAGGGAAAGAGAGGCGAATTGTAAAGAGCCGGCGGCAGTCGTTCCCATTCGTTAGCGTAGAGTGGGAATTGAATCGCAGTAGAAAATAGGGTTAACCGAGGTGCATTTACTCACCCTCGTGGCACCCTTGCCCCGTCCTCTGCCGCGCTCCCGAAACGCCCCCTCGCCGGTCTGCAGGTGGTACAGGTGCTGCAACGCAAGGAAGACCACTGTTAAAAGCGCGCGCACGGATCGTCGTTTATCGCCGCATCGCGTTCGGCTATCGTAAAATCAAGGCAACCGTATCGTCTCAATTGACCTCGTTAAGTTCAATAGAACCGGTAATAAAAGTATAACTTCCATGGCCAGCGCGTTAGATTAGATTCTGGACGGTGAGGCGTTCTAAACTATTCTAGGATAGAGTTATGTGTGTGCGCGCGCGTGTGTGTTGGGATCTCGCGAGAGACCGGCAATCGTTGCGCTAAACCGCCATTTTCGTCGATGCTATTCCCCGTGTTCTTCGAGTGTGGCGAAACATTTTCACGCGCGTCGTAATATGATACTTTGAGAGAATCGGGCTCAACCTACCGACCATCGTGAACTTGCTACGTCCCGGTGCTGCGTGTCGAGGATAATTCATCCAAAATCGCGAGATGCTGCGCGCGATAGATCGTTATACGACGATGCGAAGGTTGCGCTGGTCGGCGAAAACTGCGCACTCCCGCGAAAAGACGCGCGCGATAAAAGTCGGCGTCGGTAATATCGCTGTTTTATCCACGAACGTTTTTCGACTCACCGGCAAACTTTCACACAAACAAGCGATACAACACTTTTGCGCTAAAACACACGTCACCGAGCTCCGTGAGTATTTTGTTTTTTTATTGCTTTTTAACAACAGAAGTGTTTCATACGGATGAGTGCAGAAAACTGCATTATCGTCGGGAAGATTGCGGTTACCGACGCTTGATACGCCGTACGGAGAAAACGCGAGGTAACTGTAGCGACTCCTACGAAGGAGTTTATAAAAAGAACTTTCACCGTCTTTACCGACGACTGTGTACTACGTAACTATTTATTTGGCGTTTAGAGCAGCAATCAGTCGCAATGGCAGTTGTCGATGCGAGAACCGTGCGAGACCGATTTTCTCGAGAGATTCGTAAAAAGAGAAGAAAAGAATATCGCATCAAGATTCACTTCGCAACGCGAATACCCAGTTTATTACAACAGTACACGGCATGTTGAAGTGACGAGCGGTTCGGAGAATTCGTCAAGTCGGTCGAAAAAATTGCCGGTAAAGGCTGTAAGAAGAAATACATCTGGTACGGGACAATGATGAACGAAACGCGGTATCTCAACGAAAACAGGTATCTCAACTTTCGGATGTCGAAGGTCCGATAACTCACTACGCTCGAATTTCGGGGAGTCTGGCACATTTCCAATTAGCGAGCGGGTCTCGAGAACTTTTCCTATCTCCGTCAAACAAGAGAGAGAGAGAGAGAGAGATGAACGTTCAGCCCAATTAAATTTAAATTGAATTCGAAGATGCCTCGCGCGTTATCAACATTCCTAAATACCGAGAATCGGTGTCGTCGTTGACGACGCTTTATTCTCATCACCGTGTAATTTAATTTAATTTTTCTCGAGTGACGTCCGGGAAGGCAATCGCGCCCTCGCGAATCGCTGCGTTTCGCGGAGAGCGCTGAATATCCTCGCTTATTAATACACGCGTGCGACTCTTTCCGCGCATCAAAGGGCCAGTTTAATTTGCCGTGCGTGGTGAGGTCAAGATTGGTGCGCGAGGGTGAGGACGAGAGAGAGAGAGGGCGAAGTGCGAACGCGGAGAGTGAACATCGAGGTCCAAAGGCAGGCGGAAAACGTCCCCTTGCACATACGCGCGCGTAGGCGATTATGGTCTAATTCCCTTGTACGCGCATTCCTAGCGACCTGACTGCCTTACCTACCAACCTACCTGCCTCTTCGTGAGGCACAACGAGGAAAAATGCGCTGGCCGCGCCGTTGCACTCGATAAGCGCACGCTCGAGAGGCAGGGGCCCTTCTCTCTCTCTTTCTCGTTTCCACCCCCTCGTGATGCTCGCGAGGAATCCGTATACGTACGTAGGTATGTATGCGTACATATCTGTTCCCTTTTCTGATCACGCTTTCCTCGTGTCGCGCCCGTGGCTTTCTCCCTTTCGTGGATAAAAGAGAGAGAGAGAGAGAGAGAGAGAGAAAGACGGATAGACGGGGTGAAAAGGAGGCAAGGCAAATGTCAATATCGACGATGCATCGTTGAGAGGGCGGGAATGAGGGCGTAATTAATCGTCGGAGCCAAGAAATCTCTTCCTCTCTCATCGGATCAGTTCGTTCCTCTCGTCACTCTTTTTTTCCTTTCCTTTTTTTTTATCTATCTATCCCTCCCTTTCCGTCTTCGTCACTCTGTGAGATGATCATCTATTCCGCATTTCGCGAAAAGAATTGAATCGAGCGCATAGAAAAAGTTCCCCCGAGACTCGTCGATTTGTCTGCCGTGCGACGCGTTTTTCCGTTTTTCCACGCGACGTTTTCTCCCGCGATATAAACAGCCCGTTTAAGGAAGCTACGACTTAGTCTCACCACGCAGCGACAACGAGTAGACGGCGAAGCAGCCTGGTGGCAGCCGGTGCTTATATTTATTTAAGCCTCGACGACACCGAACATTCGCCCCCGAGGAGAAAACGTTAAACACAAAGCCGCGTTCTCCAGCGCGGCACATCTGCCTGCCGCACGCGCGCGCGAGCGAGCGGGTAAGTGAGCGGATTCTCGTAATTGGAATCGGAATTGGAAAAATCTCAATTTGCCGTACGCACGGGATTCGACCGGTTGGCCGGCCGGTTCCTCGTGAAAACTCGAACAATGGGAGTCGCGCGTTACGCATGCTTTCTTCTTCTTATCAGAAGCCGCGCATCTGCCGACCACGGAGGAAACGAAATATTTTAATTAACTTATCGTACCGAATCGCCGCGAGTCCCGAGACAGCTGTCGGTCGAACGCGTGCTTCTAATTGCCGATATCTAGACGGTCGGCCACGACGACTCTCATTTCCGCGCGCTCGACCGTCGTATTTACCCGATGCCAAGTGTCACGCACGACAATGTTGACGATAATCACGAGATAATCGCGAATTATCGAGAATCGTGGAAAAATCAATTGCCCCGCGGGCTCGCAGTGCGTCGCCCCGAAATGGCGACGTCGGTATTCGCACGCGATCCCCTTGTAAACGTAACACATACAGACGGGAAAAATCGAGTTAAAAAAAGTTTGGGGCGCCGCATGTTGCACGGTGTAGTGTCGTAACGTTACGTACGGTCGGTATAATAAAAGTTGCAATGCTTTTTTCCGATGTATTTCGCAACGCTTTCGATGTTCAATAGGAGAATTCGTTTTATAGTAATTTTCCGAGAAGTACATTTTCCTATTGGATACAAAGTGCGTTACGAAACTCGTCGAAAAAAATCCTAATTTGAATCTTAATTTTATTTCCAAGAGATAGTGACACCGAAAATTTCCAATAGGGCATATAATTTCTGAATATTTATGCAGTATGATTGCTGCTTTGGAACACCGATTTACCGAATAATCAGCAGTCATGAAGCATGAATATTTGAGTATGCCTGATTGGAAATTTGCGATATATTAAAATGTTCTATGTTCTTGTATGCAGAAGATTCTATTAATGCTGTGCCACGCCTTAGACATAATGACATCGAAAATTTACAATCAGAAGTGCGAATGTTCACGTATCTTGATTATTGATAATTTGACGAATCGGCGAAGATGCCTGAAAAGCAGTTATGGTACATAAATATTCAAAAATAACGCGTCTAATTGGAAATTTTCAATGTTACTATGCCTAGGGAACGGGACAGAATTAATAAAATTTGTCTTACCAGAGCGTCGGTCCCGTAACTTTTCCTTACGTGGAAATATGAAAAGTGACATTCAAAATGTTTTGAAATTAGAAAACTTATACTTTTTACGAATTCACGCTAGAAGAGAAAATTCATGATCAACCTCCAGAGATGGTGAATCTTCTCCTCCAGCGTGAACTCGTGAAAAGTGTTTTAATTTGAAAAGATTTGGAATCTTTCCGCCCTAAGTAAAAATGACACGATCGATACGCGGCTCGAAAGAAAAATAAAAGCAGAAAACACAGCAGGCGTATTCGGCAGTCTGCAGTCTTTCAGTATTGAGTTTTATTCGGTCGGTTTCGGCGACAATGACGCCGCTATCGGGAAATTGTCGGCGAGTTTTCCAAAGCGCCGACGAAAATCCCGGATTTCCGCCGCGTGCATCCTTCGATCGGCCGGTCAATAAAGACGTCTCGCCGCCGTCGTCGCGTCGGCATCCTTTTTTTATTTTCCTCCTTTGTGAACGCGCGTCCGTTGCACGCGTGTGTCACGTGCACGCGCGAACGCAACGGTAAACCCGATAATATTGTCAAACGCAAGCAACGCGCCCCTCGCTCCCTGAGGCGGCGATTGCGAAAAAATTCACGCTCATTCGGCGGCGTGTTGTTTCGTCTGGCGACAATTGAGAGCAGGAAAGCGTTCTCTCCGTCTCCTTCCGTTCGCCTTCAGCCAGCAGCGGCGGCCGAACGTATCTCGCGCGTAGATTTGTTGCGTTTTTAATCGCGCAGCTGGAGCGCACCGCCGAGGTTAGGCCGCGCTGCTTTTTCGATCAGCTGACTTTCATTTCGTCAAACCATTTTCACTGCGCGGCAGATGGCCGGCGCACCGGACGAAAGAGCCGTTGCGCGCCCATTAGAAGCGCAGCGGTTAAAAATGGTAGATACGTCGCGTCGGGTCGAAAGGAAGGAAGGACAGGTTGCCGGGCGGCAAAAAGCGAGCGAGCGAGCGTTGAGGTTTCCGCGAATAACGACGCTCGTTACTGAAAACCGCACGCGATAATCGCGTGACTAAAAAATAGGTAGTCCACGCCGAAGAAGAACGAATTAGATAGAAGATCGACAATGAAATTCAAAGCCGATCAAACTTCCGCAGGAAGAAGAACACGGCGAGCCCTTGGACCGTCCGTGGGTACACGTGTCAGACGGACGAACAAGTAGTACGGCGTGGTAACGGCTTTAATAATTATTTTTACAACGTTTCCGAGTACACGCGGCCTCGTCGCGCTTCGCCGACTCGCAGCTGGCTTCCATACCAACCCCATGGCTCATGGGCACAAGGGCGTCCTCTCCGCGTGCAAACCGACGCGACGTCCGTCGTCCTTCGTCCGCCCGTCTCGCTCGGGATCGGAGACGCTTGGGAAGCGCGTGAGAGATCGGGCGTAATTAACGAGCCAATTTCTCTGATCTCGCAGAATTCACCCTCGAACAGCATTTTGCACATTTTCAATTCATTTCTTCGATCATGGCACTTTTTAATCTCACAATAAGATATTTTAAAGTAAACAAAATATATACCTTGAGGTGCTATCCATTTATCTTAGCAGAATGGATGACGAAAAATAACTTTTTAGACATCAAAACAGTCAGCAAAAGTGACAGTTTTTCTCAAATCGCGGGAGTAACTAGGAACATTTGAGCAACAAGTAATATTTATTCTTACTTTCGCAAGTTTATCCTTGGATAGTTTAACATGCAGCGAGTTCTTTTCATAGTACGATTTGAAATCTCATAACAAGTAAAGACCATGAACGATTTAGGAGCAATCCGGAGCACTGAAAACACCTGAAACATAACGCTTTAGCGGAAACATTCGAATATGGTCGGATTCGACCAATCCTGTTATCTCAGGGTTAATCGTGTCGGAGAGAGGAAGCGTGACGACGGCGGATCCTCGTCCAAAGTCCGCCTACGGCGAGGAACGTATTTTTATTTTCCGTCTTCGGACGGAATTTCGACGGAGGGAAAAGTGGATAAAATTCGACGGCGTCGGCGCGACGGCTGCGCGTACAATTTTCACGGCGCTCGCTCGCTCGCTCGCGCGCGAGGATTGCGTGGAAAGGGCGGAACTGCGTGCGACTCGGCTGGCAGGTGTAAGTAATGGAAGTAACGTGCCTTTAAAGCAGGAGGGGAATACTTAATACTTCTTCTGCATCAGGTGCTATTTATAACAAGGACAGCTATTATCGCGATGGCTCGAAGTAATTTCTCTATTCGTCTAAAAGCGTTCGATGAAACGACGACACGTCTCGTAAATAGTCGCTTTACGCAATCCCTTCGTCGCACATACCGAGAGCTAATCCCGTTTCTTATTCGACCTTATACGCGTCAACCTTTGACACCGTACGGCCGCTGGTCACCGACCGTGCGCCGAAATCTTGAAGGAACCACGTGGCCACCGCACGTGGTCATGTTATTGTTTTGAGCATAAGGGTGTTGTTACTCCTGGCCAGGAGTAGGACAGGGGAATAGGTACGGAGGGTCGGACACCCCAGGGTAGAGCCACCAGGAGGGATTTCATTCATGATCCCGAAAGCCACCCCCGTGTCCCGGGCTTCTCCAGAGACTGGCGAGAGCCGAGGCGGGCAAGCGATACATTACCACCAGAAAAGGGTAGTTCCGTGTCGGGGCACATGACGTCTAGAGAGCGGGTAGGGGAACCCTCGGATTTGGCCATTTGATATCTTAATACAGGCCCCGCGCTGAAGGAGGAGGAGGCGTCTGTTGGAGTCAAGGACGCCCCCACGTCGTATTTTACTTAACGGCAGCCGCCACCTTCACCGCACGGGGCAGCGAGGATAGCTAGGTCAGTTCTTCGCATTACCATCCCCTGGACTCGAGGGTGTCGGCCCTTCTACCTAGCGCCTTCCTCCTCCCTCCGGTAAGGCCGGAGACCTCGGATTCGCAAGATCTCTCACGGCTGTTCTCGCGTCCGCTTCCGCTCGCTTCAACGAAGCGATGCGCTCTAGCGTACGAAATATAAAACTCTTCCGATCACTCAGCGCCCTCGTTAACCGCTCGTTGTCCACCGGTCTACAGCCGCGACCCCGAGTCGGCCGTACGCCAACCGATTGAATCGAGCGCCTACGAGGAGAGAGTGGGGAAGGAGGGAGGGAGAGGGCGCGCTGTCCTCGCGTTCAAACGCAAATCAACCGGGGTTGCAACCCTCTTCAGACCGTGCGATTCGGAGGTGGTTGTGTTTGTTGTCAAGGTCGCGGTAAAGTCCGTCTGTTTGAAGTAGTCCGACCCATTTTATGCCGAAAACGAGACGGAGGCTCATCTCTGTGGGCCGCTGTTGCGCGCGCACTCGAAAACGTCACTACTTCTGCCATTCCGTGTTACCGTGAATGTTTGTCGAATTTCAACCTTCGCCAAGAACAGTTAATTGAAATATCGTCGAAAATAGAATTTCACTTTAGATTGCAGGCGTAATGGTCCGCGATCGTGGCCGTGAATCAATCGCGTTTTTCGGCTATTTGTCGAGAGAGAGAGAAAAACGGGGGCTGTTTTTCCGAAAAAAAAAAAAAAAAAATTCCCCGATATTCGTTTACGCTTGAACATAATCTTTGGAGTTCTTGCGGAAACGATGATTGTGCAAAATTTTTCAATATATATATAACGCTCTCTCTCTCTCTCTCTTTCTTTCTACCCATCTCCATGTCGCTCTCTTTCGATCTTTCTCTCTCTCTCTCTCCAAAGCGACATTAACTGTCTACTTCCTAACTTAATCCGTAACTTCCGACGCCGCGACAATCTGACATCCTTTTTATTTTCATTGGCTCGCTCGAGTCTCTTGTACACAGGGGTCTCGTTCCCAGGATTTTTCTATCCATGAGCGAGTGAGTGAGCGAGCGGACGAGCGAGCGAACGAGCGAACGAACGCAACGCGCGGCCATATACGTTCGCCTCTACCTATTCAATTTATATCGTTGCGTAGTAGTATGCACACGTAGTAGTCGTATGTTCCTCCTCTCCACTCCGTCTCGTCTACCCGTCGCAGACGGACGACGAGGCGAAAAAGAGTGCGCGCGGTCAAATTAACCCGACGGAGAATAGCGAGGAGAGAGCGGCCGTCCGTTATTTCTTCCCTTCGTGTCGAAGGCAGGAATCGGGAAGAGTCAAATTTACTCAACGATACGCGTCAACTTATCGCCGGTAAACGGACGGACGGATCGATCACTTCTCGCACGTGAGTCTCCATTTTTTCAAGAAACACGACGGGCGTCCTAGACAAACGTTCGCAATAAGCTGATAAGTTCGTCGATTTAGCTAGCGCGATCGACGCCTAGATAAAGAGGAAGAAAGAACCGAGATCCTTCATCGGAATGCATCGTCAGGATATGACGATTAATAGTCCGGAGCGTGCGACTCGATCGAATCGGCCCGGCGCGAAATGAGAAATTTCCAACGATTAATCGGAAGACGGCGTGACCCCGATTCCGTGGGGCGGATACCTCGGCGTGCCTTCCGCTTTAATTAAAATCGCTAAGCTGCCTTTGGAATAGCGGTGGATATCGTTACCTCAAGAATTCGCTCATAACTTCGCGTATAAAGTGAGAGCCGCTCGGCCGCCACTGAGCAACGTATCTCGCCGGGAAGGAAAGAGACTCCAGTTCCGGTAAATGCTCGATCGATGTCTCGCGGGCGGCTTGTTTTTCGCAGAACGGAGCCGGCCTTCCCGACGGTCCCGTCGGCGATACGATGATTCATCGCTTTTCCACCCTTTCCGCACGGGGGTATCGACTTCTGTTTCCTCTCTCCCTTCCTCTCTTTCTTTCGCGATTTATCCGCGAAAAACGGACGAGATCGATAGCGATCGTCCCGCCTCGTCGCAGGGGCTGCGAGAATTGGATCAAGCCGCAGAACGGATCGGCAGCGTATATCTGCATGCGTGTCGATCGTCAGTGGGAAAACGGCGCGCGACGTAGCGTGGCGGGACACGCACGCACGCACGTACAGACGCACGTGCGTACGCACACAACCGAAAGATTCGAAGCGGCAGATGTTAAAAACGCCCAATGGAAACCGGTCATGTTGATGTAGCCTGCCGACACGACGCGACGCACCGTGTCGCGCGAATCGCTATAAAAATATTCGCCATTGTCTCCCGCGAAATAGTTTTTTTCGATTTATCAACGGCCGATCGCTCGTTGTTTTCTTTCTTTTTTTTTTAGCCGCGCTCCAACGCACACATGCGTCGAAATCTCAGTTTCTGTTTACGGTTAAACATTTTGCGTTGAAAAAGGTTCACTGAAATTTTGCGCTACTTTAACACGGGGAATGCGTTAAAAAGTATACAAATATGATATTAAATTAATATACATTTATTTTGTCAACATATATTGACAAGGTGTATGTGTTAATTTAACATTACATTTGTGTACTTTTTCAACATATTCCCCGTGTTAAAGTAACACTAAATTTCAGTGGACCGTTTTTAACACAATATTATTTACTGTGTTAGATTCGTTAAGGCATACAGGAAAACGCAAACAATAAAATGTAAATAATAAGCGAATGGCTAATCACAACAAATCGAAACTCATCAAGAATGTGAGATTATCGTGTAAATTCCCGATTGTGATTGATCAGGTCGCTTACTACTTCAGTAGATCTATTCTTCTTCGGAGAACTTTCTGAACTGGTATACACTGGTGCAGTAAGTTAGAATGAAACAAATATAGTTAGTTTCACTTGAATTTATTACACCAGTGTACACTAGTTCAGGAAATTCTTCGGAAAAGAGCGAACTTAACATCTTACTGTTTACGATTTTTCATGCGCCATGACCCGTATGATGAAAACAAAAAAAAAGCAGACACACGTACACAATCCGGGATGGGTAATAACGTTAAGCGAACTGGACCGACAGTGTCATATTTGATGAGGAAATTATGATATGCCATTTAGAGTCGAGGTTTGACACACAGGGACGTGGATGGGTCAACGACCCGGCGACTCGCCCGGGTTCTCTACCTGGCCCTATTCTGTGAGTCGAAGAAAAACGGGGAAAAGCTTTCGATTGTTGTGGAGACCGGTACCGAGCGCGTGTGTATTCACGGTCAAGGTATTATCATTTTCGCGCGCGACAGACCGCGACTATATATCGCCGCGCTGAAACGAAAGAGCCAATCAATCAATTCCCTGCCATACTATTCTCGCAATGAGATCTGAGTGAATTGCATTAACCTACAGACATACATTACGTACGTGTTCGTGCGATAACTAGACGCGCGATGTGTCCCGTCTAGTTTCTGTCACTGCGAACGAGCGAGCTTCGCCGGCTCAAATCACCTTAATCGCATCTTCTCTCTTAGCCTTGTATTTTCAACGCTTCAATCCGCGAATTCACATTGTTGCCTATTTTCCGTTTCATTCTACGAATCACCCTAATCGCATCTTCTCTCTCAACTTTGTATCTTCAATACTCTAATCCGCGAATTCACATCGTTGTGTGTCTTCCTCTTCTTTTCCTTCTTCTCGAAACGTATGCATTATCAGAGCGAGACAACAACACTCGCGAGATTTACAATATACTGTAAATTTCGACTCGGGTATCTAATGGATGATAAGACTATTTGGAAACTTTTCTTCGTATCTAATCTGTAGAAATACGTAGATTATCGCGTTATTTCTTTATGGATGATACCTTAGGGATGAGAATCCACGTATAATCCGCGTATCATGAGCGACAATTTTATTTATTCGATTACGCATGATATTGGCAAGTTTAAGGTCATGGTTTAAGAGCTTACCGTAAAATCAAACGTGAAATTCCAGCCATCGTCGTCAGCGTGACCTCTCAACGGTCGATTGACACTCAAGTTTTGATTTGAAACCGCGACGTTAATTGACGAACGAATTAAGATCGGGCACGTGCAACAAGCGGTAGAACTTAAGTAGTAAGCAAATTAATTAATCACAGTCGATCATTTTTTTTTCCCGAGCCGGTGAGCGATATACAAATGTATTCGGCGTATCGGCGCCTTGGTTGTTATTTCCACCGTGAGATTCAAACATTTCGCATTACAAACACGTCGTACTTAAACTTCGGATAAAACGCAAAAGTTACGAAATGTAGCAATAACAGTTGTAGTAAAAACAACACTCTAAGTACTCGAGCGAAACTCTGTCAGCCATTTTGTTGCGCATCCCACGCTAAGCTTTAAGAATCAGACACTCTCGTGTCAGGCAATCAGGCATTGTGTTAATTAACATTTTTCATTTATAGAATCGTGCCTACGCAAGTGTCACTGTTACTATCAATGCCAGTGCGAGTATCCGGAGTGCTACGACGGGACAGCCGAAGCGGGATGCTGGATCGACAAACCAGGACTAAAAAGACGGGAACACTGCCAGCGGGCATACGCTTCCAGGTATGTTTAAAACGTTTATTAGATAGGATATTTTTCTCTGATCTTAACGAGCTTACTGATAATATACGCACGGGAAAGCATAATTTTGTTGGCACTGCAAATTGTTAATTACTACGGGGACGACAAAAATATTTGTTAAGCGGCAAAAATAATTTAGTTAGAATTCAGTTGGCATCCAAATTATTTTGCTATGTATCGGGCAAATGGCAATTAATATTCTTAACAAATTTTTTTGCTATCCCTATAATAATAACTAACAATTTGCTATGCCAGCAAAATATTTTTCTCCGTACGGAGATAGCCGAGTCGAAATTTACAATCTACCTTAAGACCGGCATTCGTAGTTCGTTTGATAAATAATCATAGCTTCACGAATCTCTGATGAGTCATTAATCTAACCTACTTATTTCATACAAGAGGTATCGATCTGAATAATGATACATCAATGCGAATCTGTAACTAACACAACTAACGTTGACTGTCGCGTTGATTTTCATAGATTATTTCAAGGCTCAACTAAACGTTGCGTAAGCAGAGACATAGTAAATAAATGCAACTCAAGATGTTATATCTGTTAACTCGTTTTATTCGCTCGCTCAATGGTCATATATTGTTATAATCGGTTACGTCTTATATGTAAATTAACGTGACGATATTACGGCGCTTGTCATTAGTAACCGCTATGTCAGACAACTTGTTTATTATATTCTCAATCAAAATCCGTAAATAATTTATAACTACGAATATCGATCCAAGCCTCACAACTGCTGGGTTTTGTATTTAAATAATAACATCGGGTTGCAAATTCCGTCCTGAATCAGCCAACGTATTGTTTCACCTTTGTTTTGTCGTAACATTGTGGTGAATTCAACTTTAAATTTCTGTAGATGTTTTTGGACACACAACTGCTATCTTTGCCATTACAACTTCTTCCTCTTCCTTCCTTTTGAAAAATAACAATCCTCCTAGAAGATAAATAAAAAAAAAATTAAAAGAAGAAAATTTATCTCTTCTTCAGCCATTATTTAGATTATTCATTAATTTTTCTCCTATTAATACTTCTATTCTATTAAAATTTGTTTTTCGCATATATATTTTTATATTTGATCATCGCATATAAACTATCTGCATTGGTATTAATAATATTAAACATTAGCACATTATGATGTCGAAATAATTGCAAATATTAAATGATTAAATCTTTCTTCAAATACATTTCAACACGAAGGAAACAACATTAAGTACATATATGTGACAGTAATGACAAGCTTATGTAGTGTTATATCATGAGATTCTCTACTGATTTTTCAAGTTTGACCGTCAAGTTCAACTTTGCGCGATTAACATTTTAACTGTCACGTTGATCTCCAAGGATTGTTCCGAGGCTTAAATGAAGTTCGAATAACCAATTCACAGTAAATGCACACATTCTCAGATTTGTATATATTCGTTGGCTAGTTTTATTATCATCCTCCACATTTATGCTTGATCTTTAAATTAATGAATCGCGATAAAATCATTGTATTAGCCATCGTATTAACTCCCATGGCGAATTCAATTTAATATTCAATATACTAATGTAGAATCAAAATTTCGACTCGAGTGAACTCTACAATTTTTATATGGAAAAATAAGAGTAAATAAGAGAAATAAGACGCGAAGTAGAAATAAATTATCCGAATTTTAAATGAAAGTAAGAGCTTCTGTGTTCGATTTGATACGGGTGTTAAAAGCAGCCGATCCTCTTGCAGCGCACAGCTGTCTACGATTATTATATTTTAGAGCTCTCTCTCTCTCTCTTGCTCTATATACGTGTGTGTGTATGTATTATACGCATATCTCTCTCTTGCTCTCGCGGACTACCGTATCGATCACCCGGCACATATACCTGGGTTTTTGTCGCTACCGCGATTCCAGGGAGAACCGATGCTGTGTGATGCGCATCCAGCTCTATCCTCTTTGTCATGTTAAACACATCGGACGCATCCTGTTACTTACGGGAGCGCCGTTAGTCCCGCTAACGTAGACGACGCGAACACGTATTTTTTCGGCAACCTTTCTGACGCTATCAATTTCGTTCTAACATTTCGAAAAATAACATTTCTCGGAATTTTTCTAGCAATCGCTACATAAATATTTCCACTGTTTTCGGATATCGTGAAGATGGAGAGAGAGAAAGAAAGAAAATTATCTCAAATTCGTGTTTTTTTGTTTTCATTCGAATATATCGCTTTCGGTGTTAACGTGAATTTTGCCTGGATTTTCAACGAGCTTTCCCAGTCGTTTGAAAATCGATTCGTTCACCGAATTTCGAGAGAGAAAATCTGGCGACTGTTCCCAACTTGGACAGATGTTCGAATGCTTTTGGAGGCTGCGTGAATCGAAATGAAACGGGGGCCACGTGTGGAGGAAATTCATTTCCTTTTACGGCGGCTGTGAAAAATGCGCGCGCAGATGTGCCCGGATGTTTATTTCGGTGACAACAATTCGGGCGCTCGACGATGGGCGATCGAGCTTATATCTCTCTCTCTCTCTCTCTCTCTCTCTCTCTCTCTCTCTACCTTATATACAGGCTCACGCAGATCTGGATCATCACAAATCGTTGAAACTAAAGCCTCTAAATGGCTTCCGTTAATCCCATCCCGAGTCGCCACGAAGGATTTATGACCTCGGTAATCGTACTCCGTTTAGTTATATCGGGAGAAGGATAATTTATAAATGTTTCGTATGTCGATCCGCATGACTATAAGGAAGATTAAGCGGGAGAAACGATCCTGCGCGATGGTTAATAATTTATCAATATCAGCTGTGCGAAAGACTGATAGATTTTCCATCGACGCGTGATCGACGATCAGTCACACCTCTTTTCCAACCTCGCGACGTTGAAAGAAGAAAAGAGAAGAAACGAAATTCGTATCTTCCGCGTATGAACAAGCTGGTATTTACGCTGGAATTTCGGCACATCTCGTGTTTCTCGTGATTAAAAAGCGAACGCGCTCAGCGATCAGATCTATCAAGGTGGGCCGGCGAGATAAGCCGATTAGACGCAATATAGAATCGCCATCTGCCGGTTTACCCGCTGGTAGAAGGGTCGAAGACGGAGGAAAAGCCCACCCTGTGTCCGCGTTCGATTCACCCTGCGACACGATCGAGTCATAAATTCCAGAAATCTAAAACCAGCACAGTGAAAGCGAGAGAGAGGGAGGACGCGACGCATCGTAGTAAACGCGGACAAAAAGATCCATGTGACGGATCGGATCGTGTGTACATTACGCATCCTCGCTCGCAGGATCTCCCATGGTAACTATAGTTACTGTACAAACAAGATGGCCGGCGGCTTCCGGTTTCGGCTGCGACGCGGCAGCTGCGCGGATCTAGTTTCTAGGCGCGCTGACGGATAGCCCGGCGCCAAAGAAAGACGAATCGTGCTCGGACGATCGATGCCGAGTCCGGGGATTAATCCTCGGGTTATCCGACCGCGCGACGATTAAAAACGGCGAGCAACGTCGTCGTCGCACCGTGATGAGAACTAAAATCGCGCGCGACATCGCCGCATATAACCTATGCGGCAGCCGGAAAACTCGTCTCACCGTGATACTTGTATCTTCGAAAAACTATAAATCCTCCTCCTCCCCCTCCCCCTCTCTCTCTCAGCGTATTTTTCTCTGATCTTTTTCGTCAAAATTTCAATTTCTTTCTCTCAGCGATTTCCAGACTAAGTGGTTTATCTGCAAGGAATACTATTGTATTTCGCCGTATTTCAATGAACGTTTATTTCCGTGAAATAAACTTTATATTTCACAAATAAATGTTTAAGTCTTTCCTCAACGCAGAGGAATTATCCTAGGACGAAAGCAACTATCTATCTATCCCTCTCTTTCTCTCTTTGCGATCGGACACCGGATGTCGCGAGCGCGCGCGATCCGCCGAGCGACCCGACGACGCCGATCGCTCGTTGACCCGAAGACGGCGATTCACACTCGTCATCATTTACCAGGAGGTAAGATCAGAGCGCGCTCGAAACGATGCCGCCACATGGCGCGTGCCATTAATGCGAACAAAAGACGATCCCGCGAGATCGATGACGAGGAATACGCACCCCTCGCGCGACGCCACCGTGTCGCATCGGCGCGCGGCACATCGGCTGAAATAAATGCTCGCAAGCTGTCACGCGGCCGACACTTCTGGCTTCAATTTCGATTCACCGATCGCGCACCCCGCGAGCGCCTTCGACTTCTCTCGGCTACATCCCTATCGCAAAAACGCTCATTAATTTTAATCCGCGGATCAAAATCAGGTCAGCGCTTTCGCGCGCAAGAATTATGGAACAATTCTCCCCTTCTTTCTCTCTTTCTCTCTCTCGCTTTCTCTTTAATTTCCTCCCCCTCTTTTCCATCCCTCTCTCTCACACGCACACACGTACACCCACCCTTCAGTAATCCTACCACGCGGCCGTTAATCGATCGCGCGCCGAGCCGCCTTGATTTATGTTTACACGCTAATTATCCTAATCTGCATAAAGATGGCAACGAGCTCACGCCGAGGTTTCGATTGCGCCTCCAAATAAGAAAGCGACTTTGGGTAGACTTTCCGATAAACCCACGTCCGATCGACGCCATTGACATCCGTAGAAGCGATTCGAATATCCTCGGTCGAAAACCGACCGCGACGTGCGATCACATCCCGAGGGATCGGAGCCGCGCCCTCGATCGTCCTCGGTGTCTCTCTCTCTCTCTCTCTCTCGCGATTTCCGACCGCCGTCTCGCGCTTTGAAGAGAGCTGTACGCGCCTTAAGAGCGATTATCCTTGATCGGCTGCGGTAGGTTAGCGGTAGGTACATACCGTACCAGCTAGATTCGCTTTTATGACGTCATAATGAACCGGCAATCAGCAGCATTGTCGACATAATTCCCGTGGCGTTGTCTCGCTCGATCCGCGAGTCGACTCGACATCATTCCCGCTGCTCCTTTTTAGCAACCACCCGCGGACCGGTAGCTATC